GAGTTAAACGCCAGGTGAGTTAAACACCAGGTGAGTTAAACGCCAGGTGAGTTAAACACCAGGTGAGTTAAACACCAGGTGAGTTAAACGCCAGGTGAGTTAAACACCAGGTGAGTTAAACACCAGGTGAGTTAAACACCAGGTGAGTTAAACGCCAGGTGAGTTAAACACGAGGTGAGTTAAACACCAGGTGAGTTAAACACCAGGTGAGTTAAACGCCAGGTGAGTTAAACACCAGGTGAGTTAAACGCCAGGTGAGTTAAACACCAGGTGAGTTAAACACCAGGTGAGTTAAACGCCAGGTGAGTTAAACACCAGGTGAGTTAAACACCAGGTGAGTTAAACACCAGGTGAGTTAAACACCAGGTGAGTTAAACACCAGGTGAGTTAAACGCCAGGTGAGTTAAACACGAGGTGAGTTAAACACCAGGTGAGTTAAACACCAGGTGAGTTAAACGCCAGGTGAGTTAAACACCAGGTGAGTTAAACGCCAGGTGAGTTAAACACCAGGTGAGTTAAACGCCAGGTGAGTTAAACACCAGGTGAGTTAAACACGAGGTCAGTTAAACACCAGATGAGTTAAACACCAGGTGAGTTAAACACCAGGTGAGTAAACACCAGGTGAGTTAAACGCCAGGTGAGTTAAACACCAGGTGAGAGACGGCAGTGGTGGTGTAGAGTGGCTGCGTACAGTAGTTGTCTATGAGTGTTTATTCAGTTTGACAGCTGAGTTGGGACTTTAATTTACCAAACTCCACCATGCTGGTCACAGCTGATTCATCAGTACGGTACAACAATTGATATTGCTCCACTGCCCTCTGCTGCCCACCACACATTCCCCCGGAAGCCTATAGCACCTGTTATGCATGGTGGCCCAACCACCCAACCGCTTGTCCAGCCCAGCTCGCGTTTCAAGACCAGGCGCATGTCGGGTAATTGATGTCGATGTCTCCATTGTCGTTGCGTTCTGGCGGTTGTTGCCCGGGCTCGAGCCGCTACAATCGTTGATCTGTCAGACAATCCACCTCCTCATTCCCACGTCTCTCCCTCTACGCAACAAAATCACGTGTTGTTTTTTCACACATCCCATCAGCCACACGGCCTTCTCGCGAGCGCATCGTTTCACCAGCAATGGTTGAACACAAGCACAAACTCCGGAGCGGATTCGACCCTCTGTCTGATTGGCTCAGCGGCAGACCGAGCGGCTCGCAATCGGAAGGTCACGAGTTCAGATCCTGATTGGGAGGTGAACTCGGCACATCATCCCTCCTTCCGGGACCCATACAACGACAATCGCTTGTTTTGGGCAAGCCAACAGCGGCCGCCCTGCGTGCTATGGAGAAACTCGAACGCACCAAGAGAGCGTGGAATTTCCACCACCGGTTCTACATGGTGCCCCAATACATTATTCACCTAAAATTTGACTTTTTTGAAATTCGGATGCGGTCACTGGGAGGGGGTCGCAGTCCTCTCCCACGGCGCCTCCTGCTTCCGACCAACGTCACGGCACTTCTTAAGTGACGCTCACGGTCTGAAAATTAAATGCCCCTCTCTTTTTTCTCTCTCTCTCTCGCTCAAGTCACTCGCCCCCAGTTCTCTGCGCGTGTTTCCAGTAAGCGGGCGCTTACAAAACCCGCGCGGGTTTCGCCAGAGCGACCTCCGCCGTGCCACGTGGGACGCAGGGACCGCGAGTGCGGCGAGCGCTCGATTCCCACGGTCGCGGTTCCTCTTTCGTGGCTGTGGAGCCCATCTGCTGCGCAGGGCGCGGCAGGGGCTGTGGTCAAGCTGCGGGGAGGAAGAGAGGACGGTGGCGGCGGCTGCCGAGTCGAGATATCACTCCGTGCGGGAGGGGACCGCTGTTTCACCCGAAGGCTCGTATCTTTGCCAGACTCTCAATCGTAAGTTCAGACGAAGCAAACAAGATTATTTAAGTTAATTTGATTGTTTACAGGATGTTTGAACGGTTCCTTGTTTAAAAATATATATAACATTTCAAATCGAGAAACTGCCCTTGTGGAGTCATCGCGAGGGCAGTTCGGAGTTGACGCCGTTGGACTCAACAAAAATGGGACAATGTTCACGCACGGAAGCATTCAAAGTCACGTATCCCTGCAATTCGGCCTTTGGGAGCAACAAGGCCAAATCATGATGGCAAACATTCCGTGATTGAGCTGCTGCCACCAGCCTAGAATCTCACCCAGATCTGGTGGAACGCTGGTGAACAGAAGGGCGCAACTTGGACCTCCAAGAATAAACACATCATTGCAGACCCAAACATCGCACCCCCTGCCTTTAACATTCCTCCAAGACACCGGTGGTGTGAACCATCAACCTCGCCAGAACATCGCCAGACCGATGCACACATCTTGCCAAATTGAAAATAAATTAAAAAGACACCAGTCACATGGAGTGCGATCGTGGCCACGCAACTCCAGCTATGGGCCGAATGGTAACCCACGGTAGTCTGCGCTGCTTCAACGGAGCAGGAACAGCAAAGCCCTCTCGTCCTAGCCAGCAGACCTCGCCATTGCCATTAAGCCCCTGAACATGTTTGCCACTATAGGCAAGAATAGCATTGCGATTTATAGAGTTAAACTCATCATCGCGACTGTTAAAATGCCAGTGGGCCTTGGGCAGGACGCTTCGTGGCTAAGACGGGATGATGGCCGATGGTCAGGACTCACAACGGAGTGGCAGCCAAACGAGAAACATTCCTGGGAAGACGTGTGTAAAGACAGTGCGTGTGTAAAGACAGTGCGTGTGTAAAGACAGTGCGTGTGTAAAGACAGTGCGTGTGTAAAGACAGTGCGTGTGTTAAGGCAATGCACGTGTAAAGGCAGTGCGTGTGTAAAGACAGTGTGTGGACTAGTGGTCACGAGTGGTAATTACAGGTGTGAAGGCAATCTAGAAGGCTAGCGGTCACAATCAGTAATAACAGGCTAGGTGACAGAGAAGGGAACGATCTGGAATCTTCAGGAGAGTTCGAGAAGTTCGAGAAGTAAGGACGTGGCCACGCCGGGAATAAAAAAGGGGGCGAGGGGCGAGGTTCGGGGCTGCTGTGGAAATCGGGGTCGTCGCTGTCCGGGAGCGCTGTCTTCGCGTCGTCGCTGTCTTGAAGTCATCGCTGTGAAGCGACTAAGTTGAAATAAAGAAACCCTCTACCGTCCTTGCCACCGAGAATCGTTACACTTGCATGCTGGGAAATGGCAATGCAAAAGGGTAGATTGTTACATTGCAGGACAGGTGAGAGCTGGCGCTGGGTTTGGGAGGCCATCATCATCCAGCAGTTGAGTGATCATGGTTGATGATGATGGCCTCCCAAACCATCGCCTTCTCTCACTCGTGGTCAGCCATTTTATGTATATTGATGATCTGGGGATTGCTGATGATCTGGCGATTGCTGATGATCTTGTGATTGTTGATGATCTGGGGATTGCTGATGATCTGGTGATTGCTGATGATCTGGGGATTGATGATGATCTTGCGATTGCTGATGATCTTGAGATTGCTGATCTGGTGATTGCTGATGATTGCTGATGATCTGGTGATTGCTGATGATCTGGTGATTGTTGATGATCTAGTGATTGCTGATGATCTGGTGATTGCTGGTCACTCAGTGAAGGAGTTGGAGGCGCTGCTTCTGAAGCTGGAGAGTGTTGCCAAGAGGTGGGGCCTTACCATCAGCCCCACCAAAACTAAGCACCTGCCTGGGTATTCTGTGTCATCAAACACTACAACTCCCTCACTCTCCATTGGTGATGGTGCAGTTGTGGAGATTGGAGAGATTCTATACCTGGGAAGTGTGCTTGTGATCAGCTCCAGTTTCACGGCAGAGGTTTCACTCCGAATCAGTCTGGCGGCAGTATCTTTTCATCGACTGCGTAAGGCTCTGTGGAAGCTACCTGGTCTGACTCTCTGCAGTTATGCCCTCCCTTCTCTACGCTTGCGGAACGCGGATCTCCCCTAATGGAACATCTGCGCAGGTTAGAAACATTTAGGCTGGCCAACCTACGATCCATCCTGGGTTTAACCAGGCTCGATTGTGTGAGGAGCTCACAGATCCTTGAATGATCTGGACACAGTCCCATCGATGAGTTCATCCTGCAATCGAGGCTGCATTGGCTGGGGCATGTAGCTAGTATGCCTATCCACCGCATGCCCAAACAGCTTTTGTTTGACGCTATAGAGGAGGCTAAACGGGCGCAGAACGGGCGAGAGAAGATAAGGAATTCGGCATTTGGAGGCAGTAGCCCTCCAATAATAGAGGGCCAGAGGATCGATGCTCACAACGAGCGGAGCACCCGGCGGTTGAAACAGCGAGTTGGCACAGTAAGGGGCACAGGTGGTGCATCAGCCAGTCATCTCAGTCAGTCGACCCATGGCACCTGGGTCTGTCCCGTGACCTCCTGCCAGCGAGCCTTCGACACTTCACGTGGCCTCAAAGTGTACCAAGCCTGGCACAAGCGTCGGGGTGACATCACCGCCACCTAGTGGCGAATGGCGGTTGTTGTTTGCTTGGTGAGTCCGTGTGTGCGCCGTGCCGGCCTTTATAGGTGCTCGCAAACTCCACTTACCCCAACAGTCTGTGGGGAGCGGTAGTGTTGCGTTACAAACCCGGCGACCCGAATCCGATGACAATTATCTGAATCAGCTCCTGGGCCTCCCCTAGGTCGACTCAGCCTCAAATTAGTACCTGGTGCGGTGTGTAAACATCACCACCGGGAAGACAAACGCGATCGGGCGTGGTTCTGGGCACCCACCCTCCTCGCGTGCCGTGCCAACCTTCATCATAGGTGCTCGCGAACAGCACTTGCCCCTACAGTCTGTTAAGGCTACACGGGGGGGGGGGGGGCGTTCAGTCGCAACGCCGAGCGCTGACCGCATGGCGAGGGGGGTGCGGGAGGGAGTGAGGGCGGGAGGGGGTGGGGGAGTGGGGGGGCATTGTGGCCGGACGGGGCGCGGCGACGCTGCTGGGGTTTGGTTCCAGAGTCTCGGAGTCCTCCTTCTCTTTCGCCGTCAGCGCCGATCGAGTCGCCCCAGCGCCTCTCCTCCCACGCCGCTCCCACAAGGTGAGACAAAGATCCCCCCCCCCGGGGATAGCCTTTCACAGGCTGTAGGGGCAAGTGCTGTTAGCGAGCAGCACCTGTGAAGGGCGGCGGGGCACTCGAGGGGTGGGTGGTCAAGCACCACCGCCCGGCCGCCTTCGTCTCCCCGGCGACGATGTTTTTTTAAACATTGCACTCAGGTACTCGTTTGAGGCTGAGTCGACCTAGGGGAGGCCCAAGATCTGTTCGGATAATCGTCACCGGCGTTGGCCGTGATCGGGAATCGGATTCGCGTCGCCGGGATTGTGTAGCAAGCCCTCTCTCTCACACGCACGCCTGCAGAATGCCGTGGCAGTGCGTGCGGGTGGCTCAGCTCTCTCTTTCGTGCAAATGAGAGACTCCCTCTTCTCCTGGGCTCTCTTGACTCCGCACCTCAAGCTCAGAGTAAGACACAATAATAATAGGTGTTACCCTTTCTGCCAGTGAGACAGGTGTTAAGATGTTTAAAGCAAATATAAAACATTTTCAAGGAATCGAGTACTGCATTCACCACGCACAGGACTTGTGGTGAATATTTGGTATTGCCTTTGGAACTGCTTGTGCTACACCAGAGACAGCCTTCTGTAGGGCCTAGTCTCGCAAGTGTCAGCCCAGAGAACGCCAAAGGGCGAACAGCACAAGGGCAATGCACCGTCAGGGCATTTTATAGCTCGGGGTGGTGAGCAGCTCCACCATGGGACATTTGATTTGAGACCTGGCGTAACAAGGACCCCTCGAGAGGGCCGCGGTCTCACACCACCAGGGGCGCCTTCCTCGAAAACAGTCGCAGGCTTCTGCAACATCACCGAACACAGCAGTGAGCCTGGCGTTGCTACACACAGCCGCACCGGAGTTTGGCTTGCGTTCAACGAAGTACCGCTGCTGAAGCGATGCACGCCTAAATAATAGTCCGTTTTTGCCTGATGGGATGTAAAACAATATCCGTAAATGAAAAATACTTGCGGCTGTGCGGTTAGTTGTTGTTTTTATAGAAATCGGATCTTGAAGGCGGCATTTGTTGCATCGGGCCGCGTGGTTCCACGCGTGGTCGCCAATTGCTGTCAGCACGAAGCGTGGTGGTGGTGGTGGTGGTTTACCGTAATCGCGTTCTACACTCAGCTTTTAATAATGATGATAATTATCGCGGCACAAATATAAATACAATTCTTGTGCAGGGAAATTGAGTTTTCATGTCCATACGGCGTACATCCGTTTCAGTGCGCGCAACAAAACACGTAGTTTGTCTATTTGTTTGTTTCTCAAACAAACTTGTGATGGGACTTTGTAGGATGAACGTTGAGAGTTGTAAGGTCACGGGATGACCAATCAGGTCTGAATTGGTCTGTAATAAGGTAGAGCACTGATAAGGGTCGTCAGGTATGACACTTGATCATCGATTATCCGGCGAAACCGGCAAACCAGCTCCAAAGGCTGTAGTGACCCAGTGCGGTGTTCGTCAAACACACATGGTCATTGTTGACGCAAGGGCGCAGTAACTACCTGTCAATCCCTCATCAGGGCCCTACCTGGTCACAGATCAATTCAGACCTTACTGGTCACCCCGTGCCCCTTGTAAATATCAACGTTCATTCTCCAAAGTACCATCACAAGGGAGAAACACAAACAAATAGACACACGTTTTGGCTCGGATTGAAACAGCTGTCTGGATGTGAAAACTCAATTTCCCTGCACAGGTAAACCACGTGGGTTGACAGCTTTGCTTACATCGCCCCATACAGAGTCTCAGAGAACAGAGTGCTAAGTCCGGTACCCTAAATACAGTCACTTGTTTTTTACAGCAGGATATTTATTTTTGCCTCTTTGTATGTTGTCTTTATGCCAATTTCACAGAGCAAAACACATTTAAAACAAAAAAAAACATACGCACAACACCTAAAAACACAACGTTATGCAAGAGTGTGCAAAAGTAAGCTCTGTTAAATATTTATTTAGTCGGTAATTAAATGGTCAGTGACTAAATCATTATTTTGAAAATCCGGTGCCCGCCCCTTCCCCAACCCCCGCGACGCCGCTGGATGATCGATGATCAACTCTGTCACATTTATTGTATTAACAAACAAAAAGTCCATAAAAGCCAAACATTAAATACGCCCCCCCCCCCCCCCGTAAAAACCCCGACACCATTAACGAAGTAAAGTGCCGAATAACCGAGCCGACTTTGACTTGCCGCGTTCCTTCTGCAAACATCACAGAGGCGACGCGCCGGAGGTGTCCACTGAACTCATTGGAAGATTTATTTTTCTTTCCCGGAGGAGAAAGTCAAACAAGAACCACTCCGTGACTCCCCACGTCCCCGGGGCAGCCCCAGTCGTGCACCGCGCGCCGCGTGCCAGCGGCACAGCGCCAGCTCCGCTCGCTTCAAGTCTCTCGCTCCCTCGGCCGCTTTGCCGACGATTGCCTCGTCCGCCCGCTCGCTCTCTCTCTCTCAGGAGGGGTCTTGCCAAGTCTTTTTCGCAGCTACGGAGGTGGTCAGTGTTGCTGGTGCAGTGTCATCCCAATTGAGTTATAAATGAGGGTGATTTTTGTTATGTTCGCCTGTCAGCCTTGCAGTGATTTTTTTTTTCCGATTACAGTTGTTACGTTGGACGGTGTTATTTTGGCCCGCGGGAGTAAAAACTCGGGAGAATCTTGAGTATAAAACCCCGTGCATAAAAGGGAGGGAGGGGGGAGGAACATACAGACATCACTCGGGGTTGGGTGAGACACGGCTGTGACCTCTCCATACGGACATCACCCGGGGTTGGGTGAGGAGACACGGCTGTGACCTCTCCAGCGCCACCCTGCCGCACACGCTGAGTTGACGATTACGAGCGGGTGGGATACAGCGTGGGTGCCCACCCGAAATCACGAGGTCGGGTGATGATGGCGGCATCGTCGATGTCACTCGCGGGAGTCGGGGTGCGATGCGGTTTGGCGCGCAAAGGGCAGCGCAAGACAGCCCAGCTGGGCACGTGATGCCTCCCGCCTTCACGGGCAGAAGACGATCATTGTCTCGTTAGTCGAAGTGGCCTTCTGGGAGTGCAATGGAATCAGCAGCAAGTTGTCGAGCGCAGGCAAAACTCTGGGCCAGTGTCAACGTTCGCTGTCTCCATTCGGCAGAGTCAGTGTGGCGGCTGCTTGAGCCACTGCTGGTGCAGAGTAGGCAACGTCCCCCCCCCCTCACTCATCTCCCTTCCCCCTCCCTCCTCCATCCTGAGTGAAGTTAACCCGTTACCCCATAAACCGGTAAACGTTTTTCCTGAATCCCAAGCGCCGCGTCCAGAGAGTCCGAGATGGGCGCTGTGGTCGTTTGCCGCGGAATTCCGTGGACTGAATCGGGAGTTCGCGCGGCACGGCGGCAGGCCAGGGGGCGAGTCGCTGCATGGCAGCGGCGGCAGGCCAGAGGGCCCTGCGGTTGTCGCCGGCGTCCTGGACGCTGACGAAGCCAGAAGTCCGGAGTGGCCCGCCGCGTCTCAACTTGAGCCGGGGGGGGGACCCCATTGAGTCACGATCAGGCGGCTGCAGATGGGAATCGTCGCTTTCCTGCGTCTGGGCGGCTCGGCAGATTAATTTCCACGAGACCCGAGAGTGGTGGTGGTGGGGTGGGGGTGGTGGGGGGTGGTGGTGTTTGTGGCAGCACTTGCGTGTTGCGAGCGTGCGAGGTTCGTGCAGGGAGAAAAATAAATAAAACTCGCGTCGGGTCTCGATCACCACGCTCCTGTCTGAGTGGCGACTTCAACTAACAATCAGGATATTTATTCATACTGGAGCAATCCCATGAGCTATCAAGCTCTCTTTCACAGATGTCCTGTGGGGGGGGGGGGGGGTAATAACGTCACAACACAAACAGTACAAAAACACAATAGGAGTGCGAAGTACAAGCAAAGTTAAACAAATCACCCAAACACAAACAAATGAAGCTAAACCATCCCCATCCTACCAGGCAAATCCCACTTCGATATGAACTTATTTTTCAGAGGCGACTTGGCAGGCAGGGAGGGAGGGAGGCGGGGTGAGTGGGTGACGGGGAAGATTTGGAGGCTGTGGGGACATTTAGGCAGAAACACAGCGGGGATGGGGACATCAGGAGGATGTCAGGGAGGGGGCGCTGGGTGAGGCTGGAGCAAGGAGGAAGTGAGTGAGTGAGTAAGGGTGTGGTCTCTCTTCCTGCCCCACCACCACAGGTCACCATGCCCCTTGGGGGTCAAACCAAGCTGCACCCCGCGGTGACGAGGAGTCGATCCTTCCATGGGTTCAGGGGTCCGCAGGACTCCACGGGCAGGTGAGACCCCCCTCCCCCCTCCTTCACCCCCGACTCTCTCCTGGCTGTCGAGGTTGTCTCACTCTGGGCTCATGGCCGCAGCCAGCGCCCGTGTGGTTTGTCGATCTGTGAGATTGCATCGCCTGCAGCGGAAACCGCGGCGCAGCTGCGTCCCCGTGTTAGACTCCCAGTCACGTGTTAGACTCCCAGTCACGTGTTAGACTCCCAGTCCCGGGTTAGACTCCCAGTCACGTGTTAGAATCCCAGTCCCGTGTGAGACTCCCAGTCCCGGGTTGTCGAGCCAAGCGGCGCCGGCGAGAGGCAAACGCGGCGGCCACCACGAGCCCCCCCCCCCCCGCTCGAGTGAAATGTGTTCAGAAAGAAAGACAACATTCTTGGCCTGTGACGGGAGCCTCGGACACCTCGATAACCACGCAGATACTCTTTGTTTTTTTCGGTAAAGTCACAAACAATGAATAAAATTTTTTTAAAACAACTTAATTAAATCACGACGTTTCGGAGGCAACACAAGTCTCCCTCGTCAGGTGTAAAAAGGCACAGCAAAATAACTGTAGCTACAGTTTTAATTTAGTTGTTTTCATTTCTTTTATTTTATTAATTGTTTTACCTACGTGAATATACCGACAAAACCAAAGAGTATGAATCCTTGCAGTCACGAAAGCTTCAAATCTAGAACCACGCAGATGTGCGGGGTGGTGGGGAGGAAGGTTGCACGTCTCCTTTGTCGATGTACATCACCCGGCTACCCGTACCCCGCCGGGTACGGGTACCCGTTTGCGTTCTGGTGCGGCCGAGTACGGGTACGGGTAAGCCGTGAGTCACTGGTGAGTCACCGTTTGTCACTCATTTCCCAACGTCTTGTCTCTTCTCACAATTCAAGTTCCTAGGGTACGGGTGCGGCCGGGTACGGGTAAGGAATCAAAACCCGTTTGCGACCTCTGCCGATGTGTCCCCGTGTCCCCCCCCCCCTTGCCTCTGTCTCACCCTCGTCTCCCGGTGTCTCTGGATCCCGCCTCTGTCTCCGCTGTCCAACTTCGTGCCCATTGTCTCCCCCCCGTGCCCATTGTCTCTCTGCCCCCCCCCCCCGTGTCCCAGGTCCCGTGTGTCCTCGTGTCGCTCCCCTGAGCGCGCGCGCCGCGTCATCGGCTCCCCCGGCGCCACGCCCCCAAACACGCCCCCACGAGTCGCCCAGCCTCAGCTGTTCCGCACAACGCTGGCAGCGCTGCGCTCCGGACTGCAGTGAGCACGCCCCCCCCCACCCCCCACCGTGTCGCCTTGACAGGCCGTAGGGGCAAGTGCTGTTAGCGAGCACCTGTGAAGGCCGGCACGGATGGGTGGCCAGCACCAACGCCCGGCCGCCTTTGTCTCCCCAATGGCAATGTTTATGCATCTCAGGCTGACTCGACCTAGGGGTGGCCCAGGGCTAGGTTCAAATAATCGGGTCGCAGGGTTCGAAGCGCAGCGCGTTATACGTTCACCTGAACACACATGGCTGAACACACACACATGACCACACAATGCACCTGAACACACACGGCTGAACACACACACACACATGACCACACAATACACCTGAACACACATGCCTGAACACACACCTCAACACACACATGCCTGAGCACACACGCCTGAACACACACAATAACTACAGCCACTAAGTGGCGGTGACGTCCCCACGACGCTTGTGCAGGCTATGTGCACGTTGAGGCCATGTGAAGTGTCGAACGCCCGCTGGCAGGAGGTCACGGGGCAGACACACGAGGGGGTGGGTGGTCAATACCACGCCTGGCCGCCTTTGTCTCCCTAGTAGCGATGTTTACACATCACACCAGGTACTCATTTAAGCCTGAGTCGACCTAGGCGAGGCCCAGGACCAGTTCAGATAATCTTTACTGGTGTTGGCCATGAGCGGGAATCGAACCCGGGTCGCCAGGCTGGTAGCGCAGCGCGCCAACCGCTACACCACCGCTCCCCATGTATGTCCAGGTGACTATCAAACACCCACAGAGACTGCCCCTCCCCTAACCGCCCCTCCTACCCGCACCTCCACCCTCATCCCTCAGGGAGTACCTCGCCTGGTACCAAGCACAGCATCGTGACCTCGCCATGGCCATCAACAGCACCAAGAGAGACTCCCGCCTGGTAATGCATCGTCATCATCGTCGTCATCTTACAACCACATCCATCACCATCACGATCATCATGCCTCCATCCATTTCAACATCATCATACGTCTGTAGTCATCTATCCATCACCATGACGATACCTCCACCTATCAGCATCATCATGTCCCCATCGTCACTGTGACCATCGCGTTTGCCACTTATTGCAGAGGTTCACGGGTCAGATCCAGTAGGTCACCCTGTTAAACACCGTGGGTATATAACTGTAGCAAGTTTACTGCATACATATAGCAGGTTTACGGTATATATAGCAAGTGTACTGTGTATATATAGTAAGTTTACGGTATGTATAGCAAGTTTACGGTGTATATAGCAAGTTTACGGTGTATATAGCAAGTTTATGGTGTATATACATAGTAAGGTTACGGTATATATAGCAAGTTTATGGTGTATATATATAGCAAGTGTACTGTGTATATATATAGTAAGTTTACAGTATATATAGTAAGTTTACGGTATATATAGCAAGTTTACGGTATATAACCGTCTGCTTCACGGGGGACATTTCAAGGCCCCGTGACGGGGTCGTCAAAAAGAGAAGGCCGTTGTGTGCCGTCGTCGCGATCCAAATTTGTAATAAAATAAAAAAAATACTTCCAAATGGCTCAGTTGGGAACATCCACAGCAATCGGTGGCCCCTCCTGGCAGACGAATGCCCACTGGGCCCGCAGGTGCTGAATCACCTTGTGCCACACAGGGACAGCTGCCAGCAGGTGGTCCCCTAGACGCTTCGTTACAATATGGGCACATTCTAAATGCGAGTGTGATTATGAGATCACCATCATCCGCGTGGTTAAGTATTAACGACGACGACGATGTGTTTATATCTTTCAGGGAATGCTGTACGAGCTGGACAAGGTGAGGAGATGCATTTGATTCGCACTTAAAGCATCACGGCCCCTTAAATCGTTCGCTGCTCAAGCCGCACGTGCTCCATAGCGAGCAGGTAGCATGACAGCGTTCGTAATTCATCGCGCGCGACACCATGGCCACGCGCGCACATCCTGCGTGGGAAAGAGCTGACAGAAGCAAGGAGGCAATTTGCCTCGGTCCACGTCTCCCTGCCCCGCACGGTAGAACCGGCCGGGGTGGGCCCAGCGGTAGAGCGAGCAGACCGCAATCTCAAGGTTTGCGAGGAGCTCACATCCTGTCTTTGGAGGTTGGGGGCGGGGTCCACTCATCATCACCATCATTGTGTGGGGAAGTCAACCGCGGTTGTCCAACGGATAGACCCTCCTGCCCACCTTAGCACAGTTGGCTATGTATGGTGCAAAAGAAGTTCAACATACATAAAAACATTTATTTTGTTTTTATTTCACCAGGTAAGGCCCACTGAGCTATATGGCTCTATTTCAAAAGCGCCCTGGCCACAAATGATAGCTCAACGAAGTGGCTTATCATCACGTGGAAATTTGATTCTAATTGTGGAGACAAAAACTGGAGGACCTGGAGAAAAATCCACGCGTCAGGGTCAGGATCGAACCTACGACCTCCTGTATATCAGGCGAGGTAGTTAACATCTGGCCACAGTGGCGCCCATATATAGGAATGTGGAATTTCCACCGCTGATTTGGGGACTGTAAACGCGATTACAAGCCCCAATGCCTCGGCAATCACAAACGCACTTCTTCGACATCTTGAACCCCTCGCGGGGCGATCTCCAGCGAGGGGCTCACTCGGCCAGACACGGTTGTCGCGGTGAAGTCGCAGAGCGCTTCGCCGAACTGGGGCCCACGTCCAGCGGAGACACCCTGGCCTGTAAGACGTCGTGGGTTCAAGCCGGACTCCACCGCTGATGTGACAACGTTGGATGTCCGGTCCGGAGTTTTTTTTTTTGGCGTGCGTTCAACCATTGCCGCTGACGTGCGCTCCTCCGAAGGCCGTGTGGCTGATGGGATTTGTAAAACGCTGCTCGTTTTTGTTTTCTTCATGCGGAGGGACAGATGTGGGAATGGGACAGAACGTCCGCTCGTGATTATATGGCGCTGTCGCGATGCGCGCTGCGCTCCGGGCGCGTGGCGCCGTTGTTCCGCGTGGCGTGCGCGAGACATGGTGCCCTGACGTTTCCGCATCTCTTTCCCAGCAAATTAAAGCCAACGAGCGAAGCCTACGGCGGCTGGAGTTTCACATGAGCAAGGTGACCACACCTCTCCACACACCTGCACTCAAAGACAAAGATGATCCTCGTTTGTAGCCTTATACAGGCCGTTGGGTCAAGTGCCGTTGGAGAGCACTTATGAAGGATGAAACGGCACTCAAGGGGATGAAAGCCAAATAGCACGCCCGGCCGCCTTGATCTCCGTAGTGGGAATGTTTACACATTGCACGAGGTACTCATTTGAGGATGAGTCGACCTTGGGGAGGCCCAGGACTGGTTCAGACGATCTTCGCTGGTGTTTGCCGTGAGCGGGAATCGAACTCGGGTTGTCACTCTATCACTCCCCGCAGACTTGCGCACACACACCTTTACACACCTGCACACGCCGACACACGCACTCTTACACACGCCGACACACGCACTCTTACACACGCGTTGACGGGGTGATGTTGTTGAACTTCTTTCGCACCGCACGGTGACGTGATGGTGCGATCGTGCAGGGGAGGGCAATGACCCCGACGTTCGGATGAAATTGTCTCGCTCGAGGGTTGTCGGCGAGTGCTCGCTCTCGACGTTTAACTCCGACGCTCGCGACGGTGGGCGCGCAGGTGGAGGCGCTGCAGGAGGAGCACACCGTGCACACGCGTCTCCACGGCGGCGCCGAGAACCTGAGCAGGGCGTTGGCGTGCTCCCCCTCGACCCGCGGGGCGCGCGACGCCCTCGCACAGGCCCAGCGCAGCGCCCGCGAGTGCTGCGAGGTGCCCCCCCCACCCTTCCCCCACCTCTCACGCACGCGCTACACAAAGACCCCCCCCCCCCCCCCCCGTGTAGCCTTGACAGACCGTCGGGGGGTAAGTGCCGCTAGCGAGCATCTGCGAGGGCCGGCACGGCGCACGCGACGCGGTGCGTGGCCAACACGGCGCCCGGCCCGCCTTTTTTCTTGAGCGGGAATGGAACCGCTACACTACCGCTCCCTACAACCCCTCCCCCCCCCGAGACAAACCACACGGACTTACAAGTGCAGATACGTCCAGCCCAGACGCACGCACACAAAGCCTCGACGCACGCACCCTCGCGCTAGGGGGCGGTGGTGCAGCGGTGAGCCTCCTGCTCGGCAATGAACCTCTCCCCTCGAGTTTGATTCCTGACTGTGGATAACCTCAGTGGCGGCTTGGTTTAAAAACTCGTCCGGGGCTGCCCCTAGGTCGACTCGGCCTTCGAGCTGTGCGTCAATACCAGCACTGGGGAGACAAAGGTGATGGGGGACAGTGCGGGCCACCCCACTCCTGCGTGCGCTGTCTTGGCCTTGCTATGTGCTCACTAACAATAACCGCGTGTGTGTGGTGCGTGCGTGTCTGCGCGTGCGTGTGTGTTTCTGTGTGCGTGTGTGCATTTGTCTTCACGTGCGCGCAACCAAACTCAGACCATGGCTCAGCTTGAGGGCCAAATGGAGAACTTCCTGGGAGAATTCCACGTGAAGATTCTAGGTTTGTCGAACGCTCGCAGTTGAAACTACCAGAGGTAGCTCCATGATATCCGCCCTCACCATCCTCACCGTCCTCACCACCCTCACCACCCTCACCGTCCTCACCGTCCTCACCGTCCTCACCACCCTCACCACCCTCAACACCCTCACGGTCCTCACCGCTCTCACCACCCTCACCACCCTCACCGCCCTCACCATCCTCACCGTCCTCATCACCCTCACCACCCTCACCACCCTCACCACCCTCACCACCCTCACGGTCCTCACCGCTCTCACCACCCTCACCACCCTCACCACCCTCACCACCCTCACCATCCTCACCACCCTCACCGCTCTCACCACCCTCACCACACCAACCGCCCTGACCACTCTCACCACACCCACCGCTTACACTGCGCTCACCGTCCTCGCCACCCTCATCCCCCCCCCAACCATCCCCACCATCCTCACCACCCTCACCGCGCTCACCGCCGTGCTCGGTGTCTCTGTGAGTCGCGTGTGAGCCTCACGCTCTCTCTGTCTCTCTCTCTGTCCGTGTTCCGTTTCTCTCCAGGCCTCGTGGGCTTCGCGCGACTCTGCCCCAAGGACACTTACGAGGTGAGCCCGCGACGATGAACTGCCGCGCTCACTGCGTGCATCATTAAGCCGTGTTCCATCCACCGCTGGATGAAGGCCTGCCCAAGGCGCCACCACCTCCCACGATCCATGATATGCAACAAACTGATTTAATCGTCGCTCCATCTTCTTCTGCAGACATCCTCTGGGACTAATCCGCGTGCGGTGTTCACTAATCCGCACGCGCTCACTCATTCTTGCATGCTCACTTATCCATGCGTGGTCACTAATCATGTGGTGTTCACTAATCCGCACGCGCTCACTCATTCTTGCATGCTCACTTACCCGTGCGCAGTCACTAATCATGTGGTGTCCGCTAATCCGCATGCGGTGTTCACTAATCCGCATGCGGCCTTCACTAATCTGCGTGCGGTGTTCACTAATCCAAGTGCTCCTCTCCTCTCCCCGTCTCTCCACGTAAATTCCCAGCATGCACCGCTCCGGCGCTTCTCTGTGCCCTTCGCCGTAGTCCGTTCGCTACGCTTATCGTTACCGAGCGCGCGGTGTCCGACCGGCGTCACAACAGCAGCGGCAAGTCGCTCTGCGCACCGCAGCTCGTGACCGTCTTCTCGGTCACGGGCTGTCGGTCCTTCGAAGACGAGTAAGGCCATTGTATGCTGGCGTCACGGTCCCACGTTTTTGGAAACACGGTAGTCTGCAGGCTCAGCGAGGCTTCCCTGGGTAAACAATCACAACAATAACTCTAATAAACTCTCAACTATTTTTATTTTACCAGGTGAGGCCCCGCTGAGCTCTTGTTCAGAAGCGACCTGGCCACGAATGATAGCTCATCGAAGTGGCTTATCATCATGTGGACGTTTATAGCAGCCAGATACTCTCTTTAAACACATGTCGATTCTAAATGTAGAAGGAAAAACCGGAGGACCCATAGTAAAATCCATGCGACCACAGGGAGAACATGCAAACTCCAAAATATACAGGAGCATCAGGGTTAGCATCGAGATAATTTACCCATAAAAACCTCCGTGAGTCCTGATGGTCACGCATCTAATTGCCAATCAGGCCCAACCTTGCTCAGCTTCGTAGGTCCGACAAGCCGCGGTGCTTCTGCGGTGATTTCAGGAGTCGCCTCAAACTTGCAGCCCGTCTCCCAGTACCCCCCTCGCCACTTGAACCCCCCCCCCCCCTGTCCACCTCAGCTGCCCAACCCCCACGCCCCCCCTGTCCCTCCTTAACGAGGCTGTTGCTGCCGCAGGTGTCGCTGCGTCACGGGAGGCAGCGGTGGAAGGTGCGTGGGAGGATCGGGGCCGAGGGCGAGCAGTGCTGGGCGAGCGACGGCACCGTGCTGCTGCCGCTCATCGGCGAGCCGATCGTCGTCAAGGTGGGCGTTCACAGCACGGAATTTGATGCTTAGTTGACAGGCCCAGATATTCGAACGTCAGCAACGATGATGTTGGGTGCGTCACGCACGCGCACATAAGCGCGCATAGCCATGTGTGAGTTTGTCTGGACTGGAGAAGAGATGGAGCTGATGTGGCACAGGAGGATGTGGAGCTGAATGGGCTTGCCGACGACCGGTACCTGCGGTGTCAAGATCGGCCTCTATTGAGGAGGCCCGTGAAGGACGCTACTGGGCAGTTGGAGGCAGTCACCTTCCAACAAAAGTGAAGGGCGGAGGATCAATGCTCATAACAACGAGCAAAGTGCCGGCCGGCTAAAATACAGCAAGTTGGCACAGTGGGGAGCACAGGTGGTGCATCTGTCAGTCATCTCAGTCAGTCCAGCCATGGCACCTGGGTCTGTCCCGTGACCTCCTGCCAGCAAGCCTTCAAATGGACCTAGTCTGGTACAAGCGCCGCGGCGACATCGCTGCCACTTAGTGGCTGCTGCTGTTGTTGCCCCGTGGCTGCCCCCGCAGGTGGTGGAACTGAAGGGGTTGGTGACGCAGACGCTGGTGGGGCAGGTGAGCCTGGAGCCCGCGGAGCTCTACCGCAAGGACGAGCGGCAGCTGGAGATGAACATCAACCCCCTGGGCACCGTCAAGCTGCAGCTGCTCGTCAGCTGGCTGTACGCGCGCCGCACACACGCAGACATCATCCACGTGCTCATCATGTGTGTCCGCCATGGGCGGAGTTTGGGGGGGGGGGCCCAAACTGGCCACCTTTAATTTATTTCAGTCGTTTACAATTATTATTTTTAAAAATGCAATATACGCGCCCGCAATTCCTAATGTGAGGGACAAAGTGAACCCCCTCGCCTACGGTGTCGGCGCCTGTGTGCCTGCCTGTGTGTGCCTGCCTGTGTGTGCCTGCCTACGTGTGTGCCTGTGTGCGTGCGTGCGTGTCGCTGCCGCAGAGCGTTGGAGCGCGAGGAGCCGCTGTCTCGCCTCGGCTCCGTGAGCGGCCACCGCCGCACGCCCAGCGCCTCCTCGTCGCACCGGACGGCGCCCGGCTCCCCCAGCACGCCCAGCACGCCCGACCAAGCCTTCTTCGTGAGCTCCCACGTCCCTCCCTCCTTCCCTCCCTCCTTCACTCCCTAGCCCTAGTTGTTTTGTTTTTGTTGGATAGGAAGGAACGAGCCGAAGAGATGCACGGTTATTCGGCACGTCGCTTCGTTCATTGCGTGTTTTTTTTTTTGTATTTCATTTTTGGCTTTGATGGCCTTTTGTTTGTTAATACAACAAATATAACGTACAGTAGATCATCGATTATCCACAGAAAGTTGATCATTGATTACCCGGCGGCTTCGAGGGGGAAGGGGGCGCCGGATTTTCAAAAACGCCGGATAATCACTAGTCGTCATTTAAAATCGCTTATTTTCGTACATTCTTGTATAACATCTTTGTAGGTGTTGTGTGTTTTTTTCGTGTTCTATAATTGTTTCCGAAATGAAATTCGCTTGAATAAACATCCAAATATTTCCTACTGTAAAACGTTACTGTATTCACTGCACCGTAGTTACCAGTCCAATCTCGACGACTCTGCGTGGGGTGATGTACGTAGTTACTACGCTCTTGTTTCAACACAACAACCATGTGTTTGCCGATCGCCAAACTGATGCAGCCTTTAGAGCGGTGCCCCGGCGAATGGCGAATTACACAACACACTTTGCGCCGGATCGCACCGTACGTATTTTCTGTTTTTGTCACCCGCTGCCAAATCGCCTCCGTTAGTCGGATCGCACGGAGAGCAACCCTCTGCAGCCCAACGCCTCAAAAATTACTGAGCGTAGCGAAATTCCAGGCGAATTCTGGCAGTAACTCGGGCCTTGAAGATGCGGCAGCGCCTTGATGTGCCATTTCCTTCAAATCGCACATTTCCTGGCCCTACAGATCGCCACTTTCGCATTGTTCGTGGCGAAGTTCACCGAGCCCTCTCTATCTTTTGCCGTCTTCATTCCGCTTGTATCCAAAAGATGAGAATCGCGAGGGAGATGTGAAGTTCAGATTTCAGCAAGATATTTTGTAGGAGCTTACAAAAGGGAGTCAAGGCTTCGACAATGTATTTATCTCTCTCTCCCCTGTCGTTCCGGAAAGCATATGTCATTTATTTTAATGTATTATTTGTCTAGGGTGTGATTTTTTTTTTTGCACAATGACAGAAACTGGCCGTATTGTCCAGATTCTTCAATATCTCGCATGGAACGTGATGGGTCACACACACACAGACAGAGTTTAACGCATAGAAGTCGCTTAGTTATATTTTTAAAAATGAGAGTACTAATCATCAAATAAGCAACTGACACTCAGTCCAAAGAATATTTGATACTGTTCCACAAATGAATCGGTGACTTAACTCATAGTTTAGGGAAATAAGGCATCACCCAATGGACAATATGATGATTAATTATAAGGCAACCAGTGCAAGAAAGATTATCATTCAAGGTTCTCAAGCCCCGGTTAATATTGGGTGCGTATATACTGCATTCAGAGTAGCATTGGATTCATAGACCTTACGTTCCGGCGATTGTCGGTATAAGAGCGTCAAGGAGGTGACACGGCAGACACGTAGTAATGTGCCGCGGCACGTGAAGCCGTCGCTCGTCGCACACAGTCACACACTCACACACACTCACACACTCACTCACACTCACTCACACTCACTCACACACTCACTCACACACTCACACACACTCACTCACACACTCACTCACACACACACTCTCACACTCACTCACTCACACTCACTCACACCGCCTCTCGCAAGGCGCGGACAGCAGCTGGACGATGTGTGACGACAAACAGCCAGGCGGTCGATGCGGAAATGATGGTCGAGTCTTGACGACAACTTTCAGAGCCCTTGCTGTTAGAAAATAAAGCAGGCCCCAGTTGCATCCCCAGCTCAACCACCCGCACGCCTCCCACCTTCTCGGTGCACAGGCGTCGCCGCCCGCCCTCACTCCCGCAGCAGCGTCGGGCCGCGCGGCCGCGCACTGCTGACGAGCGCGTTTGCGTCGGGCAGGAGGAGTTCTACCCGACGGACGACGCCTCCTCCGTGTTCTCCGACTCGCTGGACAGCCCCGCGCCGTCGCTCGGCTCGTCCCGCCACCCGTCCTCGCCGCGCGACCTCTCCTCGCCCCCGTGGTCCCCCACGAAGCCGGCTCGCCCGCCGCCCGCGGTCACGGCCGCTCGCGAGACGTCGCCCTTCTCCGGGCCGGCGTCGCCCGGGCGCCGGGAAGCCCCGGTGGGCGACGCGTCCGTCGCAGTCGTCCAGGGCGTCGCCCGCCCACCGCAGACGACCGGGGACGGCGGCGCGGGGCCCGCGCGGTGCGGCGGCACGGCGTGCGAGGGGAAGGCGGCCGCTGGCGACCACGCAGCGATGAGGCCGGGCCTGGACGAGGCCGCGAGGGAGCTGAGCGTCGCGCTGGAGGCCCGCTCGGCCCGACACGGCCTGGAGGACTTGGAGGAAATGGAGATGGCGTTTCTCTCCCTCCTGGACGCCACTCAGGTCTCGCTCGCCACTCGCTGCGCTTTGCGTTACCGATCGCAGCGCCGCTCGGCGCGGGCCGCTGCGACGATGTTAACGATATTTGTAAGTGGGCGGCGTCTTCCCGAACGCCAGGAGCTTCTCCAGATGGGAACAGCTGTTTATACCATCACATAGCATGGAGACTTTGTACAGTGGCCGGACACGTGCAGCAGTGAAGTATAAAGTGAGACTGAATGAAACGACCGCTCCTATCGCTACGATGTCTCCGCAGAGGGGAAATAGCAGCGAGCATCGGCTGAAATCGTATTCCCAGCACTACGTGCGTGTGTGTGTGGGGAGCGGTAGAGAAGTTGTTAGCACGCTGCACTATGAGCCCCATCACCCGAGTGAGATTCCTGCTCACCATTGACATTTATCTGAACCGGTCCTGGGCTTCCCCTAGGTCGACTCAACCTCAAATGAGTACCTGGTGCGGTGTGTAAACATCGCCGTCGGGTGTGATACTGGCCAGCCACCCCCACCATGTGCCGTACCGGCCTTCATAGGCGCTCGCGAACAGCACTTGCCCCAACAGTCTGTTAAGGCTACACGAGAGATCTTTGTCTTTGTCTTGTAGAAGGGCCGATTTCTGAAGAGCCACGAGTCAAGCGCGAGTCTCACGGTGGAGAGCGCCTTGGGCAGCTTCGACTTCCTGGACATCTCTGATGGAGAGCGGTCCGAGTGCGGGGACAGCCGAGGGTGAGTGGCACCACCCGCCCACTCGCAGGGCACCGCCACCGCTAGCGCGGCACCACCCCCGCTCGCACACCTGGAATCGCAATCCAGAAATCACCGATTTGATTTCATCTCCCGGGGCGATTGCTGGTCCCACTGCCGCGTCGAGAGATGGAATCGATCCCGCAACGTCTGAATTGCAGGTCTGGCGCACCGCTACACCATTCCACCACCTCCACCACCACGGTGGTGGCGGCGGCGTCTCCCTTCGCACCTCACTCGCACCGCGCCGGCGTTGCTTTGCGATCGCCGCTCCTGGGGCCGGTCAAACCGACGTTAACGGCCCGGCTCACGCGGCGGTGCAGGCCTCACGAGAAGCGCCGCGGCTCGATCGGCGGCGGCCTGGGTGGCGGCAGCGGCAGCGGCAGCGGCACCGCCGAGGACGTGGGCATGGGCGCGAGCCGCGAGCCCAGCCCCGTCCCCGTGACGACCGGCGACGAGCTCCTGGACGCTGCGCTGGCGGAGCACCTGCGCGCGTGCCTGCGACTCCTCCTGGTGAGCTACGCCGCCGCGCGTCTCTCCCGCGCGTCTCTCCCGCGGCCGCCAGGGGTCGGCGTCGCGGACGGTCTGGCCGCCCGACGGCACCGCGAAGGGCAGCTGCGGAAATTCCGCGTCTAACGAAAGAAAGGACGCTTCTCGTTGGCCGCACGGCCGAGTGTGAGCGTGTCTGTTCAGCGGCACTGGCTCAATGCCAGCGAGCTCTTCGGCCGTTTTGTGGACATTCATCCGTCTCGTCAGCAGCGATGGGCTGCCTTGAAACCGACGCTGGGAAATTGCCGGGTAGACAAGGACCCCCTCCGTTAGATATTCTGTGTCCGCGTGAGACCCTGACGGGTTTGTGTTCTCTGTGATCCGAGCCGGCCGCCCTCTTGACTCTCGCCGCGCCGCAGAGGCTGGAACTGTGCCGGCAGCTGGGCTACAACGAGGACCCCGTGGTGCGCAAGCTGCTCGCCCAGGCGCCGGTGCTGAGGAAGGTGGCCAAGCTCAGCGGGCGCGACGGCACGCGCCCCGCCACGCAGGCCGCCCACGGCACGTGGCGCACACCACGCACGCACCACGCACACCACACACGCACGCACGCCAACCACCGCCGCCATTCACCCACGCACGAAAAAAAGACAAAGATCCCCCGCATAGCCTTAACAGACTATTGGGACAAGCGCTGTTAGCGAGCACCTATAAAGGCCGGCACGGCACACGAGGGGCGGGGTGTCTAGCACTACGCCCGGCTGCCTCTGTCGCCCCAGTGGTGATGTTTACACGTCGCACCAGCACTGATTCGACCTGGTGGAGGCCCACATCCGGGTCAGATATACGTCACTGGCGTGGTGATTTATAGTGTCGCGGTTGGCACTCTGCGCTACGGCCAACACCAGTGACTCGCACACACTTGCCCACTCACCCATACACCCACTCACCCATTCACTCACCCATACATACACTCATTCACCCGCTTGCCTCGTCACCCATACACACGCTTGCCCACTCACTCGCCTAGACGCACGCTCACACGCACACGCTCACGTGCTCACGCACACGCCCGTTCACTCACACAGTGTCCGGAGTGTTTGACGGGTTCCCGCATTTCCCGCTGCAGTTTACCCGGAGCTCAAGGCGAGGCCGTGGCTGCTGTCGTTCTGGGACGACTGCTGCCGCCGCTGCTGCTGCGACTCTGGACGCCGCCTCTACCTCATCCCTATAGAGCGGCTCCTGCGCCGGCTGGACGAGCCCACGGGAAGCGGGGCAGGTAACGAGTGACGGGGCAGGTGACGAGTGACGGGGCAGGTAACGAGTGACGGGGCAGGTGACGAGCGACGGGAAGCGGGGCAGGTAACGAGCGACGGGAAGCGGGGCAGGTAGCGAGCGAGGGGGCAGGTGGTGAGTGATGGGAGGCGCCACCACAACGGGAGCCTTGACAGGATCGCACCCCCCCCCCCCCGCTCCTACGAATCGCGGCAGGGCTCACGTTTAGCTTGCCACGGTGAGAGAACTCGAGGGACGAGGACCGGAGTCTCCATTTGCAAGAATTGAGTGAATGATTGGGTGGCTGGGCGATTGAGGTGGTTTGGTCGGTAGGTGATTGAGTGGGTGGATGAGTGGGTAAGTGGGTGAGTGGGTGAGTGGGTGAGTAGGTGTGAGTTCAAAGTTTATTTTGCTTGATCAGGTGAGAGCTCAAGATACCAGGATATAGTCTCATTTGCAAGAGGTGGTAGGTGAGTGGGTGGGTGGGTGAATGGGCAAGGGAGTGAATAGATGAACAAATGGATGGATGGATCTATACATGAGTGTGTGAGTGAGCAGCTGATTTAAGTGTGAGGGTTCCGGTTGTAGTGCAGTGGGGAGCACAAAGCAGTGGGTGTGTGGCTGTAGTGCAGTGGGTGTGTGGCTGTAGTGCAGTGGGTGTGTGGCTGTCGTCTTGTGTGGCCTGGGTCACCAAGATGACAACGTCAAACGTGTAAAATAAAGGACAGCAAACGGAGCGACGAGAAATCGGAGCAAAACATCACGCGCAGGCGCACTGACGTGTGCGGCAGTGTTTTTAGATCTTTTTTTTAATGAAAAATTATTACGGAATAAATTTTTTTATAAGCAAATGTTTAGAACGTCCCCAACAGAGGAGAGGAGCCACCACCGCTTGTATAATCGGCACCAGGCTGCTCTATTGCCGCACCGATCCTCGCTGCTGAATCGATCACTGATGGCGCTGCCGCGTTGATCCCCGCTATCGATTCGACGTGAGCAGCGTGCAGGGACGCTGTGGCCTACATGGTGGACGGTTTGGCCTGCGCGGCACCACGGCCCGGCCTCCTGAGCCTCTTCCAGTACGCGGAGGCCTTCCTGCAGGGCTGCCACACGGCCGCCCTGGAGGCCCAGATCCAGCGCGTCGCCTCCCTCCGTGCGTACCCTCGCTTCCCCCACCCTGCCACTCACCCTGTGACTCACCCTGCCACTCACCCCTACACTCACCCTGCCACTCACCCTGTGACTCACCCTGCCACTCACCCTGCCACCCACCCTGCCACCCACCCCTACACTCACCCTGTGACTCACCCCTACACCCACCCTGCCACTCACCCTGCCACTCACCCTGTGACTCACCCCTACACTCACCCTGCCACTCACCTTTATACCCACCCTGCCACTCACCCTGCCACTCACCCTGTGACTCACCCCTACACTCACCCTGCCACTCACCCATACACTTACCCTCGCTTCCCCCACCCTGCCACTCACCCCTACACTCACCCTGCCACTCACCCTGTGACTCACCCTTACACCCACCCTGCCATTCACCCTTACACCCACCCTGCCACTCACACTTACACTCACCCTGCCACTCACCCTGTGACTCACCCCTATACTCACCCTGCCACTCACCCCTACACTCACCCCCATTGACACCCTCCGCTCACACCTATCAGAGCATTGCCCCGTGTGGGTCACACAACAAAGACGCAGACAGCACAACACACTCCGACAATTACGTTTCACACTCCTCGGGGTGGATCGTTTCAGCAGCATTTGTTCAACACAAGCAAACTCTGAACCAGCCGCAACATTAATTGTCTCTTCAGCAGAGTCAAGCTTGCCTCAGCCAATGCTGGTTAACTGCCAGGTGTCTACAGGCAAGGGCCCGAGATACGGGTCCTAACCGGACGATGAGCTCAGTAATACACAGCACAGAACCATCACTGGCCTTGCTGTGGATAGAGCACTGCGGTGCTGTTGGTAACTATTTCGAACGACATTCACGCGCGCGTGCGTGTATGTGTGTGTGTGTGTATGTGTGCGTGTGTGTATGTGTGCGTGTGTGTATGTGTGCGCACGTGCGTGTGTCCCACAGGCGGGGGGAACGACAGCAGCCCCGCTGACAGCGACGGCACCGTCTAGACGGAACTACGCGGGAACCCCGCCGTCAAGCAACCGCGGAATCGGAGCCGTGGCCGACGAGAAGGCGACACGGCGCGACCCACACGGGGGGGGGGGGGCCTCGTTCTCCGCTCCGCTCCGATTCCGCGGCCGATACGTCGGGGGCCGTCGCCGTCACGATCGGCGTCAGCCGCGGCCGATCCGCTGCCGGGTGACAGCCTCCCCACGCCGCCGCCTCTCCCGATCTCACGACGCAGCAGCCCGCCCCCACGGCGCCCGCTCGCGGGAGCTGGATTTCATGAATTCCATCGTTTTTACTTCACCGACTCGTTTCGCCTCGGGCCTCGCCGCTCCGCCGATCTCAACACCGCGCCTGTGCGGTCGCTCCGGTCGCTCGCAGACGCGTGTCGAGGTTAGGGGGACGCGCGCGTGGGCCACGGGGCGACATGCGTCCGTCACCGCGAGCGCCTTCGCGGGTGCCCATCTCTTGTCCACGGAAGTTGAAAATTCCACATTCTTATGGCGTGGGCTAAGCCTCTCCAGACGACAACCACCGCCGATTTTCCCCACAATATAGTACTTATTTTATCCTCCCCACCCACTTTGCAACCTCCCGATTCCTGCGAGCATCTTGCTATACCGCTGGCCCACGTGCCCCCGCGAGCTTTTCGGCAGCACTAATCGTGCACCGGAGGGGAATGTGTTCAATCTGGCGACTCAGCCACTGCAAGGGCCTCTCGCGACCTCCGCGTGCTCGCCTTGAGGTTGCGCCGGCAAATTGCGTTTGAAGAGCTCGCGCGGTTCATCGTCCTAGCGACCCCTTCGCCCGTACGGTGAACGGGACTTTGCGCGCCATCCGCTAGGCACCGCTTTTCCACGGGCTTCGGGGAAAACGCGCGTTGCTTTTCCACTGCACGAGCCCGGGGTCCGGGGTCCGTGCCGTTGACGTCCCGCGCCGACGCGTCGTCGTCTAGACGCTCGCAGGGCGACGACTTGACGGCGTGGCCGAGTTGCGTGTGCAGCCGACGTTTGACGAACCGAAGGCGTCTCGTGCCCCACCCCTGGCCTTGCTTGGCCCCAAGCCAGATTCGGACGTCTCCTTGCGGAGCCAGCCGTAGTGGCGGCTTGATTTTCCGGCTAAGTAAAATGCCAGTGGGAAAACCACCCGTGCCGTGCTAGCCCCGGCCTGCTGGCACGGCTCAGATGTGCCAGTTGTAAATGGAGTGGAAGAGATGAGCTGGGGGTGAGGGGTGTGGACCCAGCCTCATAGCTCCTGCCCTCCTCAGTGTGTGTGGCACTGGGAGTGCCAACATCGGTTTATTTAGTTACTGTACTGCACTCTGCATACCAGATGATAGCGCGGGTCTTGACAGGTATGCACGTACGCACGTCCCAATAGGTATACCACTGTTTCTGAAAAAAGTAGATGTGTCTGACGAGGCTTGTTACTGTGATGCTGCATGTAATGTGTCACTGGACAGGTGTTTTTGTCTGTTTGCAGGTGTGTGATGCAATGTGGACAGTGGTGGTGCAGCGTGTGACTCAATGGAGAGGCACGTCTTGGAGTTGATGTGTTTACAAGTGACATGTATGTTTCCTTTGAATTAAATCGACTTTCATAAAGCCGTGTGTGCGTATACGTGTGTGTGTGTCTTATGTGATGACACGTGTGTAGGTGTCTCGTGTGATGACACGTGTGTGTGTGTCACGTGTGATGACATATGTGTGTGTCACATGTGATGACATGTGTGTGTGTCACGTGTGATGACACGTGTGTGTGTGTCTTGTGTCATGACACGTGTGTATGTGGGGAGCGGTGGCGCAGTGGTTGGCACTACTGCCCTATATACCCGGTATCCTGAGTATGATGTCCACTCGCCTTTAACATCCATGGACATCTGACGCAGCCTCTGTCCATCGCCGAGGTCAACTCAGACTTCTGCGAGGACAACAGCGGGTGCTGTGTAAACCATGGGGGCCGCGCGTGGTGCTGGCCAGCCGCGTCGGCCTTAACACGGCACCGCGGTGGCTGGGAGATGTTAACTACCTCGCCTGGTGTACAGGAGCTCGTGGGTTCCATCCCGACCCTGACGACGCCTGCTGTATACTTGGAGTTTGCTTGTCTCTCTCTCACCATCATCATCGCGGTGGCTCGGAAATGTTAACTACCTCGCCTGGTGCACAGGAGGTCGTGGGTTCTATCCCCACCCTGACGACACCTGCAATTTGGAGTTTGCAGTGTCTCTCTCCCCGTGGTCGCGTGAATTTTCCCTCCGCGTCCTCCGTTTTTTTTTCTCCACATTTAGAATCAACACCACGCGCTTAGAGTATCTGGCTGCTTATAAATATCCGCACGACGATAAGTCCACTTCGTGTGACCTATCATGTGTGATAGCCAGGTCGCTTCTGAACAAATAACTACATAGCGCAAGTGGGCCTTACCTCGTACAATAAAACAAAGAGTTGAGCTTCAATAGATGCTCGCTCACAGCACTTGCCCCAGCAAGCCTGAGGGCTCCACCCAGGGACTCGCCCACACGGACACCGACGGCATGGTCACCACGTGGCCACTTTTGTTGTGGCCCTCGCCCCTCGCTGCCGAGAAGGTAAAGGAGCGCACGCGGAGCCCTTGCAACGCCTCGCTCACCACACCTGCTGGCGGAAGGGCCTCAGTGAGGGGGAGCCCCCCCCCCCCGTCTTCTTACACGGCGAGCAAGACGTCTTGGAAGGGAGGTGGGCGTACCCACACGTGAATGTGTAGGCGGGTCAGTTCCAATGACAATGGATTCCTTTATGAGACCGTGTTTTGCTCGCATGTTTGACCACAAACACGTGTGGTCCATGCAGACTTGATTGCTTGCAAAATGTTTCTATTTGGTGCATTAACATCTTAACACCTGTTTTATTGGCAGGACGGATAAAACCATTTCTTATTTTTCATACTTTGTTACTCTTGATATTGCCGATCGGCTGTTGAAGCCCATTGACACCATCATCACGTGACCCCCAATTTACACCGCTGCTGGGTTGGACAGAGGCAGCAGCGGCGGCGCACGATGGCTCGGAGATGTTAACGACCTCGCCTGGTATACAGGAGGTCGTGGGTTCGAGCCCGAGCCCTGACGCCTGCTGTATCATTTGAGTGCGCGTCTCTCTCTCTCCCCGTGGTTGCATGGATTTTTCTCTTGTTCGCTTGAACTTTTCCCCTCCACATGTAGAATCGACGCGCGTTTAGAGCATTTGGCTGCGATAAATGTCCACACGATGATGAGACACTTCGTTGGGCTGTCACGTGTGGCCAGGGCGCGTCTGAAAAAGAGCTGCACAGCTCAGTGGGCCTTCCCTGGTAAAATTAAAACGTTTTTAATTTAGATGGAATTAATCTGGGGACACCTCTCTGGATTGCATGTCCCACGTGACAAACCAGTGGCACGGAACACCGCGACAGCTCCCGTCTTGAAGGTCGTGAATGCACACCTGTGAACCCCTTATCAGTGCCCTACCTTGTTACAGGCCAATTCAGACCTGAGTGGTCACCCCGTGTCCCTTATAAATCTCAACGTTCATCCTACAAAGTCCCATCACAAGGGAGAACATAGACAAATAGACACATTATTTTTTTGCCCATATTTAAACGGCTGTACGCGGTATGGACTTGAAAACTCAATTCCCTGTGTGGAGACAAGCGTGTGTGGAGACAGCGCGTGTAGAGACAGTGCGTGTAGACAGCATGTGTAGAGACAGTGTGTGTAGAGACAGTGCGTGTAGACAGCATGTGTAGAGACAGCGCGTGCAGAGACAGTGCGTGTAGACAGCGTGTGTGGAGACAGCGTGTGTGTGGAGACAGCGTGTGTGTGGAGACAGCGCGTGGACTAGCGATCACGAGCAGAAGCTACAGGGTTGATGACTAATAGAGGGAGAGTTTTCACTTGGGGGAATTGCCAGGGAAGTTCGGGAACGGGCCAGAGTTCGAGAAATGGGCGTGGCCAGGGGCGGGGGGCGTGGCCATGCCGGGGGATAAAAGGAGGCGCGGAGCAAGATTCGGGGCTGCCGTGGGCTCGGGATCGTCGCCGTCTTCACGCCGTCGCCGTCTTCGCATCGGCGTTATTTGCGAGTCATCCCTGGCCCAAGTTATCTGCGTGAAGCGCCCCAATCAAAATAAAAGAAAGCCCTCTGCAGTTCGTGTCGTACGAGAGTCATCGCGCCTGAACAAGAGTACGGGGTAAAGCGTATGGGTCGGCAGCGATGCGAATGTCGCCCATCACTCGGGTGGACGTCCACTCGGTGCCCCTCCCCACTGAATGTCCACCTCGTGCGGCTCACGCAGAGCCTCAGCTCACTGCGCAGCCGCAAAAGACAAAGATCCCCCGTGTAGCCTTCACGGATTGTTGGGGCAAGTGCTGTTAGTGGGCACCTATGAAGGCTGGCACGGCACACGAGGGGGTGGGTGGTCAACACCACGCCCGACCGCCTTTGTCTCCCTAGTGGCAATGCTTTTACACATCGCACTAGGTACTCATTTTATACTGAGTCGACCTAGGGGAGGCCCAGATAATCGTCACGGATGATGGCCGTGAGCGGGAATCGAACTCGGATCGCCGGGTTCGTAGCGCAGCGCGCAAATCGCTGCACCACCGCTCCCGACACAGAGACACGAGACCGCACAGTGTCGGGACAAGTGCTGTGAGTGAGCACGCAGTCTCTCACAAACTCACACAACAGAGAGAGACACACAGGGAGGGGAGGGGGGGCAAGGAGACACTGATCAGCACGAGGAGAGAGAAACACGCTCAAAGTGGAGCGGGCACAGCCGCGCTGGGATTCTGGTAGCGACGAGTTCGAGGGAGGAAGATCCGCGATGCCCCAGGAGATCCGGCAGATGTCCTCTCTCTCGCCCTCCTCCACCCGCCTGTCCCGTTCCTCTCCCCTGGCCGCTCTCCACTCTCCTCCCTCACCTCGCTCCCCTCCCTCATGCCTCCGTCACCTCCCTCGTCTCACCTCTCTCTCTCATCGCCTGTCTCCTCCCCTCTCAACCCCCATCTCTCGCCCCTCCCTCATTGATCCCCTCTCTCTCCTCCCCCTCTCTCTCTCTCCCCCTCTCTCTCCACCCCCTCCTCCCCATCCTCCCTATCTCTCTCCCCCCTCTCTCCACCCTCTCCTCCCCCTCTCTCTCCTCTCCGCCCCCTCCTCCCCTCTCTCTCCTCCCCCTCCCCCTATCTCTGCCCCCCACGCTCTCTGCGCTCCCGCAATCGCTGCTGCTGTTCTGGGCGCAGTCTCCGCTTGGTCCGCGCCGTCCCCCGTCGCCTTCTTGTTGACGCCATCGGCAGCAGCAGCAGCGGCAAGCAACATCAGCATCGGCAGATCCGCAGCAGCAGCATCAGCAGATCAGCAGAAGATCAGCATCATCGGCGAGACGAGGGCAGCAGCATGGCAGACGAGGCGACGGACATCCCTCCCGAGCTCGCAGGTCCGCAATGATCCACAACCACCGCCGGCCATCGTAACCACCCCACCGTCATCGACGTGCAACATCGCCACCCACCGCCACTACCACCACCACTACCACCATCACTACCACCACTACCACCATCACTACCACCACTACCACCATCACTACCACCATCACTACCACCACTACCACTACCACCATCACTACCACCACTACCACCATCACTACCACCACTACCACCATCACTACCACCATCACTACCACCACTACCACCATCACTACCACCATCACTACCACCACTACCACCATCACTACCACCATCACTACCACCACTACCACCATCACTACCACCATCACTACCACCATCACTACCATCACTACCACCACTACTACCACTACCACCACTACCACCACTACCACTACCACCATCACTACCACCACTACCACCATCACTACCACCACTACCACTACCACCATCACCGTCAATCAAGTCATTCTAATCGTAAATATAATTGCGTCATCGTTATCAACATCAACATCATCATCGCCACCGCCACTGTCATCATCACACCATGACGATCATAATTATGGGCATCGCACCATTGTCACCCTGTGCCTCATCAACATTGCCGTTATCAATATCACAGTTATCAATATCACAGTCATAATCGTCAACACCATCAACATGACCACCAACCACCACTTTCATCTCATTATCCACCCCCGCGCCCCCGCCCCCCTCCTCTACACCTCCCCTCCTCGTCGTCACCTGCGCTTCTGAGATGCGACAACGTCGGGCGCATCGAGGATGATTTGGCCACCTCGCGATATCGGCATCACCGTCACCCCTCTCCATCACCCCTCTCCATCACCCCTCTCCGTCACCCATGTGCTCGTGGTCAGTGGCGCCCCACGTCACCCTGGTCATCGCAATCGTCAGGCAATCCGCCTCCTGCACAGAGGCGGCCCTCCGCGCTGAACGCACTAAACGCGCTGAACGTGTTTTATTTTTACTCATCCCATCAGCCACGCGGCCTTTGCGGGAGTGTATCACTTCGGCAGCGTTGGTTCAACACTGTCCCGATTTAGACATTCAGCGTCTCGGCAGTCAGACTCGCTCGAATCCTTGCTGGTGACGCAATTGTGCACTCCCACTAAGACGTGCGGCTCATGAGATGTGATTAATCTGATTTTAAATATGTTCGTGTGGAAAGGAATATGTGGGAAGGAGGCGGGATCGTCAGCTTTGTGATTCTTGTCAAATTCCTCCACAGGCACGCCAGTCATTATCCTGTGTCAGCAGCAGCAGCAGCATGCTCTCCCTCATCTACCTATTATATCCCATGCACTCTCTTGCCTGCCCATTGCCTCTCTACTCTGCCCACACTCTCCCTTACCTGGCCATGCCTCTCTTACCTGCCCACACTCTCCCTTACCTGGCCATGCCTCTCTTACCTGGCCACACCCTCCCTTACCTGGCCATGCCTCTCTTACCTGGCCATGCCCTCCCTTACATGGCCATGCCTCCCTTACCTGGCCTTGCCCTCCCTCACCTGGCCATGCCTCTCTTACCTGGCCATGCCCTCCCTTACCTGGCCATGCCCTCCCTTACCTGGCCATGCCCTCCCTTACCTGGCCATGCCCTCCCTTACCTGGCCATGCCCTCCCTCACCTGGCCATGCCCTCCCTTACCTGGCCATGCCCTCCCTTACCTAGCCATGCCCTCCCTCACCTGGCCATGCCCTCCCTTACCTGGCCATACCCTCCCTCACCTGGCCATGCCCTCCCTTACCTGGCCATACCCTCCCTTACCTGGCCATGCCCTCCCTCACCTGGCCATGCCCTCCCTTACCTGGCCATGCCCTCCCTTACCTAGCCATGCCCTCCCTCACCTGGCCATGCCCTCCCTTACCTGGCCATGCCCTCCCTCACCTGGCCATGCCCTCCCTTACCTGGCCATGCCCTCCCTCACCTGGCCATGCCCTCCCTTACCTGGCCATACCCTCCCTTACCTGGCCATGCCCTCCCTCACCTGCCCACACTCTCTCTCCTCTGCCCACACCCTCTCCTCCCTGGCCATGTTGAGAGTTGTAGTCCTTTGACCCCAGAGGGGATGATTCGTGCGTGCTCTGGAATGTTGTGATGGTGGTGATTACAGTCGTGGTGATTACATTGGTGGTGATTACAGTCGAGTCCGAGATATTTCCTGCTGCTCAGATGAGCATTTAGATGGCGGTAATTTCCTATTTTCAGCTCTGTAAAGCCAGTGGTGGAAATTCTACATTCCTATGGCGGGATGAGGTCTATCCAAAGGACAACCACTTTTCACTTCACCACAAAGTGGTACCTATTTTGTCGACCCCGGAGGGAGGGATGATGGGCCGAGGCAACCCCCCTAGCTGGGAGTTGAACTCGCAACCCCTGACGATTGGTGGACTGCAGTGGCGGTGGCGACTTGCCGCCGGAGGCGCCTGCAGTGGCGGTGGCCGTACCCTGTTTGCGTCGCGCCCCGCAGAGAGTGTCAAGGAGGTGATGGGCCGCGTGAAGATCGGGCTCAAGAGGAGGGTGAGGCTGGAGCTGCGCGCCGACCGCGTGGAGCACCGCGTGCTGGTGAGGACTGGCCCGGCACGCACCCTCGGCACGCACCCTCGGCACGCACCCTCGGCACGCACCCTCGGCACGCACCCTCGGCACGCACCATGGGCACGCCGCTGCTTCCCGGCGAGCGGAGCGCGAGCCTGTGGGGTTGTCCGGTCCGACACCGCGGTGCCAAACTCTGGACTTCCCTTCCCTCGTTGTCCCTTATTGTCACCTCGCTCGGTTCAAAAACACTCGCCCACTCGTATCTCTCACACCCGTCACCCAATGTGCTGTTTGTTGCAGGCTGCTTGACGTTTAGAACATTTGGGCCTGTGGTCACGTAACTTTCAAAGAGGAGGGATTGCAAAATGCAATTTGCATGAACGACGCTATATGAAGCATTAGGTGCTTATGTATTTATTATAATATAAAGTCTTATCTTCCCATCTGACAGTGTACCGCTAACCCCTTTGAGCTGGCACCAGTGGAAAAAAAGTTTTCGGTGACTTTTTTTTCGTTTAATTGTAAACACACAGCTGCTGAGTGCAGGCCCACATGTACACACAACACCCGAGCGGCCAGCAGCAAACCGGCACCGTCTACGTAGCACTTGACGATGGCTACGAACTCGGTCTTCCGAAATCACGTACTACCGTACTACCGTACTACCCGTGGCCAATCCCGTACTACCGTGGGAGAGATGCTCGGCGCGCATCTCTCCCACGGAGCTGCGATGCCGAGCCCAGACTGGGGGGGGGGTGACGTTGGGTGACGGCTGTGTTGATGGAGCCTATTGGACTCTGTGCCCCTGGGGTTTGCTATGCTAATTCACGATACAGTACTTAGTTCCTGATACCGGCTGGCACAGGAGTTTGCTACTCTTTGACCAGGACGGCCTCTGCTATGGGTGCTATTTAAATTATATAGGCTACCAGGTTGCTGACAGAATTAAAGCAAGAACTGCCACAGTGGTATAGTTCATGGTGAATGCACTGCAATCCACAGACTTGCAATCTAGAGAAAGGCACTCAGCCCACAAGCACCCAATCAGCTGGCACCCAGCCACCCAGCCACCCTGCCACCCCAGAGCCCAGCCACTAGCCACTCAGACACGCGGCCTCCAGCAACTGAGCCACCCAGACATCCACCACCCAGCCACTCAGCCCTCCAGCTGCTAAGCCACCCTAGAAGCCAGCAACCCGACCCCCAGCCACCCAGCCATCCAGCCACCCAGCACCCAGCCTCAGCCAGCCAGCCACTCAGACACCCTAGCAAGCCAGCCACTCGACCCCCAGCCACCCAGCACCCAGCCTCCAGCAACTAGCCCAGCCGCTCAGCCACCCTGCCACCCGAGCAGCCACCCAACCCCCAGCCACCCAGCCACGCAGCCACCCACGACTCAGGCAGATTTGGTCAGGTTGGGTCTCATGGTAGAAGTAAAGTGGCTGCAATCAATGTGGCGTTATCAGTGCAAGGTGAAACTTTCATTTAACTTGTACAATCGGTACCTAGCGGCACCCCCCCCCCCCCCCCCTCACTCTCCCCCCACACTCTATCCCCTCACTCATACATCCGTTACAGTCCTGGAATGCTGCTGCCTCCAGTTTGTCCTGTTCCAAAGTTTGGGGTCTTTGCTTCGGTTGTGCCCTGACATGCCGCCTCCACCGTCGCAGTCACCCTCCACTGCTGCCGTGACTCCGCTGCTGTGGCCCCAAGCTTCAGACACAAAACGCCTTCTCCGAGACTCGGCCGTGCCGCGACGAGTTCTCTTAACGCTCAGCGGAGACCACCACATTCCGCCGCTGGCTTCCGCCTCGAATGGGTGTCGAGGCATTTGTGCACATCTCGGGTATGCGGAGCCCTGTGGAGCCAGTGGTAGCAATTCCACATTCCTACGATGGGGGCTAGTCTCTCCGCAGGACGACCGCTGTGGATCATAGCGACGCTCGTTTTATATCGACCCCGACCAGGATTTGAACTCGCACACTTCCTACTGCGAGCCGCTCACTGTCCCGCTGAGCCAAACAGCCGCTGTGCTGCGTGTGTGGTTCATCTGGCTGCGTGCAGGCCAGGGTAGGGCCCTACAGTGCAGGGGAGTGTCTGCATGACTGCCTGTCGGCTATGAGCAGCACGGGTTCCCAGAGTGTAACCAAGGTGACGTGACGTGGTTTAGGTGCGTCGGTCATGACGCGGGTGTGGGGGTGGTGGGGGTTCACCATACTTCACCGCACCCGTCAATGCGGCTCTGTCTCGCCTCTCGTGGTGTGCCTGACTGGTGTGGGTGTTCCTGTGCAGCACCACAGCCACGCAGCTCTGCAAGGCACTCACTCAAGTAAGACTTGCCACAAAGGCTGACTGTCACATAATTTTTTAAGCCATTGCTTGTGAAACTCTAATCACGAGGAGGGGTTCCAAGGGTGGCAATGCCTTAGGTAGCGCGCTGCACTACGCACCCACCAGCCCCACTTGGATTCCCGCTCACGGACAACACCAGTAATGATTATCTGAACCGATCCTGCGCCTCCCCGAGGTCGACTCGGCCTCAAATGTCTACCTGGCACGATGACACTCGGGAGACAAAGGCGGCCTGGGCGTGGTGCTGGCCCCACCCGACCCTTTGTGCACCATTCCGGCCTTCGTAGGTGCTCGCAAACAGCACTTGCCCCGAAAGTCTGTTAAGGCTATATGGGGGATCTTTGTATTTCTTTAGAGGGCTCCCCCACCGCAAATATTCACTGGCGTCTGCCCTCTGAGGAGTCTGTGCGCTAGAACGTGTCGAGCAGCAGCTCTGGCCAGCAGGGGGCTCGCGCACCAGGCAGGTGCACCTACCTGGTGCACCTACCTGGTGCACCTGCCTGGTGCACCTACCAGATGCACCTGCCTGGTGCACCTACCTGGTGCACCTACCAGACGCACCTGCCTGGTGCACCTGCCTGGTGCACCTGCCTGGTGCACCTACCAGACGCACCTACCTGGTGCACCTACCTGGTGCACCTGCCTGGTGCACCTACCAGATGCACCTGCCTGGTGCACCTACCTGGTGCACCTACCAGACGCACCTGCCTGGTGCACCTGCCTGGTGCACCTACCTGGTGCACCTACCTGGTGCACCTACCAGATGCACCTGCCTGGCGCACCTGCCTGGTGCACCTGCCGGGTGCGCCTGCCTGGCGCACCTGCTTGGTGCACCTGCCTGGTGCGCCTGCCTTGCCCTGCTGCACCATTGCCTGTGCAGCAGCAGCAGCAGCTCGCAGCGGTGTGCTCTGGGTAATTCACACAGATGAGCTGGAAAGGGAGCCAGAACCAAGCTCAGTGGTCCGATATTACCTCCTATAATCCTATATTATCTCCTATAATCCTATATTACCTACTATAATCCTATATTACCTCCTATAATCCTATATTATCTCCTATAATCCTATATTACCTACTATGATCCTATATTACCTACTATAATCCTATATTATCTCCTATAATCCTATATTACCTACTATAATCCTATATTACCTCCTATAATCCTATATTACCTACTATAATCCTATATTATCTACTATAATCCTATATTACCTACTATATTCCTATATTACCTCCTATAATCCTATATTACCTACTATAATCCTATATTACCTCCTATAATCCTATATTACCTCCTATAATCCTATATTACCGACTATAATTACCCATAGATGTCTGTCCGTCCCACACGGTGATGTCACTCCACATGAGGCCCACCCCCCTCATTAATATTCATGAGCGGGTGGATTTTTACACCAACGCAGAGGAGCTGAATTAAATTATTTATCATGCAATGTCGCTTAAAATATGACGTTTCTTTACAGAAAGTGACGGTTAAAAATAAATCTACGTTGCACAGTGCTACATCCGTGCGTGACGTCACTGCAAAAGAGGCCCCCCCCCCTTCATTAATATTCATGTCCGCGTGGAAATTTACACGAACGCACAAGAAGGTCGCGCACGCCACATGCCGCACCCCTCCCCTCATGAATATTCATGAGCGGGTGACGTCACCACATGCCGCACCCCTCCCTCATTAATAATCATGAGCGGGTGACGTCACCACATACCGCACCCCTCCCCTCATTAATAATCATGAGCGGGTGACGTCACTCCACATGCCGCACCCCTCCACAATAACCATGAGGGGGTGACGTCACTCCACATGCCGCACCCCTCCCCAATAACCATTAGCGAGTGACGTCACTCCACATGGGGCAACCCCCCTCGTTAATAATCATGAGCTGAACAATTTTTCTATTGAATATGTCAGATTTACTGCAATATACAGCCGTCATTGGACGGGAAAAACAGCTAGTTTTTGATGTTTGTCCAAAACGTGCGATTGTGGGGGTGGTGGTGGTAGGATAAACGCTACATCCCCGCACAGATGGATACCCATTAGGGTTGTTATACTATGACCACTAAACCAGTAACTGATGGTGGTACTCTTGGTCCTGTGGAATGTCAGCCATGCGTGCACGCGGACCTGCATACCGCATGGGCGGGCGACTCCTGATTGGCCAGCGGCAGTCACGTGACCGTACCTATGGCGGCCAAATTCGCGTTCTTCTCGGTTCCGCGGCACTACAATGTCTCCCCTCGAGGACCTCTCATCGGGATCCATTCCGCTCTTCCACGCTGACCAGACGTGTTTTGAAGGGGTGGGCGCACCCGCACCTTACTCGGCCACACGCAACTTGCCGATCATAGACTCGCAGTGGCGGTGTAAGCAATTCACTGGCAGAGGGGTTGGCGGGTGGAGTGTTGACTAGATTTATTTCTGATAAGCTGGGCACGCAAGACGGGAGAGGGAGACCATGTGAGCGAGACGGCGGCCGAGGACCAGTGCCGATAATTCCCCAAGTTATGCGGTTCTATATTTAGATACACCGGGGAGGAACAACCATTTGTGCCTGGAGAAAAACCCAGCAATGTGTGTGTGATCCACTAACCCTTGCCTCCACAGTGCTGCTCTACACGCTACGTGCCGCATGGCCGCCCGGCAACGACTCACAGCTGCGTGGTGTTTGTGTGTGGCGCGTGTGTGTGTGTTCCCTCCTCAGATCCTGACCGCGTGCCGCACGTTTCTGCTGACTGCCCGCGTCCCTTCCAAGGTGAGTGCCACCGTCTCCAGACCTCGGCACACGTCTCGTCACCGGGCGATTCCGAGCCCACATGCCCAGTCACAGCATGCCCAAGCAGCTTCTGTTTGGCCGGATAGAGAGGGATCAACGGGCACGGCAAGGGCTGGAGAAGAGAGGAGGATGTGGAGCTGAGTGGATTTTCCGAGGACTGGTACCAGTAGTGTCAAGACCAGCTTCTGTGAAAAAGACAAATCAAGGATGCTCCCGGGGGAGTTGGATGCAGTCGCCTGCTAACAGCAGCGGAGGGCAGAGCAGCGACGCTCACAACAACGAGCGGAGCGCCCGGGCGGCTAAAACATAACACGTTGGCACAGTGGGGAGCACGTTGGTGCATCTGTCGGTCATCTCAGGTGACCCATGGCACCTGAGCCTGTCCTGTGACCTGCTGCCAGTGATCCTTCAACACTTCGCTTGGTCTCGAAGCGCACCTAGTCTGCCACAAGCGCCGTGGTGATGCCTCTGCCACTTAGTGGCGAATAGTGGCCGTCGTTGCCGTGTGCCTGTCAGTGCCGATGCCTGGTGCTCGCCGCCACGTGCCGAGTGAACGAGCGGACGGTGCGGCCGCCCCCCCCCCCCCGTCCCACGGTTGCCGACTCCGTGTTCGTTACACATCCTCTCGGTCGCACGGCCTTCTGGGAGTGTAGTGTTTCAGCAGCACTGGTTTTTAAGAATACAGGCAAACCCTTGGCAGGTTTCATCAGCAGAGTCAGGCTTGTTCAAACCAACGCTGTGTGAACTACCAGATGTTTACAGGCAAGGACCCTCACTGTTTGATATGAGTCCTAGTTTGGCACAAAACTACATAACATAACATACTCCATTAATATGGAATATTTATGGTTATTTTTTTATACACACAACCAGCCACTCACCCACTCATTCTTCCAGTCACACTCACTCACTCACCTACTCACACACCCACTCACTCACACACCCACTCATTCATCCACTCACACACTCACCCACTCACTTACCAGTCTGCAGGTCACCGCACTCCCATCGTCTTTGTCATCACCGTATCTTGTCCCAAGCTATGACAACAAAACAATCAGGACCTTGCTCAACTTTACAATACGTGTTTAATACCTCTCACCTATGTCAACTTTGACGGCACTGTTTGTTGAAGGAACTTGGCACTTCGGGCCTACTGTACTCTGCAGCTGTGTTAAGAAACCGACAATTCTGACAGAATAAACTAAATTATAAACTCGTTTTTATTTTACCAGGAAAGGCCCTCTGAGCTATGTAGCTTTTTTTCAGAAGCAATCTGGCCATAAATGATAGCTCAACGATGGCTTATCACGTGGACCTATATAGCAGACAAACACTCGTAAATGCACGTTATAAATGTGAGGGGGGAAAACCGGAGGACCTGGAGAAGAATCCACGCGACCACGAGGAGAGAGACACGCAAACTTCATATACACAGCAGCAGGCGTCAGGGTCAGTGTCCGGATCGAACCCACGACCTCCTGCTGCTGTATGCCAGGCGAATGCTGCGGTGTGCTGTCATTTTGTCTGGCGTCCAGGTGGAGACTTCTTTCCACTTCCTGGACATAGAATCGCTCACGAGTGTGAAGCCGTGCCAGGTGCGTGTCCGCGTGGCTCGAGTGAACACCGCACAGACACCGAGCGAACCCCCGCACCCCCCCCCCCCCCCGGCACGCGCACTGCACCACTGCACGTGCGGCGTCAATGCCCTCGGCGGAGTAAGATCTGTGAGCGACGCCTCACTCGCACGCCCGCTGCTGCAGTCACGGGTGTGTTCTGCATGGAGCGGCCGTGCGAGGCATCTATTTATTTACACGATTGACTGGGTGTGATATTCAATGTAGAAATGCAAACTGTATCGGTTATAGATTTATAATGTGTGCGCACGTGTCATTACGTGTCTGCTACGTGCGTGTGTGTGTGTGCATTTGCTACGTAAGAACGCTGATGGTCCGTTATCGAATCGGCCTTTGTCCTGGAGGATAAATGTCACGAACAAAAATAACGTACAAAAATTGCTTTACTCGTGAGAATCCATTCGGAACAGGGTTAGTGGTCGGCAACCCTGCAATGTCCCGGAGTCGTGATGTGTGCGCGCGCTGATCACGTACGCCGGGTGCATTGACCGCGCTCGCCCCCCCCCCAGCTGCTGATCGACACGGATCGGCAGTCCTTCTCCTTCAAGCTGACGTCGCAGGAGGAGACTGATCAAATCGTCGGCTACGTTGGCTGCTCCCTCAAGAAGCTCTTCCCCGGGGCGTCCCCCATGTGAGCCGCACGGCTGCACGCGAGGGCGAGCGAGGGCGAGCGAGGGCGAGCGAGTGCAGGCGGGCGGGCGGGCGTACAGCGCCGACGCGGTAACGAGGAATAGGGGCCGAGAGGTGCCGCCGGGGCGTACCCCGGCACGTGCCACCGCGTCCCCGTGCCGCCGGTTGTGTCCGAGCGCTTGTCGCGGTTCTGTCGTTGCGCCCTCTGCGGCCATGGCGACAGCCGGGTCCAGCTGTCGCCATTTCACTCCGGTTGCTCACTCGCCGGCAGTCGGTCACCTCCCTGTCGCTTTTTATGACCGCCACCTCGGTGACTGTTCCCTTGAACGTCCCTCGTCGATTCCTCCTCTGCCGATGTGAAGACTCCATCTGCCAGACACCGACTGTTTCGTCTCATCCACACTGTTCAACCACCACCACCACCATACTGCCAGTTACAACAACACACTCGCCCACTCACTCGCCCGCTCACTCACCCACGCACCCCCTCACCGACTCACCCACTCAGTCATTCACCCATGTACTTGCTCGCTCACTCAACCATCACTCACCCACCGACCTACTGACTCACTCACCCACCCAATTACTCACCCACTCACCACACTGCAGGTCACAACACTTCTCTTTCTGCTGCTTTCCGTGCACTGCTCCACTGCTGTATATGTTTCACCCACTTTAACATCCCACCTGGAGCGTCGCCCGAGATGGAACACCTGGTGTGTGCGCATCGTCTCTGCTCCGCGTCATCTCATCACTCCGTGTTGTCTCATTGCTCCGCGTCGTCACGCCGCGTCATCTCATCACTCCGCGTCGTCGCGCTGATGTCTGTGAACCGGCCCCGGGTGCAGGAGGTTGATGCAGAGGGTGGTGGTGGAGCCGCAGGAGCGGCTGGCGCGGCTGCAGGCCGTGTGGGAGAGCCACTTGCCCCCCGAGCCCGGCCCGTGCGGTGAGGAGCTACAGCGCGCACGCACACAGCGACAAACACAGGTCCCCCCCACATAGCCTCACGCAGGCTGTCGAGGCGAGGGCTGTTAGCGAGTGCCTGTGAGGGCCAACACGGTGATTCTGTGAGAGGGTGGTTGTGGTCAGCACCGTGCATGTATCGGTCTCCATAGTGGTGAAGTTTACACATTGCACGAGGTACTCATTTGAGGCTGTCGACCTAGGAGAGGCCCAGGACTGGTTCAGATAATCATCACTGGTGTTGACCGTGAGCGGGAATCAAAGCCGGATGCCGGGTTCACAGCACAAACGTGCTAACCACCCGATCGGTCTCTTCTGATGAATGTCGAAACTGGTGAAGCGTTTTTCTTGAACAGCGCTGCGTGGCAGATGGGATGTGTCAGACGGGAAGGAGGCGAATTGTCTGCTTAGACGGATCGAATGTCTGCGTTGACGTTGTGGGGAGTGGCAGTGTAGCGGTTGGAGCGCTGCGTCACCAGCCCGGCGACCCGAGTTCAGTTCCCTCTCTCACGGCCAACACCGGTGACAACTATCTGAACCGGTCCTGGACCTCCCCGAGGGAGGGACTCAGCCTGATATGAGTACCTGGTGCGATGTGGAAATCATCAGCACTGGGGAGACAAAGCCGGACGGCCACGGTGCTGGCTACTCACCCCTTTATGTGCCGGCCTTCACAGGTGCTCGCTGACAGCACTTGCCCTAAACTGTCTGTTAAGGCTACACGGGGGGGGGATCTTTGTCTTTGTGACCTCCATGCCCGAACAATGCGTGCTCACCATGCTCCCCGTGTCCGACCCCTCCCAACGACAGGCGGCTTCTCCCAGATGTACGCGTGTCTGTGCGACTACTACAACCTGCCTTACCGCGAGGAGGTGCAGTGGGTACGTGGGGCCACACCTCACACGATCGCTCGCCCACTCGCACCTCCCACAATTGCTAACCCACTCGCACCTCCTCACTCGCTCGCCAACGCACCCCTCCTCACTCGCAGATGCTCGCCAATGCACCCCTCCCATGATCGCGAATGCTGGAACCCGTTGCTCACTCAGTCCCACTCCGTTTGACCAAATAATTACCACGTTCGAGACGAGTTAGACCCATTGTTTTGCCGGCTTCGTTACCTGCGAGTTACTCAGTGGGGATGACGCGCACAGCAGCCATCATCGCCCCTGCTTTGGCTAACGCCCGCTTGAGATGAGACGTCAGGCACCCTGAATTGCCGAGGTGTGTTGTAAGCACATTCCGTGTAAATGCAAATGATAATATCATCATGATAATTATTTTATTTTTTGCGCGATTCTCGTAGTGCACAGCTATCAGGGAAGGCAGAAGCGCTGCAGTTTCACGATCAACTTATGAACAGACTTCTAGAACCTAACTCGTTCGTAAGTAGCGGAGTGCTTGTTTTATAATTATTATATTATCTGCATTCTGTTCAACGTCTGCGTGGCAGGACGTGGACACCATCTACCTCTCCCAGGACACTCACGAGCTTAACCTGCAGGACTTCAGCCACCTGGACAATCGGTGAGCACCACGCGGCCACTGGCGGCACGCCCCGGCCACGGACGCCTCCGCCGCAGAGGGGGGAGGGAAGCGGCGTGTGGGCGTGCAAGGGACGCTTTGGGTTGACGGCGGCGCTTCTGCAGTCGCGTCAACCGTTGCAGCGCAACCCACGCGTCCACTCGCTCGAGGTCTTCCTCTGTGGGGCTGTGACGCTCTGTTGCCGATCTATTTGCAGGGACTTGATACCGATCGTGGCGGTGCTGGAGTTTAACCAGTGGTTCACCAAACTATTGGCACAGGACCTGAAGTTGGTGAGCAGCACGCACTCGCTCGCCCCTCCCGGTCATGTTGAGCTGTACATTGGTGTTGCGTCACAGCGCTCCACGCGTCGCTGGTTTAGTTGTTGACGCACCGCTCCACGCGTCACTGGTTTAGTTGTTGACGCACCGCTCCACGCGTCACTGGCTCACTTGTTGACGCACCGCTCCCTGCTCTGCTTGTTCCAGGGCTCGGACGTGAGCGAGCAAGTCCTCCGGGCCGTTGCGCGCTCCACGCAACTCCAGGAACTTCTGTTGGAGAATGCCGGCCTCAAGACGTGAGACCCACCGGCCACGGACGCATCGTACATAGCCGACCGCTCGCTAGCAACCGATGCGGCTGTTATTGCGGCCAAGTGATGAGCGCCAGCGTGTGGCCGTGCGCTGTCGCGCCACTGAGCGGGTGGCTCCGCTGAGATCCTAGGGTTTGTAACCAGCCAGCCACCGGTCCTCAAACTGGCATCTGAAGTGTAAGTTCTCAGGCTTTGGTAAATAATTACCAGGTAACAAAAAATGAAATGCCGATGGGATGAATTGATGAAGTTGAAATTGCAAAATGTGAAAAATGAAATCTAAATAATGGTGCGATAAATATTTGGGATTTCGCTTAATTTGGGCTAAATTCCGGCTGTGAGTAACAAAAAACGTGTTGTTGATGACTGTAACGCGTCGCACGGCAGCGCGCGCGCAGGGGAGTTACGCACGGTCACAACCACCGCTCACAGCTCATCTGTGAGTCACGTGGCCCCCCCCCCGCCCCCTCCTTCCCTACCCCCCCCTTCCCCACGCCGTGCCATGACATTTCCGAACAGACTCGCCGTTTCACCGCACAATTGGGCCCCGGACACCGAGCAAACAAGGCGCTCAGTCGCGAGGCATTTTCCGGGTGAAGTTATTGCAAGAAATAAATAATGCTTGTATTTTTCAAACAAGCAACGCTCTGTCCTGAAGTCAAATTCGATATTTCTCTCGGATCAGCAGCAACGGAGGCAGCGTTGCATAACGCGTCAATGTACGCCACGTATGTTTACACGCGTGTGACGTATGTCCGTGTGTTTTTTTTTTACTCGTATATGTAAATCTGGCAGCAGCTCTTTAAAATCTCCATGACAACCGGTTACTATGGAAACGCCCATCCTGGTTCCCGGCTTGCTCCCAGTGGAGTTTTGCGCCGTGGACCCATTTAACCCCTTCCTGTGGAGGAGACATTTCCACAGAAGTGCTTCTGAGAACAAAACCTTTCATCTTGGCGCACGTGTCCCACACGCACTCTGTCCAGCTGTGTTCGGGTTGCAGGGGCTGACTTGTACGCGAGGTCGTGGTGCCAGTTTAGTGTTGAGCTGCTGCTCAGTGCTTTGTAATGAATAGACCCCCAGGCTGCTGGCCTGTGGGGTCTCTGTCCGGGTTTTCTGGTCTGCCTCGAGGTTGTATCACGTGACAGTCAAACCAATTGTTACAATTCCCAGAGCTGGAAATTAGCCACACATGACACGAACAACCAGTTTGCCTTGCAGTTGTATTAAAGTTTTGCTCGGTGGTGGCGAGAGACCACACACAGCCCGTGGACTGCACACAGCAGCTGCTGCTGCTGCCTCGGTCAATGAATTGCCGCTTGACCATTAGAACAGCGCCCTCGCCCCCGCAGCAGCAAGCGGCGCCACTCCTCACGAGGACGGAGCTCTCCGCTTGTCCTCCACCCTGTCGTGATAACCACCCTCCCAGTGTGTTTCTGACGACTATTTTACTTTTTCTCCCATTCGACGAGGCTTTGGCTTGCCCACACCGAGTCTGTGGTGTGCCCTGCAGCCTCACCATGTATACTTGACCCCAAGTCGTACCTACAGCAACTCGCCTGCCACGTTCTCTTCAACAACCTCCAAGTTGCTTCACCCTATCCTCCATAATCCTGCACACACGTCACATCCAGTACAACCATTTTTTACCTCAACAACAATAATAATAATGTGCACTTATTAGGTGACTTTCGCAATGAACTCTGTGTTGAACTTCTTTGACTCAGCCTCAGATGATTACCTGGCATGGTGTGTAAGCGTCAGCACTGCAGAGACAGAGGCGGCCAGCCACGTGGTGCTGGTCTCTCTATCGCTGTTGGCCTTCGTAGGCGCTCGCCAACAGCACTTGCCCCCAGCAGCCTGCGGTTTTCCTCATGGGGGACCTTTGTCTTTGTGTGCCAGAGACTTTGCTCAGAAGCTGGGAGTTGCCCTGGCGCAGAATGGCGGCACGGCCCTGCACAGCATCAGCCTCGCGGGCAACGCGCTCGAGGACAGAGGTCACGACCCCGCACGCACCCTCACATCACCATCCGTGCGATGCTACTGAATCGTTTTCTTTACTCTTTTTATGAAATTGCTTCTTCAGCCATCTGAATTGCTTACTGGGGTTTTTGTTGTTGTTCTTGTTGACTACACACTGGCTGAGATGAGGCCCAGTGGCCCAAAACACCAATCGGCCAGCAACAAACAGCACTATCGCTCCTGGTACGCGAGAACTCGCTTGGATTGAGCGAGATTGTTATTGTGAGAGATTGGAGAAGAGACGATGATGATGACGACGAAGATGACGATGATAATGTTGGGAGGGGATTCCACAGTGGAGCATTTCGAGGGAAAGAAGCAGAGAGAGAAGTGAGGCGATGACCTGCAGTGTGGTGGGTGTGAGCGGGAGAGCGAGTGGCTAAGAGGATGAGTGTGTGAGTGGGTGGGGAGCGGTAGTGCAGCGGTTAGCGCGCTGCGCTACGAAGCTGGCGACCCGGGTTCGATTCCTGCTCACTGACAACACCAGCGACGATTATCTGAACCGGTCCTGGACCTCCCCTAGGTCCACTCAGCCTCAAATTAGTACCAGGTGCGGTGGGTAAACATCACCACTAGGGAGAGAAAGGCGGACGGGCGTGGTGCTGACCACCCACCCCCTCGTGTGCCACAGTGCCGGTCTTCGTCGGTGCCCCCAACATTGTGTTCAGGCTGCACGGGGGGATCGTTGTGTTTGTGGTGAGTTGGTGAGTGTGGGTGAGTGTGGGTGAGTGTGGGTGAGTGTGGGTGAGTGTGGGTGAGTGTGGGTGAGTGTGGGTGAGTGTTGGTGAGTGTGGGTGAGTGTTGGTGAGTGTGGGTGAGTGTGGTGAGTGTGGGTGAGTGTGGGTGAGTGTGGGTGAGTGTTGGTGAGTATTGGTGAGTGTTGGTGAGTGTGGGTGAGTGTGGGTGAGTGTTGGTGAGTGTGGGTGAGTGTGGGTGAGTGTGGGTGAGTGTTGGTGAGTGTGGGTGAGTGTGGGTGAGTGTTGGTGAGTGTGGGTGAGTGTTGGTGAGTATTGGTGAGTGTGGGTGAGTGTTGGTGAGTGTGGGTGAGTGTGGGTGAGTATTGGTGAGTGTGGGTGAGTGTGGGTGAGTGTTGGTGAGTATTGGTGAGTGTGGGTGAGTGTGGGTGAGTGTGGGTGAGTGTGGGTGAGTGTGGGTGAGTGTTGGTGAGTATGGGTGAGTGTGGGTGAGTGTGGGTGAGTGTTGGTGAGTATTGGTGAGTATTGGTGAGTGGGTGGGTGGGTGCATTGTTGTGACCTGTGGTGGATGAGAGAGTGTCAACCGAGTCCTCAACACGGGCGGAGGCATCACCGAGCGGTAACCACGACTCGTTGCGATAGAAGGGTGTGGTTGCTACGGCCATAGATTACCGGGAGACATTTCAACGTGAGCACAGTTCCTCAGCCCAGGGCTGCGTGTCCGAGCAGCGTGTGCAGCGCGTGCAGCGTGTGCAGCGCGCACCGTTCGCTTGCGCGCTGCTGCTGCTGCTGCACGGTCAGAAAAGGGGCCCCCCTGATGCAACCGGGGGGGGGGGGCAGGTTGAGCACAATTAGTTGAAAAAACATTTGGGTAAATCTACCCGACGTTTAACTCGTCACGTCGCGAGTACATTTCGTATTTGCACCGTTCCTATAGGGCGGAGTTGCTGTATTTCACGGACACGGAGGAGGGGGGGCTGCGTTTGTTTGGCAGTAGGGTGCGACGGTTGACATTCGTTTCCCAAGCGAGTGGTTTTGCGGTGTCATTTTCAATTTGGGTAAATTTGGACCGCGACCCGCCACCGCACGACGGCCCTTTGACATCCACCGTGAAGCAAGACGGCGTGCAGTGCATTTCCGGTTTAATACCACTGGCAGTATTAACCAGGGCGGTCTGCCGGTTTTCGAACCACGAACCTCTGCGACAAGAGCGGCACCAAGTTGCCGCAGCTGCTCGCGGTGACTGCGTCGCCCGTACCGATCGCCGTGAGCTGGAGGCGCTGCCGCTGCTGCTGCTGCTCGTGATGCAGGTGCCGCCTGCTTGAGTGGACCCCTGGGGAAGCTGGGAAAAGGACTCGCAATGCTCAACCTCTCCCGCACCGCCCTCACCGCCAAGGGTAACGCAACCCCACATCACTCCCACAATCCTCCGTGTGTCGCCCCCGCATCGCCCACGCAATACTCCACGCATCGCTCCCCGCTTCACTCCACAAATCAAGACTTGCATTGCTCCATGAATTGCTCCACACACACACCACGTATCAAATGTATAATGACACGTGCCCACACATTCACTGTGTAAGTGTGCACAGTTAATATTTACACAGTGAATACCACGCCCGGCCAATCACATGAATGAATAAGAACATGTTTTCGTTCCACTGGGTCCATGCAGAACCTGTAGAGTAGCAGGAGCTGGTGGAGCGCGAGGGAGCTCTAACCGCGGATTTGGAGGCAGGGGATCACTCAAAGTGATTCCTTGTTTGAGTGACTTCAGCCCATGATCTCCCTCCCTCCCTCCGCGGTTGATAAAACGAGAACCACTTCACGGGGAAGTCCGCAGTGGTTGTTGTATGGATCGTCTCACCCACCATGCCATAGGAATGTGGAATTTCCACCACGAGCTCAGGGCTTTGAACAGGAGCCACTGCGGTGCTCATTTGAGCAAATTAGGGGCTCGTGTCTAACAGAGAGGGCCCTTGCCTAAACAATATTTGTAAGTTCACCAGCGTTTATTGAGGCAAGCCTGACTCTGCTGATGAGAAACTGAGTTTTTTTGCTCGCGTTGAACCCAATGCTGCTGAAAATGCTGTCCTCAAAAGAAGACCGTGGGACTGATGGCATGTGAAACGAGTCCGCTTGGTCGTCTGAGCGAGAATCCCGGGTGTGAGCTCCGCTCCCTCCGGCAGGCGTCAACACGTTGGCCCAGGCGCTGTCCAGCACGCCGATGACCGCCTCCACGCTCACCCACCTGGACCTGTCGGGGAACGCTCTGCGGGGAGACGACCTCACCGTACGTGCCGGCACGCGTCGCGCTCCCGCCGCAGAGACGCGCACACACAGCACTCGCACTTGGGCCAACGTCGCCGCTCGAGCAGAAAACAGAACCCACCCCCCCCCCCGCCTTTACCGGGCTGTGGGGCCAAGCGCCGTTAGTGAGCACCTCCTGAAGGCCGACTCCGCACACGAGGTGGGGGGGGGGGGCAGGCGGTGTCAAGCACCACGCCTGGCCGCGTCTGACCCCCCAGTGCTGATGTTTACACTCCGTAAACCCCGGACCTGTTCAGATGCTCGTCACCGGCATTGGGTCGCGAGCGGACATCGAACTCTGGTCGACGAGTTCATCGCGCAGCGCGCTAACGATTGCGCCACCGCTTCCCACACACTCGTGTGCATCGACAGAAATGCACATGTACGCACACACACACACGTTAATCGTACACGTGCACGTCCGCGTACGTGTGCGCTGATGCCGCTCCGGTGTTTTGCTTTGTGGCCGCAGCATCTGCACAGCTTCCTGGCGGTGCCCAACGCCCTCCAACACCTCGACCTGTCGGCGACCGACTGCACCGTCGACTCGGTGAGTCCTCGCGGTGGTGACGACGACGACGATGTTTCATTTTCAGATGCACAGACCCCCCCCCCCACGGGGAAACCACGGCCAAAGCGGGGAAATCCGCAACAAAACTGGCGCCGATAATTGTCCAAGCTCTGCGGTCCAATATTGGGATGTTTGGCCATCTCCATGGAGCGAACGAGGGAGGGAGGAAAATCAGAATACCCGAGGGGGAAATTACACGCCTGCGAGGGAGTTGGCGCTCAAATCTCCCAGATGAGTAAATAGATTTAGCGGCCTCATTCGCCACGCAAGCTGCGTCTCTCACAAAACGTCACTTTTAAAATGAGATGGAAACCAACCCGCTCGCTCTACTGCCATTACCTTCCACGCCAGGAGATGGGCGATCTCACGGCACCCAGCGGGTAGGGGAGAGAGTTTCGCGTGATCCACCAACCCACAGCACTGCCCGCAGTGTTTGGAGGAGGCACGCTCGCTCCGCCGTGATCGGATCACAGGGAGCGCCCCGAGGACTCTGGGTAGAGGAGGATGGGGCGGGAGAGGGGCCTCGTCACACGCCAGCTCGCGCAAAGCGGAACACGTGAATCCGATGGTGATGTCGATGACATTGATACAGATTTAATGGTATTGGTTACATTAATAATCATATATTGATGATAATGTCAATGATGTTGATGATGATGTTTTCAGCTGTTCGGTCCCTTCCTGCGTGGCTGCTGCCATCACCTGGCGCACATCAACCTCTCTAGGAACGTGTTTTCTCAGAGGTGAGTGTTTATCATTATCATCATCATCACTCTTTTTTGACCCAGACAAAACAACCTCGCTGAGTCTCAAGACTTTTTGGGACTTTCCAGGAGGGTCCTGCCGAGTTTTCACTTCCGGGGGGAGTGGGGGGGGGGTCGACGACGATTGCGACGCGCTGCCCAATGAAGTCACTGGCATTGTCATTAATTTTTATTTGCCAAATTTTCACCGTGACGTCGGCACGCAAATGGCTCGCCCGTTCGCCGTGCGTGTGTCGGATTGAAAAGCCGAGGGCTTTGCGAGTGGCATGCGTTCATCTCGAGCGAGCGTTTTTTCCCTTTCCCCCCATCGGGCGAAATGTGTCGAGTGATTGAGATAAAATACAAATGCTCTTTATCAAACGATGTCACGGGATCGTCGGCGTCCGTTGCGAGTGAGGCAGAGGGCCGCGTGGTGCCGTTATGGTGATTACCGCAGCACAGTAGACTCCATTATTCGCGTGCGGTTCATCCGATTTACAGATTTGCACCTGAGATTTTGACATAGATTTATAACTCGTGGACTTTCCCTGAGGCCCAAATTATACATCTAAAAACAGTTCAACATTGATATTCTTGGAAATGTTTATTCCAAGTCACGTGCTTAAACTGAAGAAATACGTTGCTCCAGTTAATTGGAAAGCCACATAATCGCCTCTACAGTACAGTAGTTGCATATCTTGGCAACAGTGGGCAGAGTTTGAAAGATGTTGATTGGCGTGGCTGCTGCTGTCCACTTAGTGGGCCAAATAATCTGCGCGGGAGCAGGAAAGTGTCATCACTGAGCGAATGAAGTGTTGGGTACGCGGACGTGGTGACGGGCGAGAGGGGCCCGATGCTTGTATTTCACTGCGATGAGGGTTTGGTTGTGCTTGCCACCATTGGCCGTTCCCATTCTCCGGCAGACGAACGAGAGACATCGCCCCGTCGTGCAAGCAGTTCTTCTGCAGCTCCCTTGCGCTGCGCCATCTCAGCCTCTCCGGCACCAAGCTGCCAGCCGAGGCCGTCAAGTGAGGATTCTCGTGCACGGCCCAGACTCGCGCCCGTGGGAATAATGATACTGAAGTTACCTCTTGCACAGCAGGGCCCTCCTACATTGGGATGTTTGGCCAATTACAATTATGTGAGAGGAGGGTTCTTGTGGAAAGAAACCGGGGAGCCCAGAGAAAGCCCACCTTCAATAAAGGAGGGGGGTGACATTGAAAAATCCGCAAAGATGGATTCAAGAATCTGTCACTGTGCTGCCCTCTGCTGGTCACCTGGCGGCCAGTCCCAGCCCCCACAGCGCCTGCTGCTCGCGAACAGTCTCCCACCCAAGTACGAATCGGGCTCAGCACAGCTGGCATTGTCCGATCAACGCCTTTCATCCAGGGGGACGATTGTATTTCTATCCCCAGAGTGCGGTGCCGGGCAGAACATTTCCCAGGGGAGGCAGGGAAATCTCACCCCCCCCCCTCCCCCACATCGTCTCACCCTGAGCACCTGGCCATGGCCACGCGGCACGAGCACGCTGTCGGTGCCAGTAGACTGCTGCCGGTGCCAGGAGCGTGAGCACGAGCGGACACGGCGCGGGAGGGCGACGTGTCCGCTCGTGGCTCTCGCCATCTCCCGTTACCACGGCCGGTCCCGGTCGTCGCCGCCGCCGCCGCTGCCGCCGTGCGCGACCGCCGCCAAGCCGTGCTGTGCCGTGTGGTGCGCAGGGCGCTGCTGCTGGGCCTCACCTGCAACCAGCACGCGCGCGACGTCTCGCTCGACATCAGCAGCACCGAGGTGCGGTGGCTGCGGCTGCTTCCCAAGGCGTTGCCCTCCTCCCCGCCCCCCGCTTCGTTAATTCGGAGCTGCTGCTCCTCCTGTCGTATGGCGTTTGAAAAAAGCATCAGGGCGAGCGACGTCCGTGTTTACCGTTGAGAGCCATTCCCCCGCAGCGTCCGGGTAGTTGTTCCACCAGAGTATGCGTGTTGTCAACTAAAACTAAACTAAACCATTTTTTTCTGCTAAACTACAATTTTTTATTTTACCAGGTCAGGCCCCACTGAGCTATAAACTCTTTTTCAGAAGCGGCCTGGCCACAAATGACAGCTCAATTAAGTGGCCTATCATGTGGAAATTTACAGCAGCTATAAATACTTTAAGCGCATGTTAATAAGTGTGGAGGGAGAAACCGGATGACCCGGAGAAAAATCTACACAACCACGCGGAGAGAAACATGCAAACTCCAAAAATGTAGGCGTCAGGGATCGGGATCGAGCCCATGACCTCCTGCATACGAGACGAGGTAGTGAACATCTCCTATCCACCGTCACGCCCTTTGGTATTGGGGTAGCTGAGTAAAGTCGTCTGCGGGAATGCGCCTGCTGTATTGGGCACCCATCGGTGTTGTGCGCCTGATGTTATTGCAGTTTGGTGGAGTCCCTGATCGTTCCAATCATGGAGAAAATGCCCCTCCTCACCTTCTTCCTCTCTGTGCGGTGCCTGCTACTTGGTACTCTGATAACCGCCTCTCTGAGCGGTGCCTGCTACTTGGTACTCTGATAACTGCCTCTCTGAGCGGTGCCTGCTACTTGGTACTCTGATGACCGCCTCTCTGAGCGGGTGCCTGCTACTTGGTACTCTGATAACCGCCTCTCTGTGCGGTGCCTGCTACTTGGTACTCTGATAACCGCCTCTCTGAGCGGTGCCTGCTACTTGGTACTCTGATAACCGCCTCTCTGTGCGGGTGCCTGCTACTTGGTACTCTGATAACCGCCTCTCTGTGCGGTGCCTGCTACTTGGTACTCTGATAACCGCCTCTCTGAGCGGTGCCTGCTACTTGGTACTCTGATAACCGCCTCTCTGTGCGGGTGCCTGCTACTTGGTACTCTGATAACCGCCTCTCTGTGCGGTGCCTGCTACTTGGTACTCTGATAACCGCCTCTCTGAGCGGTGCCTGCTACTTGGTACTCTGATAACCGCCTCTCTGTGCGGTGCCTGCTACTTGGTACTCTGATAACCGCCTCTCTGTGCGGTGCCTGCTACTTGGTACTCTGATAACCGCCTCTCTGTGCGGGTGCCTGCTACTTGGTACTCTGATAACCGCCTCTCTGTGCGGTGCCTGCTACTTGGTACTCTGATAACCGCCTCTCTGAGCGGTGCCTGCTACTTGGTACTCTGATAACCGCCTCTCTGAGCGGTGCCTGCTACTTGGTACTCTGATAACCGCCTCTCTGAGCGGTGCCTGCTACTTGGTACTCTGATAACCGCCTCTCTGAGCGGTTCCTGCTACTTGGTACTCTGATAACCGCCTCTCTGTGCGGTGCCTGCTACTTGGTACTCTGATAACCGCCGCTGGGTGTGTGCGCGTGTGCCTCCTACTTTGCCTGCCTGCCGCCTGCCTCTCCCCACTGCTCAGCTGGGTCACTGTGTGAGTATCCCGACATCGTCGTCTGCGTTTTGTGGATTCGGAGACCCCCCCCCCCCCACCCGCTGCTGGGGACGTTCCACCGCTTAAGCGGCGCGGAAGCTTGCAGAGCAGAGGTCGCAACCGGGTACCCGATACCCGTACCCTACCCGATACCCAGCTACCCATACCCGGCCGGGTATGGGTACGGGTAGCCGTTTGCGACCCTGGTGTGGCCGGGTACGGGTAAGGAATCAAAACCCGTTTGCGACCTCTGGTGCAGAGTCGGAGCTGGCGCCCACTCCGCCCACAGGGGGCAAGCTCTCTGCAGCTCCTCGCTGCAGCACCGTGGCAAACGGTGCTGCCCCAAGGAGGCCTTCACCCGGTAGTGGTTTGGCAGGGAGGCTGTAACTTTGCGTCTTCATTTCCCGTGACTAAATGAATAACAAAACATTTATTTGGCGATGCTGCTCCGTTGGCAGTGATGCACAATCCAGTACAACACCAACAGCTCGACACATTCATCGGTAACGGTGTGACCCTGAAAGTAAAAATATATAATCGGGGATATTTTGGCCGGTGATCCTTCCTCATAGCACGTGAGAGCAGGAGAGTAGCCGCAAAGATCGCTTCCATCATGCTGCCGGTTTTAATGTAACGCTGTGTTTTTATTCGCGTGATGTTTCGTTCATTAAACTAGCTACTTTTTTTCTTTTTAAAGTTGAGGTCAGCGGGTGCGCAAGTTTTGGAAGGGTGCATCGCTGATGTCCACAACATCAGCAGCCTGGACGTGTCCGACAATGGTGAGGAGCCGTGTGCACAGCCCCCGTCGTGCCGGGGGGAGTCAGAGCCCCGTTCACGTCGCGGTGTCACGGCGGTAAAACAACAATGTCGCTTTTATCGCTGCGTGTCGCTGCGTGTTGCTGTGTGTCTCTGTGTGTCTCTGTGTGTCTCTGTGTACCACTGCGTGTCGCTGCGTGTCGCTGCGTGTCGCTGCGTGTCGCTGTGTGTCGCTGTGTGTCTCTGTGTGTCTCTGTGTGTGTCTGTGTGTTGAGTATCTCTGTGTATCTCTGTGTGTCTCTGTGTGTTGTGTGTCTCTGTGTGTTGAGTATCTCTGTGTGTCGCTGTGTGTCTCTGCGTGTCGCTGTGTATCTCTGCGTGTCTCTGTGTGTCGCTGCGTGTTGCTACGCAGGCCTGGAGTCCGACCTGGCCACTCTAACCGTTTGGCTGTGCAAGAACCGCTCCATCAAGCATTTGGCGCTGGGCAGGAATTTCAGCAACATGAAGCCCAAGTGAGTTGCTCACCATTTGTCGTCTCAGCCCGGGGCGGCGCGCGTCTTGACAGGACGGGACAGTTTCCACATCTCTCTCGTGCTTCTGTTCATGATGAGACACTCGGCGTAGGACAGGGGCGAATTGCGCGCTTGCGCGGAGGTTCATGAAACCCAACCCCCGCGCACTCTGAGACCCTAATACATCATACATAATAATACATAATAATACATAATACATAATAATACATAATAATGCCTAATACACGTTGACTGTAATACGTAAGCTGAGCAGGCAGATGTGCCTCCTGCCCACGTCTGCTCCTCCTCCGCATCAAACGTACAACGCGTCTTTCTCTTGCAGGAACGTGGGGCCAGTTCTGGATAACATTGTGCAGATGATCCAGGACGAAGACTCGGTACGTGTGAACTTTGACCCAACCCCCTCACACCTGTGTGTGTATGCATGTGTGTGTATACATGTGTGTGCGGCCTGTGTGTGTATGCATGGTGTGTGTGTCCGTGCGTGGTGCGAGTGTGTGCACGTGCATGTGTGGTGTGTGTGTATACATGTGTATGCGAGAAGCACGTGTGGTGTGTGGTGTGCGTGTGTGTGTGTGTGCGTGGTGTGTGTGCGTGTGTGGTGTGTGTGTGCGTGTGTGGTGTGCGTGTGTGGTGTGCGTGTGTGTGTACGTGCGTGGTGTGTGGTGTGTGTGTGCGTGGTGTGTGTGTGTACGTGGTGTGTGTGTGTGTGTACCCGTGGTGCGTGCGTGTGTGTGTATGCGTGGTGTGTGGTAGCTTGGGTGGAGAACCGTGAACGTCGTGATTTGTGCACTGCACGATGAAGCCAACGAGCCTCTTTCGATTTTTTATCCTCACTCCTGGATATCAGCGATGGAAGTCTGAACCAGTCTTGGTCCTCCTCTCTATGTCTACTCAGCCTTACACGAGTACCCGGTGCACTGCGTAGACATCGGTAATGATGAGACAAAAGGTGGCCGGGGTGTGGCGCTGGCCACACCACCCGCTCGTGCGCCGTGCCGGCCCTTCAAAGGTGCTTGCTAGCAGCACCTGCCTCGACTGCCTGTTGAGGCGACACGGGCGATCGCTGCTTTTGTCCGCTGCTGCTGCTGGTGCTGCTGCTGCTGCTGCTGCTACTGCTGCTGCTACTACTACTGCTGCTGCTGCTGCTACTACTGCTGCTGCTGATGTTGCTGCTGCTACTCCTGCTGCTGCTGCTGCTCTGTGCCGTCTGCAGCCTCTGCAGTCGTTGTCCTTGGCGGACTCGAAGCTCAAGGCAGACCTCACCATCGTGATCAACGCCCTGGGAAGTAACACGTCGCTGACGCGCGTCGACCTCAGCGGCAACAGCATGGGCGACATCGGGGCCAAGATGCTGGCCAAAGCCCTGCAGATCAACACCAAGCTGAGGCCCGTTCTCTCTCGCGCGCTCGCGCGCTTGCCGGCGCGTCCCCCTTCTCCCCTTTCGTCCATTCGCTCTTCCTACGGCCAGTGGCGGGAATGTGCCGCGATGCGACGGTGCCCCGGAGAAACCCCATCACGCATAGCAGGGGGCGGGGGCGGGGGGCGACACTCACAGGGGGGCGTGGCGCCGCGGTGGCGAGATGCCCGATGGTATACAGGAAGTCGTGGGTTCGATCCTGACCCTGACGTCTGTATGTTTGGAGTTTGCACGTTCGCGCCGTGGTCAAGTTGGGTTTTTCCCTTCACATTTAGAATCAACATCATGCGTTTACAGTATTTGGCTGCTATAAATGTCCACACGATGATAAGCCACTTTGTTGAGCTATCGTTTGTGGCCTGGTCGCTTCTGAAAAAGAGCCACGTAGCTCAGTGGGCCTTACCTGGTGAAATAAAAATGGTTTAATTTCATTTTTTTTTTAGTAAAGCTCCGCACAGATTCAAGAATCCGTTGCTTTGCTGCCCCCTCTTCTGGCCATCTCGCGGCCTGCCCCAAACCGACATCGCCTGCTATTCGCAAAACGGTCTCCCGCTCGAGTGCCAAACAGACTCGATCCTGGCGGCATTGGCAACAGACATCTTTTATCGGCTGGTTCGCAGTGCCGGCGTTTCCAAAACACCACGGGTGCGTACCGGCAAACTTTTCTGGGTGGTTCCGATCCCTGCACCGAGATGTTTTTTCTGCTGATGGGGAAAAAATGGCAGCAAGCGCGAGCCGCTGGACCAATCGGTTTCACTCGCTTCGTTTATTGAGATTCGGTCAAACTTAATGACGCCGTCCTACAGACCAGTAACACCGACGAGTCCTAATCAATATCGTCGGGTGTTTATTGATTAGAATGCATTATTGTCCAGTTTAAATGTGATTGGTTGTTCATGTGAGCTCGTGATGCCTGTTGTGAAAAAGCCGGGTTAGGTGACACAGTTATTCTGACTTCTTGGATATATCCCTGAGCATGTTTGACTCGGGTTCAAGCAAAACGTCACGTATCTAATCCGCTGCTAAATTTATTTGTGAAGATTGTTCTCCAACTCTCCCACAGAGAGTGAGTGAATGACTTGAGTGGGTGGACAAGTGACTGAGTGAGTGACTGAGCTGGAAAAATAATAATCGGCGAATTGTCAAACGTTTGTTGACTGCCTGCCCATTTAATTTGTTTGACCATGTCGGGTGGTGGAGGGTATTAACGACACAAATTTGGTCGGATCATTTACGTGGCCTAACCCAAAACTCGATGACGAATTCATACCGGAACTTCTCCGTTGACATTTTCCACCGATGGATAGAACCCACGGGGAGTGGCTCGGGCCCTGCCGCTCTGCCACCGAGTGTGCCGCTGCTGTTGAGGTGCGCTCACTCTCGCTCCGCTGTCGCCCTGTGCGCAGGACTGTGATCTGGGATAAAAACAACACGACCGCACAAGGCTTCCAGGATGTGGCGGGAGCCCTGGAGAAGTACGTCTCCTCTGTCCGTACCACATCCGTGTCCTGTGGCCTCTCTGTGCGTATCACATCCATGTCCTGTCTCCTCTGTGCGTGTCACATCCGTGTCCTGTCCCCCCCTGCCCGTGTCACATCCGGTCCCCATGCGCGCGTGTGTGTGATGAGCGTTAGTGTAGCGGTTAGCAGGAATCGAACCGAGTTTGATTCCTGCTCACAGCCAACACCAGTGACGATTATCTGAACCAGTTCTAGGCCTCCACTCGGTTGACTCGGCTTCAAACGAGTACCTGGTGCGATGCATAAAGCCACTAGGGAGACAAAGGCAGCCGGGCGTGGTACTGGTCACCTCCACCCTCGTTTGCCGTGCCGGCCTTCATAGGTGCTCGCAAACCGCACTTGCCCGAACAGACTGTTCATGCTATATGGGGGGTCTTTGTCTTTGTGCGCGTGTCCACGTGTGTGCACGTACACGCGTCGTGCACGTGAGCAGGAACTACACACTGCGGTACATGCCGACCCCGGTGAATGACGCCTCCGTGGCCCTGAAAGCGAATCCCGAGAAAACGGAAGAGGCCCTCCAGAAGGTGGGTTAGCGGTGGCGCTACCAAGCGCTACCTGGCGCTACCTGGCGCTAGCTAGTGCTACATAGCGCCAGGTAGCGCTACCTGGCGCTACCTCGCGCTACCTAGCGCTACCTTGCGCTACGAACCCGGCGGCGACCCGAGTTCGTGTGTGTATGTACTTGTGCGTGTGTGTGCGTGTCTGTATGTACTTGTGTGTCTGTGTGCGTGTGTGTGTATGTACTTGTGTGTGTGTGCGCTTGCGTCTGTGCAGATCGAGAACGTGTTGCTGCGGAACCACGAGAGTCGGCGCTTCTCCCCCGAGCAAGCGTACCGGCTCCAGCAGGGCATCGTGACGAGCACGTCGCAGCAGGTCGCCGCCCCCCCCCCCGCCCCCCCTTCCTCGCCATCGTCACACTCCTCTCCTCCGGCTTCACCGTCACCGGCGGCAGCGGCGGCGGCGTTCGACCGCAACCCGCAACCTGGGAAATCGGTTACCGGTTCCCAAGGCCAGGAAGCGGTAACCGATTCCAGTGCGGTGTCGGCAGCGAACGCACGCAACCGACTGGCTCGCGCGAACGTGCCAAGCCGCACGGTGACCGCGTCGTGGTGCGTTTGGCCCTCGTGTCTCGGCTGAGAGGTTAAAGGCGCGCGGGCCCCTGCAATGTCTCGCTCGCACCGCCGCCGGGGGGAGCGGCCGCCACCTGTGGGGTGTTTGCTCTCCACGCGATGCCGCTTGGGAGGGTGGTGACCGTCGCCACAATTTGCCCCACCACTCGTGACCTGCCAATCGGCTCAACTGTGGTTGTTGACCATCTCTACCGCTGGGTGGAGAGAGGGTGGCTGGGGTCGATTCATGAAAATGTGGCCCCATTGTTCCACCTGCCGCACCGGGAGATGGAATCGAAAAACGGCTACATCTGGATTGCAAGTCCGGCGCGCTCCTGACGGTTACACCTCTGCGTGTGTCGAACTTCTTTCGCGCCGTGCGTAGCCGACCGTGCTAACCCGAGATCGTGTGGCAGCTCCCTTGGTTTCTCGGCAATGTTCACCGCATCTTCAGCTCGCTTGCTCTCGGCGGTTGTTGTCCGTGCGCTACGTCGCTCGTCCCGTTGGAACGGAGTCCGCCGCATCACAATTCCCAGAATCCCACACGGTGCCGTCGGCGCTGCTCACGGAACGGCCGCGAGAACGACGGCGCGAGGCTGTCGCGAGGGAAGCCGCCGCCAGTGCGCTGCACATTGAGAGCACGAGCGCTCACTGACGGAGTTGGCCCGGCAACCCAATGTAGGACCGCAGAGCTTGGGCAATTGTTGGTACCGCTTCTGGTTGCCTTCCTTCTCGCTGGCGCTGTCGTTTTCCCCCCGCACCTCCGTGCAAAAATCCCTGCGCGCGCCGCAAACTGCAGCAACGGTGCGAGATGGCCGCTTGCGCGCATGACGCTGCACTACGATGCAACGTCTCCGCTATTGTCGTGTATTTAGCAGGTAAATTAAACTTTATTTTCGTTATCTCGAACCGTGAGGCCGGCACGTGGGTTGCCTCCAATCCTCACGAATGACGTCTCGGGATCTTGAACATCCACTCGAAAGCAGACGGCGTTCACGGTTGGACGCAGAGAGGACGTCTGTGAAAATACTCGGGCATCCGTGAAAATAACACGGAGAGATTCTTGGCTCATCGGATTCCCCCAATGAAGATTCTGATTACAATGGTTAAATCACACTGCCGCAGTATGGGAAAATCCCCTTCCACTGTCTCTTTATCCCAGTCTCTGCTGTTAACAAGCGGCAGCACCTATGACACACACGCACACACACGTGGACGCTGCGCACAACCCTGCCATGCCCCCCCCCCCCCCGCGTGCCGTGGTGTTGGCTCACAGATGGTGGACCGCATGTGTGTCAAGGTGAGGGATCACCTCAACTCCCTGCGCAACGTTCAGGCGGAGAGCGCTCGCGACGACGTCAGGACCGCCGAGTCTCTGGTGCGCGACGCCAAGAACGCGCGCACGGTCAGTTCACCCCTCCCCTCCGCTCCGCTCTGCGCATCGCCCGCCCGGCACAAGTCTCCCAGCCGTCACTCGCACGCCTGCTGAGGTTATCGCCTCGGTCGTTGGTTGTTGTACGGATTAATCTCCCCCACCCCCCCGCCATAGGAATGAGGAATTTCCACCATTTGGCTCAGGGCTGCGAACAGATGACCACCATCTCGGTGCCCATTCGAGCGGCAGGAAATCTCCACCAATCGCGGCAATGCTGGGGCTCGCGCAAACCCAACCCCTCTTTGTGGGGGGAGTCAACGGAGGACTTGCTCCAATCTGTACTGCCACAACAAAGCCGGATACCGCGGGCCCGCGGACCCCACAACGGCGATTGCCGCTCCGTTTCGCCATGCGCCTGCCGCGTAGTGATCGCTTACGTCGCGACGCCGTGCGTGTCTCGCCCCCCCCCCCCCCCCCCCCCCATAGTTGCTGCCCAACCTGTACCACGTGGGTGCCGAGGCGTGGTACGGAGAGAGCGGCGCCCGCGGGTCGCCCATTCAGGCCAAGCTGGAGCTCATGGCCGGAGAGCTCACCGTGGTCGTCGAGAAGCAGCTGGAGGTGAGGCGGGATTCTCCACCGCAGCACACCACGCAGCCCCGCAGCACACCACGCAGCACACCACTTAGCCCCACAGCACACCACTAAGCCCCACAGCACACCACGCAGCACACCACTTAGCCCCACAGCACACCACTTAGCCCCACAGCACACCACTTAGCCCCACAGCATACCACGCAGCACACCACTTAGCCCCACAGCACACCACTTAGCCCTACAGCACACCACTTAGCCCCACAGCACACCACGCGGCACACCACGCAGCACACCACGCAGCACACCACGCAGCACGCGACAATGTACATGTACATTGTGTGTAGGGCCATGACGAGGTGGTTAATGTCTTCATCAGACACAGGCGGGCAGTGTCTGAGATGACGTGGACGCACACAATCTTCCCTCGGCCATTCGGCAGATTAGAATCCTCCCGCCTTTCGCTATTCAAATATGCTGACCAATCGGCCAATCAGAGCTCGCCTGGCTCGCGGCCGAGGTAGTAGCAGGCTGAGGTAGTAGCAGCTCCCAGCGATGTATTCAAACAGCAGAGTCGGCTAATTACCGAGCATCCTCCTTCGGTGTCCTGACACGTGTATCGGTGCGTGTGTGTGCGCATGTGTAGCGGTGCGTGTGTGTGCGCATGTGTGTCGGTGCGCATGTGCGCGCATGTGTATCGGTGCGCGTGTGCGCGCATGTGTATCGGTGCGTGTGTGTGCGCATGTGTATCGGTGCGTGTGTGTGCGCGAGTTCATGTGGGGAGTGGTGGCACAGTAGTTGGCCCACTGCGCTACAAACCCAGAGACCTGATGTAATTGGCATGATTTGTGTGATTGCCGTGATTGCCCTAATTGATTTCCCCTGATTGAATATCCGAGATTGTCCTCGTCGATTTCCGAGATAGCCCTGATTGGCCGGCACGGTTGGCGTGATTGCGGGGCTGCCCGGTAGACGCTGCTGGACTCGATGCTGGACGCGGCCCAGGCGCTGTGCCCCCACGTGATGAGGCCGGGCGGGGAGATGCGCGAGGAGCTGCGCGCGTCCAGCGCCGGGAAGGTCTCCGTGCCGCAAGACTTCGTCCGCAAGGTCCTCCTCACGCAGGCCGCCGCCGACATCCTCAATAAGATCAGGTATCCCGCACTTTGTCACGATTGACCACGTGCGTGTCCGTTTGTGCGTGTGCGTGCGTGGTGCTGGGGAGCGGTAGTGCAGCGGTTAGCGCGCTGCGCTACGAACCCAGCGAGCCGAGTTTGATTCCTGCTCACGGCCAACACCGGTGACGATTGTCTGAACTCAGTCCTGTGCTTTCCCTGGCCCTAGCATAGTTCGACCCAGACTCAAAGTGGGCTTGTCCTGGTAGGATGGCGATGGTTAAGTTTTATTTGTATGTGTTTGCAATACCTTTCAACCCCTTATCAGCGCCCTACCTTGTTACAGACCAATTCAGACCGTATTGGTCACCACGTGCCCCTTATAAATCTCAACGTTCATCCTACAAAGTCCCATCACGAGGGACAAACACAAACAAATGTACAAAAAAATTGCCCATATTGAAACGGCTGTACACCGTATGGACCTGAAAACTCGATTTAACTGTACAAGAATACGGGGTAAACTACATGGGTTGACAGGTATGAGTTACACTCCGTCAAATGCACGTTCACGTGATGGCAGTGGTGATTTGACTCCTCGCTTCCCGTCCCGTGCATATAGCGAAAGTACGAAAGTGTGAGTGAATCGGGGTCGGTCGCGTACGAGCGTTATTGTTCTCGAGGGCAGCCTGTCCTTCGGGTGATTTGATTACCTTTCTTGTACTTCACACTTCTATCGTGTTTGTGTTCTGTTTGTTGTTGTAACGTTCTTACCCCATGCCCCAACTGGACATCTGTGAAAAAGAGTTCGAGAGCTCATCGGATTCCTCCAGGATAAATATTCAGATTCTGATTCAAATAAGCACATGGCACATGTGCCGTGCTTGCGTTCATAGGTACTGCTCGCTAACAGCACTTGCCCCAACCGCTTGTTAAGGTGGCACGCGGGTGATGCTTGTCCTTGTTGCCGTGTGCGCTCAGCGAGGTGAAACTCGCCACGGCGTCGCACCTCTCCGACCGTCTCATGGACGAGATCCTGGGCAGCCTCTCCACCTCGCAGCATCGGCTGGTGAGTTCTTCTTCGCGTGACGTCGGCAGCCGTTCTCTGTTTGCCCGCTGGATGCGGGGGGCCTCCTCTCGTCTCCATCCACCTCGTCGCTCCGTCTCCGCGACGGGTCGTCCTTCCTGGCGTGTTCGCTCCTTCGCCTGAATGTCATCCCGCCAGCCTCGAGCATCGGCCGTCGTCTCTCTTGGCCGCCATGCGTCGCTGTGCATGGGTGCCATGGATGGCGAGATGTTAACTACCTCGCCTGGTATACAGGAGGTTGTGGGTTCGGTCCCGACCCTGATGCCTGCTGCTGTATATTTGGAGTTTGCATGTCTCTCTCCCCGTGGTCGCGTGGATTTTCTCCGGGCCCTCCACATTTTAGAAACGTGCGTTTAGGGTATTTGTCTGCTGTAAATTTCCACGTGATAAGCCACTTCATTGATCCATCATTTGTGGCCAAGTCGCTTCTGAAGGAGTAAAATAAAAACAATTTAGTTTATTTTAGTGTGTGGGCATCAAAACAGCCCTCACCTATGACAAAAGAACTCCCGCCTCCTTGATGGTATAGGATGGTAACCGTGGTGTATTGAGAGGAAGTGATATTTTGGGGGAGAAAGCTGAAAGACCGATGCTCATCAGCTCGTAGCCTCATGGCGCTCACAGCCACATCGGTGGCTCATGGGATGCTGGACAGGTATGGGGGGGGGGGGGCTTGGAACCTCTCCACCGTTAAACTCATTCACCACAAAACTACAGAGGGAACACCAAACCAAGCTTGTGTCGGAGGCCCCGAGGGAACAGTGTCTTCCACTGATGGCAGACATCCACCAAAGAAACCCCCTTAAAACACAACATCGCCTGGTCTCAGCGACCAAAGCTAAATTTACAAATCAATCTTCAATTCCATCAAGACAGTAACTTGCAGCAACCGCACCTCATCGCCATCCTTAAGGGAAAATTGGTGACGTGACCTCAGATTCCCCAAGGAAGAGGTTTGCAGTTTCTGAACATTTATTTGAGGTCTTTGAGGTGGGGTGACCGGCTCGGGCTGCGGTGCACGGCCTCACCGCGTGTCTGTCCCTGCACGTGTCTGTGCGTGCGTCAGGGTGAGCACGTGCACCGCTCGGGACGCCCCGTCCCCCGCGCCCAGCGGCGAGACTCGGAGGAGCTCGACGCGCCGGAGGAGGGAACGCGCGAGCGTCGCGGCGACGAGAGAGAGCGTCGCGGCGACGAGAGAGAGCGGCGCGGCGACGAGGCCGCGGGGACGCACGACGCCGAGCGGCATGAGGACGCGGACAGCTGCACGGTGCCCGAACCCTCACCCAACAGCCACAGGAACACTCACCACACTTCTATCTGAACCCAGACGTAGCCCCTAACCTCACCCTAACCCTCACCCACAAGCCACAGGAACACTCCCCATACTTCTATCTGAACCCAGACATCGCCCCTAACCTCACCCTAACCCTCACCACACTTCTATCTGAACCCAGACATCGCCCCTAACCTCACCCGAACCCTCACCCACAAGCCACAGGAACACTCCCCATACTTCTATCTGAACCCAGACATCGCCCCTAACCTCACCCTAACCCTCACCACACTTCTATCTGAACCCAGACATCGCCCCTAACCTCACCCGAACCCTCACCCACAAGCCACAGGAACACTCCCCATACTTCTATCTGAACCCAGACATCGCCCCTAACCTCACCCTAACCCTCACCACACTTCTATCTGAACCCAGACATAGCCCCTAACCTCACCCGAATCCTCACCCTATGCGAGGCCCTCACCGTAAATCTCTCGCTAAACCCCTACGCCAGTCGAGCCAAGTGTCGTCAGAGTTCATGTAAAGACGGCGCCATCAAAGCGCCCAGTGCCGTGGTCGCTCATTGCCAATTTATGATCAACGCCGTCCAATTGCAATATTACACGGGAAGCCAGGTGATGCTTTTCGATTATCGTAGACACGTAAGCTTGCCAGGCCTCGGCACTTTTAATGACGAGCAGTTGCACGCAGATGCAAATGGAGTTTGACCGCACGCCCAAAATGGACGGTGCCGGGTTCTGGCTGCTTTCCCGTTTGCCTGTGGGTCGTTCTGTGTCTCGTGAGAGTGAGCAAAATAACTACACACGCTGCACATTCTGAATGATTGAATTATGCCGATGATGACTGTGTTTGAGGGTGGATGCCGGCACTGTCCTGGTCTAACGCTTCTGTAAGGGGACGGTGTTGTGTTGCCGTGTCCCTTTCTCTTTCCCTCTTCTCACTGCTTCCCTGTCACACTCGGCACTGAAGACGCTCTGTTGCCCGAGTGTAAGTAACTTCAGTCGCTTTATCCTGAGACCTTGCATGTCCATAAGCAGTGTGCACGTGTTACTGTGATTGACTCAACACTGCTCGCGACGAGCGGAGCCCCGGGCGGCTAAAACACAGCAAGTGGGCACAGTGGACAGCACTGGTGGTGCATCTGTCAGTCCTCAATCAACCCATGGCACCGCCCGGCTCTGTCCCGTGACCTCCTGCCAGCGTCGCCTTGCACAATTCACGTGGTAGCCTCAAAGTGCACCTCGGCTGGCACGACCGCTGTTTGTGTAAATGTGCAGTAGTGGTAGTGGTTAGTGCCACTGTGCTATGAGCCTGGTGAGTTTGGTTCCCAGGGACAGCCAAAATCAGTGAACAGGGTGGCCGTCTGTCTTGGTTTGACTCGGGACAAGTCCAGGAATTGGTATTTTTTCCCCCAGGTAAGGCCCACTGAGCTATGTTATAGCTCTTATTCAGAAGCGACCTATCACAAATGGCAGCCCAACGCGGTGGCTTAACATCACGTGGAAATTTATAGCAGCCGAATGCTGTAAACGCGTGATGTTCATTATAAATGTGGAGGGTTGGGATCGAACCCACAACCTCCTGTATACCAGGCGAGGTAGTTAACACATCGCCACCGTGGCACCCTCTGTGTTTTTGGCGCAGCAAATGATGAATTTGCACCAAGATCTGGTACCAGTATTGTGTTGAACTTAATTTTAGTTGTAACTGTACCGTCTTGACAATAGGCCTCGGCTGACTGAGAACCGTGGGTTTGGTCTGCTCTGGACAAGATCCAGACCCTAGTGATGGAAATCTGCATTGATCCTTTGCACTTTTCTAAGTTGAATCCACCTTAAAATTACTGCAGTACCTGATGCATTGTGTAGTAATTATCAGAGGTGGCCGGCTGTGGGGCTGGCCACACCACCCACCTGATGCACCGTGCCGGCCTTCATAGGCGTTTGCTAACGTCACTTGCCTAGCGACTTGTGCAAGCCATGTGATGACGTTCTTCCCCTCTCTCTGCCCATGCCACAGCTCACCCCAAAAAGTAAACGGAAAAGCATCTACAGCCGGAAACTACGCCCCGTGTCCAAGTTGTTTGGTAGGTGCAACGTGGTGGTGCAACACGGTGATGAAATATTTCACCGAATAACAAAATAAGATTTGCGTTCAAATGAAGCCGTGCTCTCCGTGTGGAAACGCCCGCGAACGACTTTCGATTCTCCGCAGAGTTTGAGATCGACCCGGTCGCCATGACGAGCACGACAGAGACGACCCTGACCCCGACCCCGACCCCGACGTCGCTCCTGGATGAGGCCGCGACTCCGGAGAGTCCCGGTGGCGGCGGCGGCAGCGGCGCGGACCGCAGCCCTCACGCCGCGTTGGCCGAGCTGCCGTCCGAGGAGTGCCGCAAGCTGGAGCACGTGACCAAGGGGCGGCCTCGCAGGGCCAAGAAGCAACCGCTGGGGCGGCTGGCGGTGAGCGGCAATTCCCCGCGTCGCCCCCTCGTAGGAACATGGGTGGGAAATGTCAGGTGCGAGGCGTCCACACTCAGAATTGGAACCGGAAGTTTTTTCCTCCCGAGCTAAGAAGCCTTTTTTTTTTCGGGGGCAACTCGGCAGGCAGATGCGTCGTCACCAAATGGCGAATCCCAGATTTCAAGCGTTCGTTCGGGGTTGGCGTTCCACTGTGGCATCGGTCTCCACCGCCCGTCCTACGGGGGGGGGAGGGTGTGACGGTGGACGCGGTCAACTGCACTGGCCGGTCGAGCTCCATTTCCGGATCCTCTCTGTGATAGCGGCAGACACGGCACGGAGCACCGCCTGTGCCCCCCCTCCACCGCCGCCGACCCAGTGGAATCCGGCTATGTGACCAAACGCTTCCCAGAGTTGTGCTGTGTGCGGAACGCGCGTTGTGTCTGTGCTGGCTCAACATGGTCGTTGAGCCGTCATGCACGCGCATGTGTGTGTGTGCGTGTGAGTGTGCATGTGTGTGTGCATGTGTGTGCGTGTGCGCGTTGTGTGTGTGTGTGTGCGTGTACGCGTTGTGTCTGTGTGTGGCTGCAGTCCTGCACGGGCGGCATCGCGGAGTCTCAGGAGGGCGAGCAGAACGGCATCATGGGACGCGTTGACGAGGGAGTCGATGAGTTCTTCTCCAAGAAGGTGTCACGAGTCTCCTCCAAGTGCGTTTACGTCTCTAGCGGGCGCGCAGCACTCATCGTGCACAACGCCCACAGCACCATTACTCACGGTCACTACACACCACCCATCACACACCACCCATCACACACCACCCATCACACACCACCCATCACACACCACCCATCACACACCACCCATCACACACCACCCATCACACACCACCCATCACACACCACCCATCACACACCACCCATCACACACCACCCATCACACACCACCCATCACACACCACCCATCACACACCACCCATCATACACGACCCATCATACACCACCCATCACACACAGCCACCACACATCACAGTCACCACACCACCCATCACACACCACCCATCACACACCACCCATCACACACCACCCATCACACACCACCCATCACACACCACCCATCACACACCACCCATCACACACCACCCATCACACACCACCCATCACACACCACCCATCACACACCACCCATCACACACCACCCATCACACACAGCCATCACACACAGCCATCACACATCACCCATCACACACAGCCACCACACATCACAGTCACCACACCGCACATCACACACCACCCATCACACACCACCCATCACACACCACCCATCACACACCACCCATCACACACCATCACACACCACCATCACACATCAGTCACCACACCGCACATCACACACCGCACATCACACACCACCCATCACACACCACCCATCACACACCACCCATCACACACCACCCATCACACACCACCCATCACACACCACCCATCACACACCACCCATCACACACTACCCATCACACCCCACCCATCACACCCCACCCATCACACACCACCCATCACACACCACCCATCACACCCCACCCATCACACCCCACCCATCACACACCACCCATCACACACCACCCATCACATCACAGTCACCACACCAGCACCCAACATCCATCACACACAGCCACCACCCCACACGTCACACACAGCCTTGTGCTGTGACAACGGCACCAATACAAGATGATTCATTTACAAGATAAACAGGCTGACAATAAACACCTCCTTCCCATATCTGTCCCTCCGCAAAAAACAAAACAACCTATTATTTTGTTTAACACGTAGGCTTTTTATTTAAGACCGGGAACAAGAACAGAGCCTCACCATTCTGGTGAATTGCCCGATGATGCTGGATGCAATTACCAGTGAAACGTCGTACTCAAAAATTGTAAATGTTGTGGTTTCACGCTTCAACACTCCGGTGGGCTAAAGCAGTGAACTATTTGTCTTTTGTCAACGTGACAATTGTTTGCTGATTGGCCGTGTCGGGTGGTGGAGGGTTGCGACACATTTATAAATAACGTGATCTAAACCCAAAAACGTTTATTATTTTGTCACACATCCCATCAGGCAGAGAGCATCCCAGGAGTGCATCATTTTAAGGGCGTAGTAGCCGAGAATGTATTTAGGCCCCACGTATTCTCAAGGAGAGCGCTCGCGACGATTGAACCCCGGTGACGTGCGGCCCCGCAGGAGGGGTTCGCTGCGGAGGGCCGAGTCCACGGACGCCGATGCCTCCGAGAGGCATCGGCGCGACTCTAAGAAGGGGAGCTTCTTCGGATTCATGCGGCCACGGGGCAGCTCCAAGGCCTCCCCCAGCCCCGGGCCCACGGCCGGCGCCGCGGCCCCGAGTCCGGCCGCGGAGCCCGCAGCGGAGGCCCCGAGGACGGAGGTGAAGGCCGCGGAGATGGAAGCGCCGCCGCCAAGCGCCGCTAAGCCCGAGGAGGAAGAGCGGTGAGAGAGGGGCGCCGCGCGCGGGGGCAGAGGCCCCCCCCCCTCCCCCCTTCGTTCCGCAGCTGTCGCTCCACTCCAGCCGTGGCTTATGAGGGCCTGGGGGTCGGAGGACGAGGGTGATGGCGCTGAATTCCACAGTGGAGCAGAGCGTGTGATGGAAGTGGAAGGATAATTATCATTGTGACCTGCAGTGTGGTGAGTGGGTGGGGGTGAGTGTTTGTTGTAACCTGCAGTGGGGTGGTTGATCACAGTGGGGTCGATAAGATGAAACGGTGATTTACCAGACCGAGTCCTCAACATGGGTGGAGGAATCGACGAGTAAAGTTCACAGGAACGGTGACCATGGTAGTAGCAATAGAAGAGCGATGTGGAGGCGACTGACCACGAGTGGCTGGAGCTTAATAGGTGAGTGCTGCTTTACGCTGAATCATGTCACATGCAGCGAGGTACTAACCGGGTCACTCCACCCCAGATACAGCAACAGGTTTCCAGCTTCGGCTAAATCCTGTTTTTTGTGGAGGAGCTGTGAATTGTTGGGAGCGAGAGAAAGCTTCGTGTAAGCCCAAGTGTGGTTTTCTGGGCTGCTCCTGCGCATTGAGCGTTTCCTCCCGTAAAAGTCTCCCCTGCGCAGTGCTGCAGTTGTACGCACCGATCGCGGCAGCGAGCGGCGCGTTGGGTGAACGCTCGAGAGGAGGCGCAGTCCCGACCCCGTAGCGCCGCGCTTAAGATTTGCAGCTCCGCTTCTCGCACACGGGGGACAGCCCTCCGCAGAGCACGGTCGGCTGCGTCGATATTCCTCCACGTCCTGCCTCCCCAGGTCGCCGCACCCGTTCGCCGAGGACGCCGTGAAAAGCGCAGAGCCTGCTAGGGCCGGGGGAGTGGCCATCGAGCCTGGCAAAGGCGCCGCGGTGGCAGAGTCGAGCAAGCCAAGCCCCCCGGGAGCGCGACGTGTCCCGCCAGGCTACCCGGTGATGGGGGGCAGCCTCCTGGCCGAGATGAAGGCCAAGCAGGAGAGACGTGCCATCATCCAGCAGCGGGTGAGGTGGGGTCGCGACCCCCGTCCTCATGGCTCGGCGGGCGGGCGGCTTGCGGTCGGAAGGTCACGAGGTCACATTTTTGGTTAGGTGTCTATTCGGCCCACAATCTCCTCTGATGTGGATAAAATGAGCACCGCTTTTTGAGGACGATCAAAAACTTGCTACAGCCGCAGGAATGTGAAATTTCCACCAGGGCCGTAGGCAGAAGTGATTTGCGAAGGCAATCACTTCGACTCGGGCCTGTGCCCTCAAGCTCTCAGTCCTTCTGCAGCTGCCCATTGAGGAGAGGATTGACGATGCTTAAATGTCCCGCTATGGTAAGAGCCTCCTTGAAATGCGAAAGAAGGAAGGTAACGTTATTTCAATCCAGTACACGTTCAAATTCAGCAAATTTGGACCACTGTCCTGGAACACAATGGCCTACACTTCTACGATTGGCATTATGCGATGTTTAAAGTCAACCGTTAAGCGGACGCATACCTGTCAACCCCTAATCAGTGCCCTACCGTATTACAGACCAATTCAAACCTTATTGGTCACCCCGTGCCCCTTATAAACCTCAACGTTCATCCTACAACGTCCCATCACAAGGAAGAAAACACAAACAAATAGACACATTCTTTTGCCCGTATCGAAACGGCTGTACGCCATGTGGACCTGTAAACTCAATTTCCCTGTACAAGAATACGGGGTAAACCGTATGGGTTGGCAGGTATGCGGACGCTACGCAGTATTTCACGGTTAAATGCGCCTCCCGTGGTGGCCTGCGGGATGCAAACCGGATCCAACCTGCGAACCTTTGCAACGAGCGGCGAGCTCGCTCCTCCGCTCGGCGCGCGACCACGCCATCGCTGGCGGCACAGCTGCCTGCGCCTCGTTGGCCGTCGCGGTCGTGGCGTCATTGGTCCCCGTCGTTTGAAAACGCCCTCCCCTCCTCCGCCCTCCCCTCCTCTGCCCTCACCTCCTCTGCCCTCACCTCCTCCACCCTCTCGTCCCTTCTAGAACCAGAAGTCAGCGGAGGCCGAGGGCCTGGGGCTCGGCGTGGCCGTCCTGCGCGACGCCGCCGCCGCCGCCAAGGTCGCGCCGTCATGTCCCGTGGGGCCCACCAGTCCCCGCGGGCCCCTGTCGCCCACGCCGCCAAGCAAGCCGTCGCCCCTCGGCAAGCCGGCCTTCTCGCCACGGCCCAAGCCCAGCTGGACCTCGGGTGAGGCTTTGCCGAGCTTGCGGAATGATGCCTCCAAACGATTGGCCACGACTTGCGTCTGGCAGTTCGTCAGCGTTGATTCGAGAGAGCCTGACTGCTGACGAGACGCTGCAGGCGGAGACCAGCTCGGAGTAGTTTTTGCCGGCGTTGAACGAATGCTGCTGATGTAACGCACTCCTGAGATGGTCGTGTTGCTGATCGGATGTGTTACAAAAACTTTTATTAGCAGAGACAGATATGGGAAGGAGGCTCTTTGCCTGCATATTCAGTACTGTGATCGATGCACATGTCCCTGCGTTCGTCTGCATGGGTTACACATTTTTATTTCCTATGCTGCACATAGTATTGTCTGTGGGGTATTGTCTGTGGGGTATTGTCTGTGGGGTATTGTCTGTGGGGTATTGTCTGTGGGGTATTGTCTGTGGGGTATTGTCTGTGCGGTATTGTATGCGAGGTAATGCCTGTGTAGTATTGTCTGTGGGGCAATGTCTGTGGGGTATTGTCTGTGGGGTATTGTCTGTGGGGTATTGTCTGTGGGGTATTGTCTGTGGGGTATTGTCTGTGGGGTATTGTATGCGAGGTAATGCCTGTGTAGTATTGTCTGTGGGGTAATGTCTGCGTGTCCCGGTGTGTCGCCGTCTGTCCCTGTATGTCGTTATTTTGCTCTGTGTGTCGCTGCCTGTCCATGCGTGTCCCTGTGTGCCTCTGTGCATCTCTAGAGGAGAGCGGGGACTCCGTGTCCCTGGGCCAGGGACGGTCTCCGTCGGAGAGCAGCGCCACTCCGGGCCACAGCAGTCGCTCTGCCACCCCCGAGGGCACGCAGCCACATGCAACCCACACGCAACCACATGCAACCCACACGCAACCACATGCAACCTACACGCAGCCACATGCAACCCACACGCAATCACATGCAATCACATGCAACCCACACGCAGCCACATGCAACCCACATGCAACAACCAGCAACCACATGCAACCCACACGCAACCCACACGCAACTCACATGCAACAACACGCAACCATATGCAAGCCACACGCAACCACATACAACCCACACGCAATCACATGCAACCCACACGCAGCCACATTCAACCCACACGCAATCACACGCAACCCACACGCAATCACATGTAACCACGCGCAACCTCGCTGATACAAATATATTTGCATGCAAATATGTGCATTCACCAGAAGCACATTGCAGGCCAGGTGCAACGGCATCGCCACTTGACTTCTTGGTCCATCGCATTGTGTGCCGAGCAGGTGAGCTCTCCGGTGACGACCTGAGGACGGACACCGACAACGAGCTCGAGCAGATGTCCCAACGTAACAACAACCTCACCAACCCAGCCCACGAGCAGCTTGCCCCCCTGCCGGGTAAGGCCCACGGTTGGACCGGTGCCACGGTCTTGTCTTTTTGTCAAACTCCCCAAAAAGAAATTACTCGCAAATCACTCGGCTGGGAAACGCAACGTGCTCGTCGGCCCTCGACTGCAATATACTCAGCAGGAGCCTCCTGAAAAAGATCTTGAGACTCGTTGAGGTTTTTCTGGGTACACAGGCGGAAAAATAATAATAACATCTGTGCGCGTGCGTGCGCTGCAGGCACGAACGAGAAGCGGGGAGCGCCGGGCCCTGGCGCCGAACTTGCTTTGAGCAGCGGCGGCGCGCACCGCAGCCACTCCGAGGCGGCGAGCGGCGATGGCGACGAGCTGGCAGCGGCCTCCCGCGCCAGGAAGAAGGTGGTACAACGGCGGAAGGCGAGCCAGGACGGATCGGGGGGCGGCACGCCGCACGGGGCGATGATGGGCACCGGGGCGGGGGGCCCCACGCACCGCGACAAGTCCAGCGACTCGACGGACGAGGGCTGATCGTCGCTCGAGAGAGGACGCCGTCACGGATGTGGGACAAGGGACTCCGCCGTGCTCACGTCAGGGCGCACTGATCGGTGGCCCCGAGGTGGTTTAACGTCACTGGACCATTTGTATCCTCTGGATTCTGTGCCAAGCCCAGAGCCCAGTCTGCTGTTACTCTGCAGTCGTTTAATCTCTTGTCTATTTCAGACTCCGCCTTTTATACGTGACAAACGGTGGTGGAAATGTACCGGTATACGCCGGTATGCCTTACCGGCGCTTCCGGAGCACCAAGCACGCGTGTTCTGACACTTTTCGGAACCGTTTCCTATTCCCGCACCGCGATGTTTCCGCAGAGGAGAAACAGCAGTGATCAATGGGCAGCAGCAATGGGTCGGATTCACACCAGCGCCTCTGCACTCACGTTCCCACCGCCGGTGACAGACACACGGTAGTCTCATTGCCGGCACTACAACGCAAGGCGGAGGCGCGTGTCTGCATTACGAGGGAAAAGCACAGGGATGCCCAAGTGGAGAGATGCCTGCATGCTGTGGAGCATTTCTTGGGAAAGGCACCAATCAAATTGCAGGGTTTGTTCGTCGTCATCGTTTGCTCGTTCTGTGGTTGCTTTTTATTTTGCAGTTCATGTTCCTTGCTGTTTTGTGTCTTGCTCGGGGATTCAGTGCAGGGTCGCCACCTGTGTCCGGGTTTTACTCAAACAGTCCGGGAATCGGGTGTCTGTGTTCGTGCGCCGGTAAATGATTTGTACCGAGGTCTGGCTGGTACTAGAGTTGTATTGAACTTCATTACAATGTGTATGGCACAGTTTTTGATAATAGGCCTTAGGCTCATTGAGAAATATCGCTGGGTTTGTTCAACCGTGGGAAAAGGCGGTGACCCGATTTGAATGTCTTGCGCTTACGTTCGTGTGCTTTGTACTACTGCACAAGTCTGTAGTGTAAATGAGATGAGCAGTCTAACTACTCAACAGTAAGCAGTTTGTAAATAATGATATTGCCAATTAGAATTATTATTCATGCAAATAAATCTTAATGACTAATTTGACCAAGAGGGCCCATACTTTTATCATTGACATTTTACAAGGGTTCAAATAAGGTGTGGGATGATGTAAAATATGATTTCATTCGTATTTTTAATTCCAGTACTAACTCTGTAGGTGATTGCTTGGAATGTGGATTTAATTATACCTGGTCTCATAGGTTTTATGGGAAATTACCAAAACATTATTACAGCATTCTTAACACTGCCAAATTACTCCCATCCACCTCAAAATACCCAGATACCACACAGCACCACACCCACACCACACCCCATTTACACCACATCCCATTTACACTACACCCTACCAACACCACACCCTACCAACACCACACCCTACCAACACCACACCCCACTCACACCACACCCCACTCACACCACACCCCACTCATACCACTCACACCACCCACACCACTCATGCCACACACCACCCGCACCACAAACCACCCACACCACTCACCAAACATAACCACCCACACCATATACATCTCGCACCACACCCCACACCCCACCTACCCTGCCTACTCACTACTCGACACCATACTACACCACCCAGACACCTCACACCACCAAGACACCTTGCACCCCAAGTACACATCTCACATGCCAGGCATCTACACACCACCACCTACACATCACCTACACACCACCACCTACACACCACCTACACACCACCACTATGCTATAACACAGCACATACGTGTACAGGGACTGCTCTACTTACGAGCATTCGACTTACGAACTTTCAGAGATACGAACAAACCTGTCCTCATGTCCAGTTGCTTGTTCAGATCGAGAGTTGTAAGTGCAACCGCAGCGCAATAGATGGCGGTGGTGGAATCGACATCTGTAGAACGTGAAGTACCAGTGGCATCTACTTCTACGGGAGATTATACAAATTTTAAAGCCATTCTCCTTATTTAGTGCACATGCCGTAACAACACGTTTGGAATCGACAGGAGTAAAGTCGAACTTATGAACAAATCGACTTACGAACAGACCCCTGGAATCTAACTCGTTCGTAAGTAGAGGAGTCCCTGTACGAAGTTTATGAACAGTTGCCGAGCACAAGGCCAAAGGTCCAAAGAGACAAGCGACCAACAGCAGCACATGGCACCGTCGAGAGTTTACGAAAATAATGAACACGCGTCTTGGATTGGGCGAAGTTGTTACAATGGTTTAGGAAAAGTGCCAACCGGATGGAATTCCAAAGTGGAGCAGTTCACGAGGGAAGACGCAGAAAGAGAAGCGTCGTGAACGACAGCGTGATGAGTGGGTGGGGTGAGTGTGGTGAGTGGGGTGAGTGAGTGAGTGGGGTGAGTGGGGTGAGTGTGGTGAGTGGGGCGAGTGTGGTGAGTTGGGCGAGTGGTGCGAGTGTGTGTGTGGGTGGGTGGAGTTGTAGCCTGGGGAGCTGCTGGGGAGACAAAGGCGGCCGGTCATGGTGTTGGCCACCCCGCACCTATGAAGGCCGTGCCGGCCTTCATAGGTGCTCGATAACAACACTTGCCTCAACAGTCTGTTAAGGCTATACGGGGGATCTTTGTCTTTGTTATAGCCTGCAATGCGGGGGTGAGTGGGTGTGCGAGTGGGTTGTCGTGACGTGCAATTTGGATCAGATGGAACGGTCAGTCTGGTCGATCGAGTTCTACCGCATAAACATCTCAAGTGTGTCTGTCGCGCAATCAAGGTGGCTTACTTTGCTCTGTGCCCTGCTGTCAAGATGTTGTCCGATACTTCGTGCACTTCGAGCTATCTCGATGCACAGGAGCACTGCCAGTGCAGCTGCAGCTTCCAATGATCGGGCTGCCTTCATGGTTCCATCTGTACGGGAAGTCTGTGGGCAGGGTGACCTTACACTCACCTGACAATCACCAAACGCTCACCTGACACTGATAACACCACAGACGTCAGACACCGCTCACCAGATTCCACTGAGCATGAAACGCACCAGACTCGCCGCTCCACCGTGACACGATCCTCCATCAACTCTGCGTCGCGCGTGGCGTTACGACGTGCAACGGCGGCACAGCACTCGTCGCGATTGCCACGCCGGTGATCGTTTCTGAGGTCCAGGGTGAGAGGTCATAGGTTGTACACACGTCAAGTTCAATACCAAAGATCCCCGGGGTTCTTGTGGTCAGAATGAGACCTGGCCAAACCCTGTGCGACGCAGATTGCCCTTGCGAGTGACTGACAGACGAATGGAGGTATTTTGTAGGTTTCGTGTAGACAGTGCCGGATGAAAAAAAAAAATCTTAAAACACAGATTTTCTACTTGCATAGTGAAGTAATTGTATTTTTTCATTTGCTTTACAGCCAGATAATACGACAAATCGCTAACCTTAAACACCAAGTCGTTAATAAAAGTTGAAGGCAGTATAGTACTATAGTAATAGAGCAAGTGCAGAATCACTGAAGCGGAATTGATAGCTTGAAAGCATTTAGCGCGGGCCCCTTGAAAGTGCGGGGCCCGTAGCTACTACATATGTAGCTACTTATGCTACTAGAATAATCCGGCACTGCGTATAGATGGTGACACATGCGTGGTCGTATTAGAGGGAGTGATTGTGCATTCAAACGTGTTTGATGTTATCGGTTAAGAGTTGTCAGACGCGCCCTGGTTTGATCCGGACAGACCACGAATTGGCATCTGTGTCCGGGTGGCAGGAGCTGATTTGTTCCGAGATCTCGTACCGGAATTGTGTTGAACTTCATCACGAGCAAACCGCACAACTTTGATAGTCGACCGAGGCTGACTTGGAGAAATGTGTCCAGAGGCAATATTATTGTTGGGTTTAACCGCCACTGATGCCACTTGTGACAATGGCAGTTGTATTCTTAACCATTTTAATTTTTCAGAGTTAACCAACGCTTGTGGATTCAAGGTTGACCCGAGTCGGTGGGTGTATCACGCCTGATCTTTGTGTCATTTGTACATCGAGACGCGGTAGGGGGAGTCGTGAGTGCCGCTACTTTGTCCACTTGAGCAGGGGGGTCAAGACACTTTTGGGCCAGGCCACGTTATCGTGATAGCGATGGCCAAAACCCATTGATCAATCACCCTGGGTGGTGATTCGCCCCATGGTTGATGGTAGAGGCAAATGCACATGTTTTTGCTATAACAAAGGAAAACACGCAGACTGAAGCGAACAATGCTTTGTATGAGAAGTCTGGCCCTTTGACTTGCCTGGAAATAAGTCTTTGCGCTGTTGATTTACAATGTACAATAATCACAAGAATCGCCTGCCATATTTGTCTATTTCTTTTTTTTGTATTAACTTGTGTAAAATAATAAAAGTATACACTTGGGAGTGCTCGGTTTGTTTGCTGGATGCCCCGTGCTTTAGCGCACTTGCACAGCGGCCCGTCGTTTGCCATGTGTGTCGTATGGAGAGTGCCGTGACGTCTTCGTTGTTGGTGGATAATGTGCACTACTACTGCGAATCACACAAATGGGTAACAGGTTTTTTTTATTTTAGAAATGTAAGTCTCGCAAAACTAATCACGAAGCCGTTACGGCAGAATTAGAGAGACCGAACTAGAAAACACGGGATAATGCTCGTGCCCTGGTCAGAATGTGACCAGGGTGGAAATGATGTAATAAGGAGGGTGGACAAGAGCACGTCGGAGTGTTTTTTTTTACTGAAGTTGATCGTGAAAAGAACCATTCCTGATTGGACTCAATAATAACAATGTCGTTCATCATTGGATCACTACCCCACTCCGATGTGTACGCTTCAGAAACAACATGAAGAATAGAAACCAAAAAAATGTTAAAAGTACACAGAAGCGTGGAAAGATGCATACTTGACGTGAAATTGAGAGACAGGGAGAGGGAGAAACGTGTGGATTGGAAGGCCCTACACCTGTTGGTGCCGTCACCCACGCTGTGAGGAAGAGTAGGCTAAGGGCAGGAAGCACCACAGGTGGAGTTCGACTTCTACATTTGGGGGGGGGGAGGCAGGAGTTCGTTTTGTCCCTCACAGTAGGAATCACGGGTGCATACAATACATTTAAATATTAATTGTAAACACCTGGAAATAAATGTGTAATGAGATGGTGACATCTACTGGTTGGTAAGGGGTAGCACGGGTACAGGCACCACTATAAACATTATCCAGTCCCCAAAGGGGAAGGTATCTGGACCAAAAGTGGGTCCGGCCGAGAAACTCCCAGAACCGGCTGGAAAGTTCCACGAGAGGGCGTGGCCGAGGGCATGGCCGGAGGCATGGCCTCGGCGCGCCTGGGAGAATATAAGCGGAGGACTCGGGGTCGGTGTGGGGATCATTGGGTCTGGACTGCGTCGCTGTTTGCCGTCGTCTCTCCGTCTTTCCCGTCGTTCGGCCACGTGGCGGATCTCTGGCGAAGCTCAACCGCCCTCCCCGACCGGGAGCGGACGGGCGGAACCCGCCGTGTGACCGGCCGTGTGTGTAGTCTGTAGAACGTCACATCTAAGTGTGTACCTGGAGAGGAAGCCGATCACGTTGGCCTGGGCCGTGCCGTACGTGGAATAAAGAAGAGCACCCTCTACACGACGTGTCGTGGAAGTCGCTCATTACAAGTGTATAAATACTTTTATAATGTGTCCAGTTTGGGGGGGTTCGCTTTGTCCCTTACATTAGGAATCGCGGGTGCATATGATTAATGTATTTTTTTTTATCTTAATTGTAAACTACTGAAAACAATTTATTAAAGGTGCCCAGTTTAGGGGGGGGCATTCCCCCCCCGTACCCCCCCAAACCGCCCCCCAAACCCCGCCCATGGGCAGGACACTCCATGGCGAGAAGAGATCATTGGCTGTGGGTGAAGAATAATACTGGCTTGGCGAGGCCTTCAATCAGCAGAGCACGGCACGTTCCGTCACCTTCGAATTTGAGGACAAGAGAGTTATAAGTTTATACTGGTAGGAGCCTCCTGGATACACCAGCCCACAGGGGAATATTGTATCCGTCCGTCGTGCATCCAAAAATGGGATGGGTGGAGAAGGGAGGGTGGGGAGCGGCTCGTCACCCCGTGGTGCCCTTATAAAACTCAACGTTTAACCTACTCACGCCGGATTGTGCCCCCGCCCTCACAGTCGGCCATATTTGCGGAATACACCACGCCGCCGTTGACCCTGGCCATTGACCGAGCAACCCAACGTTCCTACCAGCTCCCTCCGCAGGAATGTGTTGGTACTGTATGGTTTATGGGTTTCTGTGCAGGTCTATAGGAATGTAATGGTTTAAGGGTTTGTCTAAATATCCTCTATGATGCTCTACTCATTAGCCAGTGTCACTTCCTCATCATTCAATCTCACTACTTATCCATGTTCCACCCCTTGCCATCTATCCCCGCACCCAGTGCTCTGCCTCAACTCATCTCTGATGCCCTTTCTGGGTCGCATCGCCGAGTGGGGGGGGGGCTCCTGTGTGCGCACGCGTGTGTGGGGGGGGGGGGCGATAGTGCAATGGTTCGCGTGCTGTTCCACCAACCTGATTACCCGAGTTCGATTCCTGCTCACGGCCAACACCGGTGGGCCTCCCCTAGGTCGGCTCGGCCTCAAAAGAGTACCTGGTGCGGTATGTAAAGATCGCCACTGGGGAGACAAAGGCGGCCGGGCGTGGTGCTGGCCCACCCACCCCCTCGTGTGCCGTTCCAGCCTTTATAAGCGCTGCTCGCTCACAGCACTTGCCCCAACAGTCTGTGCAGGCCACAAGGGAGATCGTTGTCGTTGGGGTGGCTGTGTCTCTGTGTACAGTAGTTTAATAACGCTTCCCTTTTTGTTGAACCATAACATTTCATAATACTAACCGTATGGGCATTTAAATAGTGAATTTTTGTTTCAACTTACGAATAGATCAAGGTAACTAATCCAGTTCGAAAGTGGATGACTGATCTACAATATTTCTTATGAGTTTAACAATGCTTCCCCTTGTTGAACCATAACATTTTATAACACGGTGACCGCACGTGCCTTTAAATACGGCACATTGCTGTGTTCCCGACTTATGAGCAGTTAGACGGAACCCGTTCGTAAGTCGGGGACTACCATACGAAAAACATATGCCCCTGAAAATATGTATTGTAAGTCCAAAATGAGCATTAACGTCACAGAGGAAATTGTTATTACTATTTTACTAAACTATTTCATTTTACCAGGTAAGGCCCACTGAGCTATATAGCTCTTTTTAGAAGCGGCCTGGCCGCAAATGATAGCTCAACAAAGTGGCTTATCACGTGGAAATGTATCGCAGCCAAATACTCGAAACATATTATTCCAAATGTGGAGGTAAACACCAGAGGACCCGGAGAACAATCCGCGTAACGACGGGGAGAGACACGCAAGCTCCAAATATATCGGCGTCGGTGTCAAGATTGACCTCAACCTCCTGTATACCAGGCGAGGCAGTAAACATCTCGCCCACGCGAATACCACGGTGGCGAGATGTTAATATGTACTCAAAGCACTCTGGGAGCAAGCTGCTTTCAAGTTGTTCGGAGCAGGATGCAATGTAAGACTACTGCTCAAACTCCACAAATGTTACTGTGCAACACAACTGATTAACATCAGTGGGGAATGTAACACAATAAATAAGCAATCCGCCTCGTTCACATGTCCTGACACTCTACCTAACTCGTAGACATTTGTTACACATCCAATCAGCTACTTGGGGTGTGTCTCAGTGGCAGCATTGGTTCAACACAAAGCAGGCGATAGATCCGCATTCGAGATTCAGTGTCTCCTCGCCCAGTTCGGTTTGCTTGAACCAGAGTTGGTGGCTGGCAGATATTTAAAGGCAATCTTTCATGCTGCCTGTTTTGATGCACTTTACCTGCAACCGTCTTGCACATTCTTCAACAAGTAAAACTTAATAAAGTCACAGCACTCATGTTTTAATATATATTTTATTTTTATCATGAGAATATTTAGCATGATTGATTTAGATCAAAATATCAGCATAAAAAAACCTTCAACTGCTCGTTCCAACAGGCACTTCACTCTTGACGCTTAATGTCACGACTTGCACAAACAGTGCAGAGATGATGGCAGCATTATTTCCGTGTTGTATTGCATTTTATTGCTAATTCTTGTTTGATAAACACACAAAAATCAACCTCTTCATGTTAGTAAAAGGCACCGTTGAGTGTTAAGGCAATCAAACAGTTTACTCGTAAAAATGTGCAAGAGCTCTCGCATAATGCTGTTCCTGGTTTCAAGTGCGATGATCTCTTCTCAGTAAACCAGCTCCAAATACTGACACGAGGTGCGCAAGTTTCCAGCTTTAAGCAGATCAAAATTAATATAATACCGTCTTCCCTTTTCACGGCCACAGGAGGTGCAGCACGTGGATGACAAACTACAAGTGTACCAGTTGTCAGTTAGTCGTGTCAGTTTTTCCTTGGAATTATCCGGCTGCTTGATTTGGCCTAAAACTTGTTTGTGAACCGTCATGTAAATTCCTCCATTGGTATGTTCGCCAAGCAAGCCTTTTTTTCGTATCAATTTTAGAACTCAACAGACCAAGAAGAGTCATTTTCAATAGCGTCCTGGGTAAGACAATAATGTCAAATGATAAACACTCATGAATGAAGTTGGTCCAACGTCCCAAGATAGGACAAGCGCTTCGGATATTGCGACTGCCGGTTCCTGGCTGCCGCCCCCCTTCGTGGTTCACCACGCGCAAAAATAAATCACGTTACAAATTCCTACAGCGTTTTGAGGTGGAATTTGTATGTCACGATTGGCTATGTATGGTGCAAAAGAAGTTCAGCATGTACAACTAAAATTAATCATTGATATAACGGATACGACAGGATAAGATATGCATTATAGGTATGAATTGCACTATCTAGTGATGTACTAGACGTTTTCATGTATACAATGACATCAGCACAAAATCTCCAAATCAGCATTTTTACGAAATTCAAAGCAAGTCTGTTAACGTGTGGTTTAAGATTTGATCCATTTACAAAAGTGCAAACTAATACTATAGATCTCCCTTTGCATGTTATTTATACTTCATCACCAATTCATCAGCATCATTAAACCACTGACAGATTTTGCTTTGGCTCGTATTGGTACATTTCACTTACACGGACTGAGGATGTCAACTTTTGTATTACACTCCTACATGTAGCAGTGCTGCAAACACAATAGTAGCGCTTATTTTGAGTTCCTGAGAGAGGAAATCAACAGAGAGAGAGATGTTTTCCACTGCTTAGAATTACATTCAGAGACACATAGGTTGGAGAACATACACATGTCAATGACGTCCAAACATTTGAGGAAAAAAAAGAAAAAAAAGAAAAAAAAGAAAAAAAAGAAAAAAAGAAAAAAGAAAAAAAGAAAAAGAAAAAAAAGAAAAAAAAATGGACGTGGACAGGACGCATCACGGCTAGAAGGGATGATGGCCGATGGTGTAGAATGGAGCGGCAGCCGAGGGATAACACGTGTTCGTTTCATCCTTTGGCTGTACTATAAATGGCCAAGCCACTCAAGTAGGCAACTATGGTAACATATCTCATTCCAGGCCAGAGCGTGGTGTCCCTTCATAAACTAGGGTTGTCACAAACGATAACCCGCAAACCGTTGTCAAAATTACCGGTTCTGAAAGTCGGGGACGGCCATACAATTTCAGTGGAATTTTAGTCATGAATGCGCACCGATTCAAATGCACAAACATACAAACAGTACAGCAAGTGGGGGACAGGCATTGGAGTGAGGGAATTAATCAACTTTCCCAATTATTTCAACTGCTGTGCCACGATATGGAATCAAAACGGTGACCTATGGATTGCAAGTCCGGTGCGCCACTCACCATTATACCATGGCAGCTCCCTTTCTCAGTTAAAGAGGTAAACATGTTATATGTTTTTGTTTTGCTAGAGACACTGTCTATGTGCAGCACACCGATAACCGATGTTAATACTGGGTTAAGTTTCATGCGGTTACCACCGGCAAAACAAACATTACTTTAACAACCCCTCTATAAATGTTTCGGTCACCTTTTGCACAAATCTACGACATCTTTGTGACCTGCAGAGAATGGACGCAGCTGCTCAGGGTGTCCACGGTTCTCTGCACAGCCATTATAACGACGACGACGTTGGCTTTTCACTGGAGATGTTGTTGGATGACCCACTCTTTAAGAGACAGTGGGCTGCGGCACCCCAGCACCTCGGCGCCCCTGCAGTCGCTGCAGCCTCGCTTCGCTCTCCCTCTTGTCCAAGCCCAACTGCCAGGACAGGTGCACGTTTGCACTTAGCAGAGCGACAAGAAGGTCGCCCCACTGCCCGCCGTTCGCCTTCCTCGATGCGACTCCACCCGAGCCCTCGACGCCGGGGCCACCCCGATCTTCGGCGGCCGTGTTGGCGTCTTCGTCGTCATCGTCCTCATCGTCAGCGGAGCCCATGACCTGGAGGGCTCGCTGGCAGTGTCCCTGCGCTTCGTTTCGTCTGCCCAGTGCTTGACAGCACGCCGCCAGTGCAGACAGCGTGGGAGGAAGCTCCCACTTGTGTGATGAAGGAGGAATGATCTTTTCCTGCACAGGAAAGAATAAAATGTCCCAAAGTATCGCATTGTAAGGTTTCATGCCTCTTAATGTACGTTCCAAAATGTACACTTTTACAAATGGCTCACAGGGCGATGACATGACCCAGCAGTTCCATGTTGGTTGATCTTGTTGCAGGACACCGTGGTTAATACTTCTTTGCGTAGTATTTTATGGTTAATTTCGCACTGCACATAGCCAACCGTGCTCATCGGAGGTGCAGGGAAAAAAAACAAGGACACAATAACTAAACACAAAAAAATACTACACGCTGTGTGCTACCGGAATTATGGTACAAATATGCCGAATTAAAAAAATGACCCGTATATTATTTAATTGCGATCACATATACCAGCATCACCACCCCTTACTGCAGACTCTTGTCTGTGAAACATATGTACCCAAAATGAGTGTTAAACATAAAAAAGTACCTGCAGATGCAAGGCATTGGTGAGGCTCTGCAGGGCTCCATCGTAATCCCCTCCGCGGATTGCACTGTGTCCAGCTTTTAAATCCGGCAGGCAGAAGAAAGCCCAGAGGCTGGGGGTGCCACGTACGGAGGGTATCTGCGTGATGTGTGACAGGTATTGCTCGAATGCCCGACTTCGCCGAGCTATCGTCACGGCCGTGAAGTTCCCGGCGATTTTCTTGGAGGGAAACGAGACCGAAGAGAGTTGTCTGGCGCACTGGCGGCGGTAGCGCGTGTTGTTGTCATCGTTGTCGTCCGATTTGTCGCCATTTGCAGGGGCAGAGCGGAGGAGGGCCTTGTGCAGGTGGGAGAAATCTGAGTACCGACGGTTGATGGACGCCTTCTTGTCATCGAGACAGCCATTCGCTACTACGAGCACAGTGTACAGCTGCAAACAAAGACAAAGATCCCCCATATAGCCTAAACAGACTGTTGAGGCAAGTGCTGTTAGTAAGCACCTATGAAGGCTGGTATGGCACACGAGGGCGTGGGTGGCCAACACCACGCCTGGCCGCCTTCGTCTCCCCAGTTGTGATGTTTACACACCACACCAGGTACTCATTTGAGGCTGAGTCGAACTAGGGGAGGCCCAGGACCGGTTCAGATAATCGCCACTGGTGTTGGCAGTGAGCGGGAATTGAACTCGGGTCGCCGGGTTTGTTGCGCAGCGCGCTAACCGCTACTCTACCGCTCCCACAGTTGCACGCGCACATACACGCACCGGTATTGGTGATCAACAACAGCAGTCACTTCTACAGAAAATATTTACCGAGCGGTTTAATCTTGAATGGCTTAATAATACTGGGACCGAATAAAGCTTGAATCGTGTTGTACATCTGCACACTTCTGCAGGAAACCCATTTTTAGAGACAAATTGCTTTGACTTATGTCGTTTTAATATTCGTTGCAACTTTCAGGAACATATCCCCCAGGTACACTGAGGTATTACTAAATTACTAATCTGCATAAGGAGGCATCGAAGAAGCTTTGTTTTCTTTTCCGTGCCATAGCTTGTTTAACGCCAAACAATTATTACATTGCACAGCACAATTATTACTTCTGCTATACAAAGCATACATTCGGCCAAAGTTGGAATCCTGCTGTTGTCATATCTGGGGTGAAGCCCCCAATTCCTACCTCACTTGCACTTGACAGAGTTCAAGGCGTGCCAACCAATAACACCGCGGAAAATTGCCTTGGGTGCAATATGCTGCCTTGTAATCGTATTCTTCACTGCGGCTCGGATTCTGGTGTCTACCAATAAAAAAGCTAAATTGGGTCAATGGCAGGTGTTTGGAACCATTGGCCCAACGTGCCATGTTTTGGGAAAGGCCTTTGTGATTCTTTGCTAAAATGCAGTTGGCTGAAAACAGGCCCAAAGGCCCAACACATTAAGCACCCAGCAACAAACAGTCCTACCAAAGTTGAAATAATTACGTTGTTAATACGCGTCTTGAATTGAGAGAGGTTGTTATATAAGAGCTTTGGAAAAGGAGACGCTGGGAGGGTATCCAAAGTGGAGCACTGTGGGGGAACAAGCAGAGAGAGAAGTTTGGCGATCTGCAGTGTGGTGGTTGAACACTGTCCCGACGGGACAAAATAGTCTCGTAGACCGAGTTCTCAACACGGGTGGAGGATTCGATGTGTGAAGTTGACGGGAACACTATAACCATGGGTAGTTACATTATCGAAGTGATAAGGAAGCTACTGAACGCTGGCGAGCGAGTGACTGGTGCAAATGAGGGTGCCCGCTTGGACGACACGTATAATTGCGCACCACGTATTTGGAGCCGGACTCCTGCACCACGTTCGCTGCCACCACCTCGAAGGTGAGCGAGTCGCCGCGCTGCTGCTGCCGCCGCTGCTGGTCGCGCTTGCACCGGAACGAGGCCTGCAGGGCACTGGTGAGCCGTGTCGAGTCATCTGCTCCGTCTCCTGTCCGTGACGCACATTTGCATGTCTGTCGGCAAAAAGTACTACTCCAATGCCCAGGGCAATGTTCACATTTAAAATTGATTTCCTGCTCAAATGAGCATTCGCGCAGCGCTCAATCTCATGTTTACGGCTCTGAATGAGTGGTAGAAATTCCACATTCCTATGACGAGGGTAAGTCTATCCATAGGACAACAAGTGTTGACTTCTCCCAATTTGTACTTCTTTTATAGACGGAGGACGGACGGATGGCGGGCTGAGTAAACTCCCAATCCCAAATTGAATTTGCAACCTTTACGTGGTGAGCCAATCTGCTGCTGTATAGCACGGGTCAGGAGATTCTCCTGGGACAGCAGACTCATGGGGTATTTGACGATTCTCAAGAAACCATATCTATAAACCTCTTAGTTCATACCTGTCAATCCCTTACCAGTGCCTACCTTATTACAGACCAATTCAGACCTTACTGGTCACCCCGTGCCCCTTGTTCATCCTACAAAGTCCCATCGCAAGGGAGAAAGACAAACAAAAAGACAAACAAAAATCGTCCGCATTGAAACGGCTCTACGCCGCATGGACCTGAAAACTCGTATTTCCCTGTACACGACTACGGGGTAAACCGTACGGGCTGGCAGCCGTGTAAGTTCAACAGCGTTGGTTCAAGGCAGCCTGGGCCCTGCTAGCGAGACACTGAATGTCCACACCAGCCCACGGCTCTCGCTTGCGTTGACCCAATGCTGCCGATGAGACGCGCTTCGCAGGAAGCCGAGTGCCCCGTGTGCTCAAGTCGGGTGTCTGGTGGCGTGGGCGCAACAGGAGCTGCGCTCAAACCGCGCGCGTACCCGCCGCCTGCTCGCCTCCTCCTCCTCCATCTCCTCCTCCTCCATCTCCACCTCCACCTCGTCCATCTCCTCCTCGTCCTCCTCCTCCCCCCGCCGCGAGCTCCACCTCCGCCGGGAGCCGCCCGCACTCGGCGTGCTCCGGCGTCGCTCTCCCGGACTCGTCCGAGTCGCCCCTCGAGGGACCTCGCGGCGTCTCGGACGAGTCGAAGCTCAGGGTGCCCCCGAGGCGCGCGGCCACGCGGCACGCCTCCTCCTCCTCCTCGTCCTCGTCCTCCAGCCCCGGGGCGACGTCCCCCGGCCGCGACTCCGGGCCGGGGGACCCTCCCCGGCCACGGCTCTTCTTGCTGCCGCCGCGGAGCTTGCGAATGATCCTGGAGGCCATGGCCATGGCTGTCGGGGTGCGGAGCTCACCGGCTGGCGGCGGCGGATGTACGGGTTGAGAGACACTGACGGGACACACATGGGAGGGGGTGGCAGGAGGCGGTCACTCGTGGCACCGCAGCTAAGAGGTCTCCGCCTTCTCCAGCGGGTCTCCGTCTGCCCCCGGCGCGGCCAGGACTGTCACCACCGGCAAGGCCGCCGCCGGAGGCAGCGCCACGAGTCGCATCACGGCTGCCACTCGCTCGGTCAACACGCAGAGGCCAATTCCGGCACTGCCCTCGCTAAACAACAACAACAGCAGCAGCAGCAGCAGCGAGTTTACCCGGAGCCTTACCGTGGCTGCTGCCGCTACTCATGCGGGGGGGGAGCCGCGGGGTCCTCCAGTCGCCCGCTCCGCCGCGTCCCTCCTCGCATCGCGACTCCACCAAAGGCGGCGTGAGGGGGGGGGGGGGTGACACGCGGGGTTGGATTCCCTACAGCGAATAGGCCCCGCCCCGCGCTTGCCGTTTGTATTCCCTACAGCGAATAGGCCCCGCCCCCCGCTTGCCGTTTGTATTCCCTACAGCGAATAGGCCCCGCCCCGCGCTTGCCGTTTGTATTCCCTACAGCGAATAGGTCCCACCCCGCACTTGCCGGATTGTATTCCCTACAGCGAATAGGCCCCACCCCGCGCTTGCCGTTTGTATTCCCTACAGCTCTTGGGCGACAACGGCCGCGTTCCCGTTTTTGTATTCCCCACAGCGGACACGCGGCTGCGTGACGCCTGCCGCGGCTCGGGCGCTCTCGAGAGCGTGGTGGGAGCGGGGGGAGGGGCTTGGGGGGGGAGCGGGGGGGGCGGGGGGAGGGGCTTGGGGGGGGGCTTGAGGGGGGCTTAGGGGGGGGGGGAGCGGGGGGAGGGGCTTGGGGGGGAGCGGGGGGGAGGGGCTTGGGGGGAGGGGCTTGGGGGGGGAGTGGGGGGGGGCTTGGGGGGGGGAGTGGGGGGGGGCTTGGGGGGGGGGAGTGGGGGGGGGCTTGGGGGGGGGGGAGTGGGGGGGGGGGCTTAGGGGGGGCTTGGGGGGGGGGCTTAGGGGGGGGCTTGGGGGGGGGCTTAGGGGGGGGGGCGCTTAGGGGGGGGGGGCTTGGGGGGGCCGTGGTGCCCTTGGTGGTCGCTGCTGGGCAGTGGTGCCCTTGGCGTCTCGGGGTGACAGGAGCGAGGCGGAGAAGGAAGAGGAGGAGAAGGAGGAGAAGGAGGAGGAGAAGGCGGTGGAGGAGGAAGAGGAGGAGAAGAAGGAGGCGGAGAAGGAGGAGGAGGAGGCTGCGGGCAGCCGCTCCCATGGCTGCCCTCCTGCGGGGCCCGGCCCGGGCGATGCGCGTCGCGGCCTCGGCGGCTGGGGGAGGCGGCCGAGGCGAGGTAGCGAAGCACGGCCCTCATCTATTTATTATTATTATCACTATTACTATTCCACACTTTTATTTAACTTGCCCTGTTTTGTCTGTTTATGTTCTGTGGAATCTCTTAATATCCAAAAGCTGCCAACCCATACGGGTTTGCGCCGTATCGTTGTGCAGGGATATTGAGTTTTCAGCTCCATACGGGCGTACAGACGTTTCAATACGGACAACATCAACAACATTGTGGTCTTTGTCTTATTTGTTTGTGTTTCTCCCCTTTTGATGGGACTTTGTGGGATGAACGTTGACATTTATAAGGGCACGGGTTGACCGATAATGTTTGAGTTGGTCCTTGATAAGGGGGTGACAGGTGTGATGTCTTCGGATCTATGCAGCCTAGCGAGCTGAACTTGTACACACAGACTTGTACACACACAGACTTGTACACACACAGACTTGCACACACACAGACTTGTACACACACAGACTTGCACACACACAGACTGGTACACACACAGACTTGTACACACAGACTTGTACACACACAGACTTGCACACACACAGACTTGTACACACACAGACTTGCACACACACACACTTGTACACACACACACTTGTACACACACAGACTTGCACACAACTGGTACACACACACACTTGTACACACACACTTATACACACACAGACTTGCACACACACAGACTGGTACACACACAACTGGTACACACACAGACTGGTACACACACAGACTTGTACACACACAGACTTGTACACACACACACACTTGCACACACACATACTGGTACACACACAGACTGGTACACACACAGACTGGTACACACACAGACTTGTACACACACAGACTTGTACACACACAGACTTGTACACACAGACTGGTACACACACAGACTTGTACACACACAGACTTGTACACACACAGACTTGTACACACAGACTGGTACACACACACACTTGTACACACACAGACTTGTACACACACAGACTGGTACACACACAGACTGGTACACACACAGACTGGTACACACACAGACTTGTACACACACAGACTTGTACACACAGACTGGTACACACACACAGACTTGTACACACAGACTGGTACACACACAACTGGTACACACACAGACTTGTACACACACACAGACTTGTACACACACACTTGTACACACACACACACTTGTACACACACAAAGACACACACAGACTTGTACACACACAGACTTGTACACACAGACTTGCACACACACAGACTTGCACACACACTTGTACACACACAGACTTGTACACACACACACTTGCACACACACAGACTTGCACACAACTGGTACACACACAGACTTGTACACACACACACTTGTACACACACAGACTTGTACACACAGACTTCAAGATTTATTTTAAAGAACCGGTCCAGGTCCCGTCGATCCTGGGCCTCTTAGTGGTTTGTTTATTTCTTTTAAAATGTCTTGCACTATTTCAAATATATTTTAATTATCCGGACAATTGTTAGATATCTTAGAATGAATATGTACGTATACAAATTATTTTACAAGATTAACATTAAAATAAATTATATTCTTTGGGTCCTTCGGTAAAGTCACGCAGAACACTTTTTTGGTTCTACGCGACTTTACCGAAAGAACCAAAGAACATTAATTCCTGCAGTCACGAAAGCTTTCAGTCAAGATTTCAAATAAATTAGGTAAAAGGTATTTTATTCAATGCACGCACTTTTATTTGCACTCAAAAGTAGAACAAGTAGGTGAAAATCTAGCTTTTCAATGCATGCAGTTTTTATTTGCTCTTAAAAGTATAAAATATACTATTTTGACCTAAGAACTACCGTAATACAATTTGATGAGCTGAATAAAAGTGGGTGGTTTCCTTTCGATAAGTAAATTTTTTTATGCAAGCCAGCCAGTTTTATTCAGCACATCAAATTTGATTAGTTCTGGGGTCAAAATAATTGATTTATACTTTTAAGAGGAAATAAAAAAATGTGTCTATTGAAAAACTAGATTTTCACCTAATATATATTTTTTTGTTAAGCCAATGGTGCCAATCGCCGGCCTTTGGAGCAGTTTCGGCGTATCGGCCCGGGACCGCAGCTAGATAATCGATTATCAACAAATGCAAGCGTTGGGTAATGACAAAACAATATCTATGCTGTGTGGTGTGTGCCCCAGTGGCTTACAGGGTTTGGCCTTGTCAGACGGATGACTTCCAGCATCCAAGATGTGTTCACGCACATTGAGAACAACCAGCAGCTGTTTGTCAAGGTATGATCACATTTATCCTCGTCGACTCGGAGTTTAAATACATGAATGTGATATTAATGGATCTTGGACATTTATCAAAGTCTGTTTTTTGTTTGTTTTTAATGTAACATTTTTTGTTTTCTAGGCCCAATGTCTGATTTAATTTCATATTTAAACATTTTTATATTCTGGATTTGAAGCTTTCGTGACTGCAGGAATCCATACTCTTTGGTTCTTTCGGTAAAGTCACGTAGGTAGAAAATAATAGATCACGACATTTCAATCGCAACACAAGCAATCGTCATCAGATGGCACAACCACAGCAAGAAGAGACTGCTGAAGTAGGCGAGAGACCTGCCGTGGCACGAGGTTATAGAGTAGTGCATAGTGTAGTGTAGTGTAGTATATAGTGTAGTGTATAGTGTAGTGTATAGTAGGCCTCGGCAGTAGGGGGGGAGAGAGAAGGGGGGGGAAGGAGGCGGGGGAGAAAGTGGACCCCGCAGCAGCAGCCGGGTCACTGGAGTAAAAACAATTCTGACATTTTCTGACATTTTTATATAAAGTTCCACCGGAAAAAAAAGAAACATTAATGTTAGCATTTTTGGATTTTTTTAAAACTAAGTTTATGTGCTTGTGACAATCGTGGGTCATTAACATGACGTTACATGACACGCTTGGATGAGAATAGCGCGAAAGTGATGGCATGGGAGCGATGACACTTATTGCTATTGTCGCATTTTTTTTGTAATGCAAAACTTTTTTTGTTTGTTTATATTTATATCTCTAGGCCCAACTTCGGATTCATCTGAATAATCGGGAACGTATCCCTAGTGCAAGTGTACGGCAGTGGTTGCCATCCTGTGGTGCGTGAGCCACCAGTGGCCCACAAAACCGTGAGAAATGATCTGCAGAACTGTTGCAGATACTACCCGTTTATCCATAAAAAATAATTATAAGATAAGATCGCGTTAATATAAATGTGTCGTTAAACCTGCTACCACCCAACACAGCCAATTACCAAGGTTTGTCACGTAAACAAAACGTGCCAACTCGTTGCTTGTCCAGCTCACCACTTGTGTGCTGAGAGTGAACCCACAGCATTTGCAATGCGCCGGTAATTACAACCAGCCTCATCAAGCGACAGGCAGGATCGTGGAAAAATACTCGCGTGTTTCAGCCTTAAATAGAGGGGGTAAATAAGATATCGTAACTTGTGAGCCAATTACCTGGGGGAGCGGGGGGATTAAGGTATTCATATAAATTACAATGGATATCCATACCGTTTATTTTACAAAACCAGTGGTGGAAATTTAAATGTAGAAGTGCCGGTATGAGGCCTATTCATCCTGCAGCCCACGCTCATTAATAATTCCCATCTGTGTAAACATTGCGGGTACAGGAAAATAATTGCTGTGAAAAGTGCTGGTACACGAATGTTTGTGTTATGAGAAGTGCGGTTATGAGTGTATACCGGCATATTTCCACAACTCTACCATAAAACACCCTTATTTTACTGTAATGTATTTTGTGAACATTTTATTTTACCAGGTAAGGCCCACTGAACTATATAGCTCTTATTCAGAAGCGACCTGGCCATAAATGATATCTCAACAAAGTGGCTTATCACGTGGAAATTTATAGCAGCCAAAATACTCTAAACGTAAGTTTCTAAATCTGGTATAGTTGTAAGATATTGTAATAGTGTACAGCGGTGTCAAGGTGTAGTTGTTTTTAAGACTTTCTAATTGGAAAATGCAGGCATTAACCACCATTTACTCTACTCTGGTTTATAATGCCAAACAAATATATTCAGCATGTTGAGAGCAATTGTGTTTCATATTTTTTTGTCAGACATCTTTTGGCTCTGTTGTCATTCTGTAAGCGCTGCATGTGGGCAGTGAGTAACGTGTTTGCCGATACGCGTGTGTTGTGTGCCTGCACAGAGGCTGGCTGAGTGGGTGTCTGTGCGCAGTGTGTCAAGCCAGCCTGAACTGCGCGGCGAAGTGTTGCGCATGGTGCAGATGACAGCACAGCACATCGAGCGCCTAGGAGGAGCTGTGGAGATGGTGGACATTGGCACGGAGACGGTAGGCCATGCTACCAACGTTGAACTTAATTTACATGTGTGGATTGAGAGTATGCATAGTTGTTACATTTGTTTTGTTTTCCATTACCGGTAATTCATTACCAAAAATTGTATTTAAAAAAATTGTTACCAGTCAGAAATGTCTACAGCAATAATCGCAACGTGTTTATCTTTAATGGAAAATGAAAGCAGTCACTGTGGTATATTGGTTAGCACACCTGTAATCTAGAGGGCACCAGTTCAACTCCATCTCCTGGTGTGGCTGTTGATATAAATGGTGCAAGTTTCTTAATCCCCCACTGTCTCTGGCTACCCAGAAGTGTAAGTGGATATGTCACAATTTGTCTCCCCTAAAGTCTCGTGTGGTGGGGGAAAGTGTCGATACTCCCTTTGCAGGGGTGTACCTTTGTAATCTGCGGTAGAATTTAGTACTGCAATACAAAAACCGTAATGTCTCGCTGGATTGTACGTGTTTTTGACAGCTAGCAGATGGCTCCAAGTTAGCTCTACCGCCAGTAATTCTCGCAGAGATTGGGAGGGATCCGGCCAAGAAGACGGTTTGTGTGTATGGCCACTTGGACGTCCAACCTGCCCAGCTTGAGGATGGCTGGGATAGTGACCCCTTCACGCTGACGCATCGGAATGGTGAGGGCATCGCGTGCGCATTGTGAATAGAGTGGAGTGATGGGTTGATTTGAACCCCTGCAACAAGCAGTGAACACGCCACCACTGGGCCATGTATTACATTAACCGACGTTGACAGCTCAATATTTGTCAGAATCAGAATATTTATTTAGTCTGGAGGAGGAATCCGATAAGCTATGAAGCTCTTTTTTTCACACATGTCCAGTAGGGGTGGGTCAGAATGTTCCAACAACAAAACAATACAACAAATTATGGGAGTCTAAAATGGTAAGCAAGTCACTTGTTATAATGAATTAATCAATATTATAAGTCCGATTTATCAAGATTGAGCACGGCAGCAAAACAAAAAACAGTGCCAGACCACGCCAAGATAACACCCAGTAGTCCCTCAATCAAGTGGCACATTAACATTGAACTATCGATATACAGGAAAAGTACATCAATTGATGATAAGTACATCAATTCCTGCCGCTTTTTCTACACCAAATGCAATCTTGGGCAAGGCAGCAAAACAAAAAAAGTCCCAGACCACACCAAGAGAACACAATCCCTAAATTAAATTGCGCATTAAAATGTAACTGTTGCTACATGGGTAAGAATCAAAGTTACAAATCACATTTGCAAATGCGGTTGTACCCATATTTTGCTTCAGAATATTGTTTTAAGGAAGATTTATGATGTTAATCAAAGAAACAAGGTTCTTCTGAAACGTTGACGCTGCAACGACAAAGGCCTTGTCACCTGTTCATTGGGAGAGTTCGACTTTCTCCGCATGTACAGGTGACCCCCGACTTAGGACGGCTAGACTTGCAACCCCCCGCTTTTACGACCTTACAGTAAGACCCCCCCCCTGTAACGACCAAAACTCGACTCTACGACTGCTTTATGACTGCTGCCGACGCCGAGTCCATTGTCGACGAGTCTGCGCATGACAGGCATGACATGCCCAGACTCAGACTGATGGCGCTGCTTTGCTCTTCCGCCATATGCGTATGTAGAGTATAGCACGACAGTCTGCAGCTATGCCTAGAGCGAAACGCATCTCTTTCGCAACACTCTTCACTTTTTTGTAAATTTTCTTCAAATAAGAAAAATTCCTCTCGCTACGTCTGAGAATAGGAAATGTGATGCACATGCAGAAAAGTACTTAAGGATTTTCAAATGTAAGTGTTTGTTTTTACCTGATATATGTTTGTAAAAGTTGTGTTAAGTTACAATAAATGTTTGTTATTTTCGTGGTCAATTTTGGTATTTTTATGGCATGTAATGGGTTGCCAGGAACAGAACCCCAATTTACAACATTGCACCTATGGGAAACGAGGGTTCGACTTACGACGGATCGACAGCAACCAATTAGGTCGTAGGTGCGGGGGTCGCCTGTACGTTGAACTTCTTCTGCACCATACGTAACCAACCCATGCTAATTAGAGGTGCAGGGGACGTACAACAAACTAAACACAAAAAAGCAGTTTAAAAAACGAATATTTTCAATCTAGATTTAAAAGTGTGTAGCTCCAGTGGCTTCCTAATTTTGTAGTACCTAAAACATTGCAGTCTTTTGAAAAGCCTTTCAATTTAATGGACAATTGCTGATTGAGCTATGGTGATATGCTTTATGTTTATGCGTGTAAATTGCTGAATTGGTTAATTTTCACAGGAAAGATGTATGGCCGTGGTGCAACGGATGACAAGGGTCCTGTACTGTCTTGGCTGAACTGCATTGAGTCGTTTCAAGCTGTCAGTAAGGTACAGAGACCAGTAGCCATCGTGAATAGCTCATGGGAAACATTTCATGTCCCAAGAATAAAATGTATGAACGGCACTCTCATTCAGACAGAGAGCCTCTTCCTCATGGAACGGTCTCTCAGACACACAAACATATGCTGCCAGTCTGTATGTGCGTGTGTATATCTATGCTGAACTTCTTTCGCACCGTACATTGCGAGCCGTGCTAATTGGAGGTGCGGGAGAAGGGTAACAAACTTAACACAAAAAGCAGTTCGAAAGAATTAGTTTTCAATTCACATTTAAATTTAAATCTAATTTAAAACGCATGTTCACAACATTTGTGACTTACAGCTGGGGTGCGTTATATATGAAATGGTGATTTGTACCATATATTTATGTAAAAAGTTATTTATGTCCGTGTTTGCCGAATTGACGGGTGTGACGTGTGATGCTCAACGCACAGACAATGCATGCAAGCACACTGGATGAGTTGGAGATTTTTTTTTATGTTTGTATACCTTTCATTATGTGCAGTAATTGACACCACGGACACCCTTGTAAAAAGAGATTCCATCTCTAGAGATTTTCCAGGTAAAATTTTTATTTTTACAAAATAATATCAGTTGATCAATCTTGAAATCTGTGAGACCAAAGGGGGGTTTTGGTTTTTTCTTTAGAATCTAGACTAATACGCACTTTTTATGTAACTGTGCCTAATAGATGCCTAATAGATTCACTAAATAAATAAGCTCTTTGGCTTACGTGTTAAACTGACGAAGCTCTTCAGCTTTGGAAACATAAATCATTGTGGGAAATGGGAATGTATCCGTGAAATGTGCGGATGTGTGAGTATCACTGCAGGCCCTGCCGGTGAATGTGAAGCTGTGTTTGGAAGGCATGGAAGAGTCGGGTTCCATTGGGCTCGGTGAGCTGATTGCTGAGCGGGGCAAATCCTTCTTTGGAAACGTGGACTGCGTGTGCATCTCCGACAGTTACTGGTTGGGAACGCAGACGCCGTGCCTCACATTTGGCCTGCGGGGTCTCTGCTACTTTGAAATTGAGGTCAGAGCCCTCTCGGTGTTTCCTCTCGGACTGCGCAATGGCACGTGAACGTTGTGTTTCTGTAAATATATCCCGTGGGCGGGGGCAGCCTTTACGGTTCCACAAGCAACGTCCTGTACGTTGTCAAGCACGCCCACCTTTCCCTATTCGTCTTCCCTCCTCAACTCGAGCAGTATTTGTGTATTTATGCCGGGTGCGGTTCGTCCACTAGGGGTGTTCGGACGCCGATCCACCAAGCAGCTGTAGATGAGAAATGATTTTCTATAAAAAAATACTTTTCTATAAATTGTTTTGCTGTGTTTAATTTTTTTAAAATATAGTGCGTATTTCAACGTGACTTGCCTAATGAAGATAGCGCTTTACATTGTTCATATTAGAAACCGCTGCAACACCGCACTCTGATTGGTGCCTCGGGGAGGTCTCGGGGCGGTTGTGAAGGCGTCCGAGTGAGAGATATTCCTTCATTCATTGCGACGAGCTTCTTGTATTGTAGCCACGCCGTTCGAGACCCGTTCAGGGCGGTGAAGAAGGCGCCCGTGGCTGTAACGACGACGTCACAATGCGAGGTGGCCCCGTGCAAATATAGGAGCAGCTTACGGCCTACACGCTCTAGGCTTTGGGCACCGTCACTGGAGTTGTGTCGTGTGGACTTGAGGGTCATGGGGACAGCATTTGAGTGCTTTGTAGTTTTGTTTCGTATTGTTTATAAACGCGTTTTTTCAATGTGAATTGCAGGTCCAGTGTGCCCAGAAGGACCTCCATTCAGGGGTTTACGGTGGCTCTGTACACGAGGCGATGACAGATCTCATGCAGATTCTGGGTAGGTCACAATGCAATACAATTTACAGCTAATTAGTATTTAATGCAGTCACTTGTTCAGATGATTTACGGGGTGGTGGTGGGGGGAGGATATTGGTCTGAATCTTGACTTGAAACGGGGCAGAGCCTCAACAGCATAAAGTTCAAGAGAAATGGAATTCAGACAGTAGGAGCCGAAACCAAGAAGGAGCAACTTCCCATGGAATGCAACACCAGTACTTGCAATTACTGGTGTTGCATTCATACACGAATCCAGTTAACACATACACAAATGCAGAAATACTTTAACCGATTGCTCATGTTACATTTTGTGGTATGTGTACATCTATATATGTGTGCCTTTGTGTTCAAGCATCGTTAGTGGACAGTAGTGGCAGGATCCTGGTGCCAGGGATCTATGAATCTGTGAAGCCGCTCTCGGAGATGGAGGCACAGCTGTGCGCGAACGTGGACTTCAGTCCTGAGGAATACCGGCTGGAAATCGGGGCCACAACCCTCCAGCAACATACCAAGGCACAGACAGCACCGTGAACAACAGCTGCTTACAAATGTAATGCATCCATAACGTAACAATTGTCTCAAAACACAGACAATTACCAGGAGAAAATCGAGAGGGAACAGGAAGGAGCAAGCAAGGGAAGGAAGATACTCACCCACGCCCTCCCCTACTCCTCCATTCATCCAATCACCAACTCAACAACCGCCATTTGCCACTAAGTAGCAGTGACATCACCACGGTGCTTGTGCCAAGCTGTGTGCACTTGAAGGCCACGTGAAGTGTCATCTCTGCTATCTTCTTCTGTTTGCTAAGGGTGCTTATGACACCCTGACATATGCATTGTCCTTGAAACTGATTGGCCTACAGGCTCCTTGATGGCCTTGTTCCACAAGTCTGTGTCTAGTTTCTTGTCCTCCCACCTCTCGATTAGCACGGTTGGCTACGTATGGTGCGGAAGAAGTTCAACGTGCATTCGTCAGACCGAAGAATGTCAAAGGGCGCATGGTACAAAGACAATGCAGATATCAAACCAATAGCTTGGGTTGAGCAGTTTGATTTGTTGGACCCTTTTTTGCCAGTATCAAGAGGAAAAAAAGAATAGGCTTAACCCTTTCGGCAAGAATACATGTGCTAAGATGTTCAAATGCCAAATAGACACCCATCACAGGGCATCAAGTCTGCATCAACCACACTATACTCTTGCCTGAAATGGTAAAGCCTGTTAATTTTTAATAGTCGTGGTACTAGCCAAAAAAGGTCCCATAGATATCCCCCACATAGCCTTAAAAAGACTATGAAGGCCGGGACGGCACGAGAAGGGGTGGGTGGCCGGCACCACGCCTAGCCGTCTTTGTCTCCCGAGTGGGACTGTTTACACAGCGCCAGGTACTCATTTGAGGCCGAGTCGACCGATGGGAGGCTACGGACCAGTTCAGATAATCGTCACCTGGTGTTGGCCGTGAGCGGGTATCGAACTCCGGTCGCTGGGTTCGTAGCGCAGCAAGCTTACCGCCACACCAGCGCTCCCCACAGAACTCTAAACACATATAAATGCATCTGTCTGTGTTTGTCCCAGACAGTCTGGGAATTGGTGGCAGTAATTGTTTTGTAGCAAGATCTGGTACTGGTATTGTTTTTAACTTCATTAAGGTTTACTGCACAGTTTCGATAGACCTTGGCTGACTGAGAAATATGTCCAGGTTTGATTAGTGCAAACTCGTGTCCACCGCAGTGCCAGTTAAACATTTCATTGAAATTCGAAGTGTTTGTTTCCCCTTTTTAATTCTCTAACTTGTTACGTGTAGTTTTTTAGCGTGTGATCATTATTGTGTGTGCGTTGTGTTTATTGAAGGAGGACATTTTAAATCATCGCTGGCACTTGCCATCGCTCTCCATCCATGGCATCGAGGGAGCATTCTCGGAGCTCGGTCAGAAGACGGTCATCCCCAGCCGCGTGGTGGGGAAGTTCTCAATTCGGACCGTCCCAGATATGGAACCGGATGAGGTAGAGAGGCAGGTGAGATCTGTAACTTAATTAACTTTCTTTTTTTAAAGTAATTTGATGGTGCAAAATGTAGTTTCCAGGAAATCTACGTTGTAATATTGGTTCATGTTTTTGCGCCATTATAAATGTTTTATTGTTGTATTCTGTCATGTTATTGTTGTTGTTTTTTCATATGGGTGACCCAGGTCACACTGACAAATGAGACCATTTTCTCATCTAGATTTTAACACGGTGTCCTTGAAAATTCTCACCATCTTTACCATTGTTATTCTAAATGACTTTGCAACATGCTTGACCTCATCTTTAATTTTGTACGATGGAAATAACTTTAGAGTAAATACAGCAGATGATTGATTACCCGGTGGCTTTGGGGGAGGGAAGGGGGTAGCCGGATTTTCAAAAACGCCGGACAATCACTACATCATTATTTAAAATAGCTTATTTTTCCACTTTCTTGAATAACATGTTTTATGTATTGTGTATATGCTTTTTAGTGTTTTACATTTGTTTACAATATGAAATTGGCATACATAAACATACAAATAGACAAAAATTATTTCCTATTGTAAAAAGTTATTGTATTTACTGTACCGTACTTACCACTTCAATCTCGAAGACTCTGCATGGGGTAATGTACGTAGTGCTACGCTCTTGTTTCAACAACCATGTGCTTGACGATCACCGGACCAATGCAGCCTTTAGACCGGTACGCCGAATTACACGCACACTTGTCACCAGATCACACTGTATCTTTTCTGTTATCACTGCAGTCAGTAGTCATGAACAATGTACATACGTGCAGCATTGTCATTGTTTAAGTTGTATGCAGCGTATAATGTACTGTATATAATATTTGGCACTGAAATAAAGCATAGCGGCCTGTTTAGGTACGCTAAACGGAGCCGATCGCCGGACTGTTTGCAGCATTTGGAGCGGTTTTGCCCGTTTCGCCGGATAATGTTGGAAGCCGGATAATCGCGCACCGGATAATGATTTTGTTCCTGGGTATTAAGTGTTATTTTGTTTTATTGCTTACACCTAAAAAGTATAAAAAATTGTTTTTATTCTCCACAAACTTTGCTTTTGTGACCAGGACTTTATGTGAACGAAAGACACAAATGCACACCACGTTTTCTCATTGAAAATAGGTATATTTCAAAATATCACTGTCCTGATCACAAAAGCAAAGTTTGTGGGGAATAATAGCCATTTTCTGTACTTTTGAGGCATAAGCAATTAGGAAATAACACTTACTACCCAGGAACAAAAACTATTTTTTGTTACACAGTGTTATTGATGATCAACTGTACTGCAAACATGGTTGGATAATGGCGAAGACTTGTACATGTACAGCCCTCTGTCGATCCACTGCTGAATGAGAGCCTACCTACGCCATGCAGGTTACGGAGGACATTTGACCACACATATTAGTGAACTCGTGGGCGCATAGTTGTAGCGATGCGGTGATCTAAAGCTGTACCACGGGGTTCAATGCAAGTTCACGTTTGTAGTTCTGATGTTGAGTGCTTAAATGTTCGCAAACTGGTTGACACTTTGTTCGTACCAAAATGTTGTACAGTATGATGAGTACTTTGATGTCTGCAATGTCCATACGGGCTGGCACCATGAAGGCGGCGACACTGTGGTGGTGGGGAGAGAGGTTTGACCTATCTGTGTCACCTGTGTCGAGATCAGTTCAGATAGACACAGCATTGCCAGGGGAGGAGACATCAGTGCGGCTGAGACTTCACATTTGAACAGGGCAGAAAGCGTAAGTGAATTTTTGGTTTTAAGATAACATAGAAATTTTAGACACGTAGATGTAAAGTTATTGTGCTATTTAAAACTGACGTGGTTATTTATCTCCCTGCTAAGAGCCAAAATCATTGTAAATATTCACACCTGAGAGGAAGGGAGATATTTAGTGAGTGCCGAGGGTGAATGGAGGAGGTTCCAGAGTTTTTCAGATTATAACAGTATTTTGTACAGTGTGTCACTTGTGATTGTTGTTGTTGTTGGGATAATTGTACGTACCCTTCCATCGTAACAGGTGAAAGATTATGTCGCACAGACATTTTATGAGCTGCGAAGTCCTAATCGCTTCCGGATCACCATGCCCGTGGGATCGCAGGCTTGGGTGGCCGACTCCACCCACCCCAACTACACCGCCGGACGCAATGCCATGCGGAGGGGTATGCCACGCACACAAACTGCGCACGTGCGCATTCCACGGACAGTGCCCCCCTGGTCACTGGATTTTGACACAGTCGTGTGAAGCATTACCACAATTGTTTGTAGGTATGTACATCTGTATGAATATCCGGCATGTATCGTAACATCTCATCATTAGCCGTGTGCCGTTTACTGCCGGATCACTCTCCTAAGTCATCGCCATTCTTTGCAGTCTCACGATACAATGATTCACCAACCTTCTGCACACTCGCTGATTAAATTACTTCATCTCCGCAGCGGTCATCCTCTCAAACGTGTTCCCTTATTTTAGTTCCCATTCTGTCATTACTCTTGACTGTTGCCCATCATACATTCTAACAATGAGCCCCATTGCCACTGAATTTCTTCAGCAAGTCAATAGGATGTCTCTAATCTGTATTTGTTCTGAAATCCACGTTTTTATTTTATATCATCAACGGATCAACGGAATACTGTATGCCTTGTGCCCAATCTTTGTAGATGATGAAAAAGCATATATATTGCTGCATTTGTGATTTATTTTATTTTATATAATGCCTATGTAGATCGGGTTGCGATCTGCTGTCTTAGTTTGAACTGGTGAATTTGTCCTGGAGTTTAGCGGCTGTGTTCATGTGGCAGGAATTTATCTGTACAGAGATCTCTGGTGGTATTGTGTTGAACTTCATTGTGGTGTCATGCACAGTTTTCGATAGCCCTTAGGCCGACTGAGAAATACTGCATGTCCAATTTTTGGTCCTGTGGAAAAGGTAATCACCCTCTTATGGATGTTCTATTTTTTTGTTTGTGGCCGTGCGTGCAGTGTTTGGCGTCGAGCCAAACCTCATCCGTGACGGGTGCAGCATCCCGGTGACACTTGACTTCGCTCGCCACACTGCGCTTAATGTGCTGCTACTCTCACTGGGTGCATGTGACGACGGCGCCCACTCGCAGAATGAGAAGTTCAATCTGTAAGCCAACGCGGTCTCGCCACTAATTCCTTTTGGCTGTTTTCTCTGAAGCAGTGGTTTCCAACTTCTAGTGTGCATACATGTTGCAGATAAGATGATGTCGAGTACAGGAGACCCTTGAATATTGCTGGGGGGGGGGTGAATACCTGGCCTGGTACAGGCGCTGTGACGTCACCGCCACTTAGCAGCAAACGGCGGGTGTTGTCGTTTGTCCGCGAGTGGGGAGCAGTAGTGCAATAGGTTGGCGCGCTGCGCTACGAACCTGGCGACCCAAGTTTGATTCCCGCTCATGCCCAACACCGGTGACAATTATCTGAACCGGTCATGGCCCTCCACTAGCTCGACTCAGCCCCAAATGAGTACCTGGTGCGATGTGTAAATGTCACCACTCAGGAGACAAAGGGGACGGGGCGTGGTGCTGGCCACCCACCCCCTTGTGTGCCGTCGTTCATAGGTGCTACTCGCTAACAGCACTTGCCCCAACAGTCTGTTGATAGACTGTATGGGGGTCTTTGTCCTTGAGATGCTTGCACGCAAAGGTTGACGTGCCACTGACCGTCTCGCATCCCTCACCCTGCCCCACAACGCTCCGCACCACGGCACCAGCCAGTGATGCAGTGCTTCCAGGTGCAGGATACCTGCGATAGGTCAAAACCAACCCACACTGAAGCTAAATTGGTATACAGAGAGGTCGTCCGTGATAGGTCCAAACCACGAACGATAAACCCGCAATCTTCAAGGGGTCTTCTGCAGTTAAATTTTTGAAAGTGTTATTGGTGCACGGTGGTCCACAACATTTGTTTTGAGGATTTTGACAGTGGTTCGTGGGTTTCAGAAAGGTTGGCCTAAAGTCGTGGTTCTTATCCTTTACTGCAGCCTGCACCCCTTGGGTTCTCAATCGTAATTTTTTATTTATAATATTAATAAATACATCGGTTGGATGGAACAAATTAGTTGTACATACATGCCCATGCACCCCAGGTTAAGAAGCACGGACCGAAAGGAATAGGAAACCCCAGCCAGATAAACAAAAATAGAAAAGTGCTTTCGGTATGCATTCTATAGAGTCCTGTAGTCGTGTCCGTCGGTCCAAGGGGATGCAGCCCCCCTTACCCCCCACCTACCGCTCCCTCATTACCCTTTCTCACCATCTCCCCCTCCTCCTTCACTAACGTTTTGAATTTTTTTGCATGTTTTACACGTACACATTATATGATGTTCAAGTACATATGCATTATATATATTACATCACATTTTTTCAAAGTATATAGTATGCAAATGATTCGATTACCTAAAATTGTGTTTTATTATCCATCCTGGTGCAGCTAAGTGCAATTTAGCATATTGCAATTACATGTTTGAATATTTTTATGATGTAATTTCATGGAAGTAATACTAATGATTTTGCATTTGTTGTTTGTATCTGTGTTTTAAGCTCAAACTACATGAACGGAATGAAAGTGATGGCGTCTTATCTGGAGGAATTATCACTTGTTTTGCCAAAGGAATGAATTCTACTTTGCTTCAAACGTCCACCAGAATTGGACATCTTTTTACACACGTGCTTATTCAATCACAATGTTATAGAACACCTAAATATGGCTGTGGACCTTGTTGTGGTGGAGAGGCTTGTGTGCCCCAAAGCCCCTGATAGCAATGACGGTGGGAGCTTCTGGCCCCTGGCAGGTTTAACCATACCGGATAGGTTTCAGGCGAGAGGCCAGATGAAGGCCAGCACATTGGCCCTCCAGGTTGGGGGTTGGGCATGGCACTAACAACATCACCCCATAAAAAAACTGAATTTTGCAGAAATGACAATGAACAAAATGAGTGACATCAGGCCCTTAATAGACTCGAGTGATCGTACTGCCACTCGAGCCTCTCGAGTGGCAGTACGATCACTCCTGATGAAAGCCAACCGGAAACCAGGAGTGTGAAAGAGGGCCTATTGGGGCCTAAAACCAAGGTCCACCTCCTTGGCGCATGGAATGTCAGAACCTTGTACGAGACCTCCAAGACCGCGGAAGTCCTCGGCGAGATGAAGAAGCACAATCTCGACATCCTGGGGATAAGGGAATGTCGCTGGACCGGCTCTGGACCGTCTTGTGATGAATGACAGATCGGTGGTGCTGTACTCAGGACATGAGAACTATACATGGTGTTGCCATGGCACTCTTAAGGAGAAAGCCAGATCCTTACTGGAATGGGAGCCAGTGCTTAGAATGGAACACACCTTTATTCAGCAACTTTGTTGATTTCAGCAAAATCTGAAAATCAATGTCCAAATATACAAGAGCAACGTCAAGTACATCCTGCTATATGGCTCTGAATGTTGGAGGATCGTAAAAGCAGACGTGAAAAAGGATGCGGCTTTCAACAATGGATGCCTCATTTGCCGTATATTTTGGCCAAACAAAATTTCCAATCACGAATTGTACTTGAGAATCCGAAGCCGGAACATCACAAAGGAGATATAACAACGAAGACTGCGATGGCTGGGCCATGTCCTAAGATTAGAACAGAACCACATGCCCTAAAATGTACCTGAGATGGACGCCTTCGGGCAAAAAAACCACCTGGCAAAGAACCGTCACCAAAGAGCTTGGTCAGATGAACCTCTCATGGAGAGAGTCACAGCATGCAGCCATGGACAGGAGAGATGGAGAGAGTCACAGCATGCAGCCATGGACAGGAGAGATGGAGAGAGCTCACTGTTGCTTCATGTCCCATAGGGGATGAGTAAATAAAACTTGTTTTGCATGCAAATTGTACTTTCTAACTAGGCATTACTTGAGCACAACCCAGTTCTCCAAGTAAATCCAATGTTGAAGCTTTTTTGTGCCCATTTGTGTTTAAGTGGGAAAAAGCCTACGAGAGTTATACTTATTACGATTTGAATTGTGTATTTAAATTCGCACTTAAGTAATATTTAAAAATGTTTTTTTTTAAACACGCTTTAATGAAATGTACCGTACGAGTAATGGCAGAACTCCACGACTCCAGCAAGTGGCCCCGAGGCTTGCCATAACGTAAGGGGCCGTGTTGATTTACAGCCAACGTGAGTTGAGCGTGGACAATTAGACCCAAGGCGAAACATAACATAAAAAAGATGGTTTCAATTTTTATTTTATTTTTAATGATAGAATATAGTATTGTCATCAGTATGACATAAGTATACCAAGTTTGCAGTCGATACCATATTGGGAGGTGGGTTAAAATTGAGTTACAAGATTTGAGGATACAACAAAAACAGAGTGAGTTAATAGCGTGTAAAAATGTTTAAAATATATATTTTATGATAGAATATAGTATTGTCATCAATATGACATAAGTATACGAAGTTTGCAGGCGATACCACAATATTTGAGGATGCGACAACGACAACAATGGCAACAACAAACAAGAGTGATTTAAATAAAAGTGTAAAAAGAAGACGACTTACAATTAAAGATCCGAGTATTTTTTTGGAATATTCCCGAGTCTGTCTCTTTATGAGTTAATGCATTTGAGCGAGTGACACTTATGCCCGATGGGTGTCTCGAGTCTATGGCTCTTTTTACGAATCTATGGGCATCTTGAGTCCAGGGACTGGTATAAGAGGCTGTACGAGTCAGTGGGTCTGTTTACTAGTATATACCGTATCTCTGAGTCTATGGGAATGTACAGACCGAGTAATTTAGTCTGTGGATCTCTCAGTCTATGGAACTCAGTGGCTTACGGGTCTCACTCAGTCTGTGGGTTTTATTTGTATAACAATGCTACAGGCCCCGCATTAGCTTAATCCGGCACTGGGGTTGAGGTGGCTATCGGTGCACTTTTGGATCTACACAAGTCACGTAATGCCCTCTTGCGGACAAACGCACAGCTACAGCCGCTGCCTTGCAATGAACGAAATACAGTTACAGCGCAGGAACGACAGTCTACGCATCGCCGCCTCTCCACACGAACAATGCGAGTGGCTCGACTCATCACGTCAGCCACACGACCTTCCGAGAGCGCATCTCATCAGCGGCATCGATTCAACGCAAGCAATTCCCTGGAGACAGACTGACACTGAAGTGTTATCTCATCAGCAGTCAGACTCGCTCGAACCGACACTGGTGAACTGCCAATTGTTATTGGCAGGAACCCGCTCCGTTAGATGTGGGACGCTAGCTCAGCACAGTGACTCTAGCACATTTGCTCGAGCCTGGCCCTGCGGTGACCACTGCACAGGCTCGCGACGACCTCTTGCGGACCCATCTATGGCTGCAGATTATTTTGGGTGAAGCTGCCGATATTAAAAATGGCAAAAGGAAGCACAGCCTCTTCTCTTCCTCGAATGAATGCCATCGAAGCTTTGTAGAGGAAAGTGTTTCCTGATCCTCCAGGTCCGTCGAGATAGAAGTAGCGATTATCAATTTCCTCGTCGTCGACTGCAGCCACGATCTTGATCAATGCATCCAACTGCTTGTCGTAAAGCATGGAAACTTGCCGGTCGCCTTCCTCTTTCTCAGCGACTGGATCGAAAGGCTGCTCTTCTGTTGGATTTCCAGTCGGTGTTGGTAAACCTATGATGGCACATGAGAGTCCGTGCTGCTTTAGAACTGCGTTGACTGTCAGTGCAGAGCTTAGTTGACCGCTGTGTGTTCCGGGAAATTTACGCATGTAGTCGAGGGACACATCGTCGCAAAACTTGTCCCACAATTCCCGAGCACTTGTTAGCTGAGCAAAACGCAACAGCTTCGGCATCTGATAAGTTGCTGCTTCCGTGCATCATTGATCCCAGTCTGCTTGAGACTCCAGAAGGCCTCGTGCTGCTGCGGCTTCTTTGAATGTGGCGTAAATGACGTTATTGTGAATGTTCGCAATGACTCGGCTCGTTGCCCCGGGAACGTGAAGTAGCAATAGTCACTAACGCTCCTCGTCTTTGAAGGTGACGGTGTACATGCGCGACACTATCTTGTTGCCTCCTCGTTGACGTTTTTGCCAGTCGTTTCGAACGTAAACGTAGTGAAGCGGAATATCGGTGTCCAGCAGCTGTCGTGCATCCTGATCGCGCTCGTTCAGCAGGAGCCGCGACTCGAGCTTTGTGTGTCCGGTAGTCGCTGCATCGAAAGCTTCCTGTTCGTGTCCTTCTTCGAATGTGATGCGCTGCCGATTCGGAAGATGCACCGGTAGTCGCATAACTGCATGTGATCGATCATGCATCTTGCTTTCCAGCAATCGCCACATTGCTCCCGGTGCGCTGATGTATCGACAATCGATGACGTTGGTGATCGCGTCGTATCGCAGCTCCGGTTGTCCTGTGGATGTGCTTGCGATGTTGGCTCAGTCGAAGTCCTTTGAGAATGCTACTTGCAGATGTACTTGATTGCCCGCAGCTCCTGAACAAGAGCTCAGTGGGCCTTACCGGGTGACATAAACATGAGTTTTAAACAGTTTAGTTGACCTGCCCATGGCAGCCACGAGTGTCGCCCATGGTGCAATCCCTTGCGTGATCCACCAACACCCCACAAGAGGCGAGCGTCACGGCAGGAGGCCGTGGCACCGCGTCAACGTCACGTAGCTCCCGCGTGCCCATGAAGTTGCACCGCAGGGCGACTTCCTCCTGCAAGCCCTTTAAAGTTCCCCAGGCATGCGGTTCCCCGGGCACCCCCAGGGCGTGAATTAAGGGATTTACTTCGCTGAACTTACACGACGTGTCGTGGGTGCGTGAGCGCGCTGCTGCTGCTGCTGAATTGTCCGTGCGTGTTGGGATGTGTTCGCGATCGAGATGTGTCGGCGTGTGTATTTCTGGGGGAATGTGTGTGTGTTTGTGTGGGTGTTTGTGTGTGTGTGTGTTTGTGTGGGTGTTTGTTTGTGTGGGTGTTTGTGTGTGTGCACGCAAGGTAGACCGTGTATATGTTGGATTGGACGTGGGGAGCGGCGGTGCAGCAGTTAGCGCGCTGCGCTGTGAACTCTGTGTAACCCGAGTTCAATTCCCGCTCACGGCCAACACCGGTGACGATTATCTGAACCGGGCCTGGGCCTCTCCCCTAGGTCGACTCGGCCTCAAATGAGTACCTGGTGCTGGCCACCCATAACCCTCATGTGCCATTCTGGCCTTCAAAGGTGCTCGCTAACAGCACAAAGATCCAACAGGCTACTTGGGGGATCTTTTACGTTATTATTGAAGGGGTTCGTTTGTTGGGCTGTGTGCGTACTTGGTATGTGAAGTTTCTGCGTTGTGTTTGTGTGGAAATGCACAATTGCCTTGTGTGTGTCGCTATTGTGTTGGAGTGTGTGTTGTTGGGGGGGGGTGCGTGTGTGTCTTTGTCTTGGGATGTGTGTGGGGAGTCGTGGTTTTACGAGTAGTTTGGCTGCGGGACAAGTCTGCCAAAGATAAAGTTGAATAATCCCAGGTGGCCGGCAGCAGGCAGCCGCCCCTCCAGCAACAACGGGAGCGAAGAAGCGACTTCCAGAACGAGAGACGACATCGGGCGGCTACGCCCCAGCGAGCGGGCACGGGGACAGTGCAGGCAGTGCATCTGCCAGCCACCACCACTTCTGCTAATCCACAACATCTGGATTCGTCCTGTGTGCTCCTGCCAAAGGTATTATTTCCCACTCCACGTGGCTTCGAAGTGCACCTAGTATGGCACGAGTCCATGATGATGGCCAAAGCATCCTCAATATTGCCCGTTCTCGTCAGATATCGACAGGCTTAGCAGAATTGAGCTTGGTTAATACTGGTAGGAACCACCTGGTCCCACCAGCCCACAGGGGATTATTGTCTCCGTCCGTCCGTCGTGAATCCAAAAATGGGAGGGGTGGGGCTGGGTGGAGAGGGGAGGGTGGGGCTGGGTGGGGGTGGGAGGGGTGGGGCTGGGTGGGGGGTGGGAGGGGTGGGGCTGGGTGGGGAGGGGCTGGTCACCCCCTGGTGCCCTTATAAAACTCAACGTTTAACCTACTCACGCCGGCTTGTGCCCGCCCTCACAGTCGGCCATATTTGCGGAATACACCACGCCGCCGTTGACCCTGGCCATTGACCGAGCAACCCAACGTTCCTACCAGCTCCCTCCGCAGGAATGTGTTACTTGAACGGGTGACATGCAGGACGGGCCAGGCGCTGTAAATTGGCACGGGACTGCGCGATGTCTAAGAAGGCAATGTCCCTCGTGTGAGTGGCTTTTCTCCAGATTCTCCCGTTTTCTTCCACATGCCCGGCACTCGATATTGGCCAAGACAAACAGAAGTTTGGTGTGTGTCTCGCTCGGTGTGTCTTGGTGTGTGTCTCTCTCTGCACGTGTGTCTGCCTATGTTGTTTCCGTGTCTGTGTGTTCATTCATTATTACCTGATGATGGTTGCTTATTGCAACCCAAACAGTCTTATTCGATTATTTGATTAAATTTTTTTCGTGACTTTACCGAAAGAACCAAAGAGTGATTGATCGTAAGCTCATTGATCGCACTAGAGGGGCACTATTTGCTATGAAGATTTCAATTGTCGGAATTTGCGGTGTAATTTTTTTCCGTCAAAATTCGGAGCGTGACGCTGGCGCACAATGGCCTCCTCTTGGTAACGTGACACGCACTGGGTAATGGGCTACATTTAGCGACGTAAAGTTACTATGTATGCGACATTTTAAAATTATAATTGTCATATTTAATTTTAAAAAAAGTCGTCACAATTCCCATCCCGTACCCAGCCACGTGCCACTGTAGTGGAGAACACGATTCGTCGTCAGAAGTTTGCCCTCAATCCCTGGTCCGAGAGTTTACCTGGCCGAGAGTTGACTCAACCCCATCATCGCTCTGGGTTCGTTAAATTATGTACCACTTTGTCGGTGGCTCTTAGCCATGCGTATAATTATTATAATTATTTGCGGTAACCAGGCACAGCGGCGGAGTTTAAAACAAATCTCCCACCATCATCATTACCAACGAGCAGCTGAAAGCTTTTTTTTTACTACGCGGACAACTCAGCAATGGCATGACTAGAACACAAAGCAGGCGTGGTTGGGGTTGCCGTCACAACGGGGATCTGTCACCGTGTCACTACCAGTCGGGGTGACATTGAGACTCCGTAACGCACCCAGTGCCGCCGCGGTCTCAACGGCGCGCCGATCGGCTTCGGTGCCCCTGCACTGTAATTACATTTTCCTGCCGAATTGACCGAGGGCTGCAGTGGTGCTCTTAGACAGGGCCGTGGTCCAAAATAAAACCCCTCAGCTTATCACGGGCCTCCTGCCGCCAAGTTTCGGGCTGGGACGTTGCTCCGTACGCCCATCTGTGTGTCCACCCCCTTCCCTCCCCACGTCTCTGTTTTCCCATCGCCGGGGTTTTCAATCTCGGAGGAAGCGGGATCATGTGCCCTCACTTCTGCCAAGAGATGCTGCCACAGTGGGATAACCGTCAGCGCCACCGGATTCCAGAATCAGTATTTTTCGTGGAGGAATCCGATGAGCTATGATGGCTCTTTCTTCACAGATGTCCGAGTAGATTTTCCATCCAGAGGATTTTCCATCCAGAGGTCGCCGGTTTGACCTCCCGGCGCGGCAGTTGAAACGCGTTCAGTGTAAAGGGGTTCACCACACCGACGACTGGGAGGTTGCGGCGTGTGGTGGGGTCAAGTGTGGGTGGCTGCTTGTTTATGGCATCTGGCTCAGCGTGGAAGAGGAGGCCAAACGGCCCTCTGGCAGGAGCTCTCCGTGCTCCGTCTCTCTTAGAGGTGGCCCCACAGCCGGCAGTGACGAGCGAGTGAGCAGGCTACAGGCATGAAGAAACCTTTACATTGACCTAAACTCATAGAACATACCGACCTCTCAAAATGCACATAGTATATATAAAAACAAAAACCGAATATAAAGGATGTTTAATATGTTTGTGGTGTAACGAAGCATCAATTAATGGATTAACATCAGACACTAATCTAAAAACTCTTTTTATTTCACCAGCTAAGGCCCACTGAGCTGCGTTAGCTCTTTTTCAGGAGCGACCTGGCCACAAATGATAGCTCAACGAAGTAGCTTGTCATCAGGGTGGACATTTTATAGAAACCAAATACTCTAAATTCACGTTTATAAATGTGGAGGGGGAAAAAAACGGAAGACCCGGAGTAGAATCCACGTGACCACGGGGAGAGAGAGAGAGACATGCAAACCCCTAAATATACAGCAGGCGTCGGGTTCGGAATCAGACCCAGGACCTCCTGTGTACCAGGCGGGGCAGTTAACATCTCCCAGCCACAGCAGCACCCCAAGGTGGCAGAGTCGGGCCGTGGGCAGCGTCGACAGCATCGGCCGCGGCATCCCCTTGACCCTGGCCGTGACCTCGCAGCTCAGTGCACGTTGAGGTCAGGTGTCGCCCAGCACCTGGGTGAGTTGCCTGCACACCATGCTGCCCACGAGCTTGCGGAGTCCCGGGCGGGTGGGCGTGAGCCGCTCCCGCACCGTCACCGTCTCTCCCACTCGGATGTCGCTGGAAAACAGCGGCGGTGAGTGAATGAGTGAGTGAGCGAGGGCCACGCGCAGGGTAGGGGGGTGGGCGGGGGGTCAAGCGGAGCTCGGAGGAAGGCACCGCCCGAAATGAAACGTGCGGAGAGACGCCGCCGACGGGAGGGCCTTTTGCCGAGGACAACTGACGACGATGCCAGCGGCGGGCACGTCGAGAACCCGCGGGGAAGCGTAGACAGCGCGGCGCATGCGCGTTCGGCTTCGCGGCGGACGCTACAAGATCCCCGTGATGGCTTTCGCAAAAGCAAGTCCACCGTGCGCCTGTCCGTCGTGGTCCACTTTAGCCAAAAATTTCAAACGTTACACCGCAAAACGACTCGGCTTGTACAAAGCAACCCTCGCACCCGTGTACGTGCGTACCCATGGTGAACTTGCTTCGCTCCGTACGTAGCCAAATATGCTAAGCGGAGGTGCGGGGGGAAGGACAACAAACTAACCACTAGAAGCTATTCTAAAGAAATTAGTTTTCAATGTAGCTGAGCAAAAAGTGCATAGCTTCAGTGGCTTCCTAATATCGGAAGGAAGAGCGTTCCAGACGGCCGCAGAAGCGCGTCTGAAAGCGCTTGGTTATGACCTTTCTGAAAAAGAGTCACGACACTCCGTGAAATTTTCCCTGGGTAAACAAGTGTGATATTAATAAGACTGACAATCAAAGCCTCATTCCTGTGTTGTGATGCCATGTCGTTATTGGCGTAGTTACTTCACACGACGTTACAGGAAGCCTGTTCGCGGTGAAGTGCTGCTTTACGTGAGTGCTCTCTGCAGCACGGGCACTTTACAGGAACGGTGCGGGATCTACATCGAACAAATGAACAGATGATGGCCGAGCAAAGCGATGCGGTTGTGGATTTTGCTTTACAGGGTCAATACGAGCAGATCTCTTTTTTTTTATAAATTAAAAAATGGAGCGCGGTGCCCCCACCCCGCCCCCCCTTTTCCCCTCTCCTACACAGCCACTCCCTTCCCTCCCCCTACATTACAACACAAACAACGAATGTTCTACCGGAGCGATTTTTCGACGTAAACGAGACGATAGATACTCTCCCTGTTTAACACGTAGGCTTTCGCGACCAATATCATCCATAAGAGGTTTTTTGGGTTAGATGGGTTCAAAGGGCTCCCATAATGCACTTGCATAATGTACTTTGCCTCAGTCATCCCCCCCCCACATTATGCAAGAGCACAGAAGAGTGGTCAATACATCTACGCCTCTATATACGGAATGATGCAGGTGGACTTCTCCACAAATCTGGCTGTCGCCTGATGAAGCTAGTTGTAATTACTGTTACTGGCGAAACGTTGTACTCAGATTGTAAATGTTGTGGCTTGGCTCTCCAACACACCGGTGTGCTGTACTGGTGACAAATTAGCACGTTCTGTTTACGTGACAACCCTTACTAGTTGGCTGTGTCGGGTGGTGGCGGGTTTTAAGGACATACATTTACGCGATCTAACCCAAAACACCTCTATCATAGATTCTCTTCCCCCCTCTTCCCCGAGTTGACTTTCACCCCTCGGCCCCCCTCCATCAAATCAGAATGTGTCGGGTACATGGGTACATGGGTATATCGGCCCAGCGGATATTCGCGAACCGTTGTGGTTTTTTTTCACCCAACGTTCTGCGACGGGCCTACGTTTTTGTGTACAGCAAATATATATATTTTTTTTTTCAACAGCGCGGTGCCTGCGGCGACGGGGGTTACCGCTCGAGGCGGGCGCCGTCGTCGACACGCGTACAATCTCACCCGTGGCGGATGACCTTGTTCTGCTGCAGCCCTGTGGCCTCCAGCCGGAAGGTGACCCCCTGCAGCACTGCGGGCAGCGGGTTCGTGAAGCTGACCTCAGCCATGAAGTCCCAGCCGCTCCGCACCTCGCCCAGCACCTGCTCGGAGGGAGGCGGCAACCCGACAGACAGACAGACACACGCACACACGCACAGACGAGACAGACAGACACACACACAGACGAGACACACACACGCGAGACAGACACACACACGCAGAGATGAGACAGACACACATATGCACACACACACGCACAGACGAGACACACACACGCACACGCACAGACAAGACAGACACACACACAGACGAGACAGATACATACACAAGACAAGCTCACATACACACACATACAGGTACAAGTCACATGTCCACTGCTTGATGATGTGGAGTCACGTGTGGTCGTGCTGGTGGTGGCTCTGAAGCTGGTGGTGATGATGGTGATAGTCATGATGGTGGTGGTGGTGATAAGGAGGGGCTGGTGGCGCAGTGGTTAGTGCGCCGTGCTACGACCGCGGCGGGCGAGATGGAGCGACTCACGGTGATGCGGAGCGGCGTCAGCGTGAGGTGGAAGGCTCGCTGCGCGACGAGCGGCTGGCTCGTCTCGAGCACTCGCCCCGTGGCCGTGAGCATCAGGCCGCCCTGGTCCACCAGCATGGCCAGGTACTCGCCCCGACGCACCTGCAGCACCACCTGGTGCTCTGGGCCGCAGGAGTGACAGGGGGTGAGTGAGTGCACGCCAAGTGAAAGGCTGACAATGTAGAGATGATAATAACCTTATTGTTACTCAGATCAGAATCTGTATTTAGACTGGAGGAGGAAGCCGATGAGCTATGAAGATCTTTCTTCACAGATGTCCAGTATGGGCGGGTCAGAAAGTTCCAACAGCAAACAATACAAAGACGATAACAAGGCAAAATATTGAGAAACTGGTAAAGCAAGTCACGAAATATAAATACGTAATAAATTAATTCATTTCATAAGTCCGATTTATCAAGATGGGGCAAGGCAGCAATAATGACAACAAAACATTCCCAGGCCACCCCGAGCTAACACCACACAGCCGCAGTCCCTCAAAAACATGGCACATTAACATTGAGTCATCGATACGCAGGCAATGATCAAAGTTACAAATTATTCATATCGAGATGCAGATGCTACATCTCTTTCACATGTCCTTCTCTCCACGTGAATAAAACGTTAAAGTAATTTTGACACAACTCACCGGCCCCATGGGCTTCTGGGAGTGCATCAGCGGCATTGATTCAATGCAAGCAAACTGTGGACCGGATTCGACTCACAATGTCACATCAGCAGAGTCAGGCTAAAGTGTATGGGCTTCCAATACATGGAGAGAGAAAAATAATAGGAGCGAATCCAGAGCTTAATTTAAGTAATTTCAGCCACAGCTGAGCTCTCTCCACGTGTCCATGTGTCTATCCGTCCCTCCGTCCCTCCGTCCGTGTGTCAGTTCGCTACCGGCGCCCGGCGGGAGGTCCACGTCGAATCTCTGCCGCTTGACGGCGGCGCGCACGACGCCCGTGTAGAAGAGGGCGTCGCAGTGCAGCAGCAGGGAGACGCGGCGCTCCTCGCCGTCCACGCTGTGGTTCTTGAGCCGCACGCCCAGCACCACGTCGCGGCCCATGGTGAGGGCGCCGTCCGGCGGCGCCGTCACCTCCAGGACGACGTCGTGGTTGGGCCGCGAGCCCAGCGCCTCCGCCAGCAGGCTGGGCTTGGTGCCGTACCTGCAGGCCATCTCCACCGAGACGCGCTCTTCATCCGAGCCTGCGCACGCACACGCAGCGCGCACTCATTCATTCTTCATTCTTCGTGTGTCCATTCGACCATTCGTTCAAACGGTCAATCATTCGTGGGCTATTCAGACGGTTCGCAGCGCAGTGCGCTAATCGTTGTAATGCCACTCCCCAATAAACAGTGCACGCTCACAAAGCTAAAGACTCCCCGCATAGCCTTCAACAGACGTGCTGCTAACGAGCACCTATGAAGGCCGGCACACAAGAGAGAAGGCAGCCAACACCACGCCCTGCCGCCTTTGTCTCCCCAGTGGCGATGTTCACACACCACACCAGGGACTCATTTGAGGCGTGCTAATCCCTGCACCACTGCTCAAAGACAAAGATCTCCCTTATAGCCTGAACGGACTGTTGGGGCAAGTGCTGTTAGCGAACACCTATGAAGGCTGGCCCGGCACACGAGGGGGTGGGTGGTCAGCACCGCGCCCGGCCACACACATCCCCCTGCCTGCTCATAATCACAACATGTATTTACCCCCCCCCCCCCCCCCCCCCCCGGGGCACTCGCGCTCACCCTCCGGGTACTTGTACGCGTGAGTGATGTCTTCGCGGTTGTCCGAGCCGATGGCCTTGGTGCTGATGCAGTGGCCAACCGCCCTCCGCTCCACGTCCACGGGCGACAGCTCCCCGTCCAGCCCCACCTTCCAGTACACCTTGTCGCTGTTCACCTGCGGCGCACGCAGCCGAGCCAAAACGACGGTCGCGGGAGCGCGGAGATTTACATTTACGTTGTAAGGTCTTTTTGCATGACCGCAGTCGCACACTCCTGGAGAGTTTATAATTTTACGTTTGTGCATCCGGAATCCGCATCTGCCGTGGTTTGTGCAGCGGATGCAGTTCAGGGTGGACCATGAGCTTGGAGTGGATGCTGGCAGCCTTCACACGGCCCACTCTGTTAACAGACGAATTCCATCAACGTGGCTACCGAACATCGACCATCGACCTCAAAGTCTCCAGAGCAACAACAGAAAATGGCGAACAAAGACCGGAAGCAGGAAGACTTATTCACAATTCTAGCTGTCGTCTGATGAAGCTGGTTGTAATCGCCAGTGAAACGTCATACTCAAATTTTAAACGTTGTGGCTTTACTCTGCAACACACCGGTGTGCTGAAGTATTAACGTTTTGTTTACGTGACAAACCTTACCAATTGGCTGTGTTGCGTGGTGGCGAGTTTAACGACACGTTTATATTCATGCGATCTAACCCAAAAAAAATATATTTTTATGAAAAACATTGGTCGCCAAAGCCTACACAAGTTAAAGCGATGTGGTTGTGAATTTATCTTCACTTGCGTAAAACGATCAGATTTAAATGTTTGCTTTATTTAATAACGATTTTACAATTTTAACAGAGCGGTGTCCGTCTGCAGTGGGAGCGCCCTGGAGCTGCGAGGCGGCACGCGGCACGCGGCGCGCGGCACGCGGCGCGGACTGGAGGGCCACTCACCTCTGCAAACACGAACTTGGTGTCGTAGGGCAGGTACACGATGCCGCTCTTCACCGCGTTCACGGGGGACGGTCCACAGCGGAAGATCCCTGCGGGAGACAAAGATCCCCCAGCCCCACCCCGCCACGTCGCCATTAACGGACTGTCGGGGGCAAAGTGCCGTTCGCGAGTAACAGGGGCACCGACGAAGGCCGTCACGGTGGAACACGAAAAGGGTGAGTGGCCAGCACCACGCCCGGCCTGCCCTTGTCTCGCGAGTGGCGCTGTTTGTACATTTAAGGTCGAGTCGCACGCAAACGCAGGCCAGCGCAGAGAGCTGGGAACCAGCCTTCACCCGCGGGAAAATTCACAAAGGACATCACCCTAAATATCGACGTTTTTTTGTTGCTGCCAACTGTGCTCACGCACCACGAATCTCCCGTGTTTTAAATAGCGCGAGCTACTGGCTAGGCAGGACCATCCGCGTAATGAATCGGATAAGCTCAAGGCAGAGACCTGTCCTCGCTATTACGATGTTGAATTTCCACCACCGCTGATTGGGGGCTTGGAGTGGAAATCCGCACCGTCCCGCGTTTGTTGCACAGAGCGCAGCGTCGGCGTCACCTTCGCTGTTCTCCTGCGGGGTGGCGTCCACGATCTGCCATCCGCCGTAGCCAAGCGGCAGGTCGGGCCTCGCCATCCAGCACTCGCTCCACACGTGGTAGTTCCTACGGCGGGGCAAAGGAGGGGTAGGTTGGTGGGGTTTGGAGGTGGGGGTGCGGTTTGGCCATACTTCATCGCGCCGGTCAGTCCGAGTTAACGGAATCAAACTCAGGTCGCTGGGTTGATGACTCTCGGTATGCGATGCGTTACGGCAAACGCCAGCACGGTGCACGAGGGGGGAAGGCGCGGCCAATACCAGGCTCAGCGAACTTTGTCTCCCCACCGGGGCAAATCATCTTAAGAGCGGCCCTGGACTAATTCAGAAATTGCCCACCAATGAACAGGATTGGTGACTCCCAACGCAAAAACACACACACACACACGCACGCACGCGCGCGCGTAAGGAAGCCTGCACTCGTATGCAGACGCTCCTACCAGATGGAGTCCTTGTTGAGGTCGTCGCGGGGCGCCAGGCTCTCGTCCAGGTAGACGTCGTAGGACATGCTGGCGTCGCGGTCGTGGGCCGAGCAGTAGTTGGTGACCGGGCGGCTCGGGATGCCCAGGCAGCGCAGCACTGCACCGTCGCACCACAACGACAACAACAACAGCTGCTGCTGCTGCCACCGAGTGACTTGTGCCAGGCCTAGGTACGTTTTTGATGTTACGAGAAGTGAGGAAGGTTCGCTGGAAGGAGGTCACGGGACACACCCAGGTGTTACGGGTTAACTGGCAGATACACCACCTCGCTGCGTTTTAGCCGCCCGGTGCTCCGCTCGTTGTTGTGAGCGTCGCTCCTCCGCCCTCCTTTGCTGTTGGAGGGTGGCTGCCTCCAACTGGCGCCACGGTGGCGAGATGTTAACTAGCTCGCCTGGTATACAAGAGATGGTGGGTTCAATTCCGACCCTGACGCCTGTATATTTGGGGTTTGCATGTTTTCCCCATGGACGCGTGGAATTTTCTCCAGGTCCTCTGGTTTTGACCTCCACATTTAGAATCAACGCGTTTAGAGTATTTGGCTGCTATAAATGTCCACATGATAAGCTACTTTATTGAGCTATTATTTATGGCCAGGTTGCTTCTGAAAAATAGTTATATAACTCAGTGGGCCTTACCTGGTAGAATATATATGTTTTTATATACATAGTTTTAGTTTAACTGCCTATTTGCATCCTTCACAGAGGCCGATCTTGACACCGCTGGTACCGGTCATCGGCAAGTCCGCTCAACTCGACATCTGGCCAATGCACCACCCACGCGCTGATGCGGCGATGACGGCACTGCCGCCGCTACCGACGGCGACAACGTCGCTGATGACGACGACGACGACGACTCCAACGACAGTGCTGACCGCGGTGACAACGACGGTGCTGACCGCGGTGACAACGACGGTGCTCGCGATCGGCCTGTGCCAACCAACCGGCAACCGGCTTGAACTCTCAACCTTGCGCCGGCCAACTGAGCCGCCCCCCCAGCTGACGACGACGTCATCGTCGTCATCATTGTCGTCATCATCGTTGTCATCGTCCTCGTTATCGCCGTCATCGCCGTCATCGTCGCCATCGTCGTCCTCATCATGGTCTCATCCTCACCGCTGGTGGCGACTCCGGCGAACACCCAGCACTGGCCGTACTTCACGGCCGCCGCGACATCTTGAAGTCGAGCAGAATCTCCGCGCTGCCGTTCCACGCCGTGGGGGCGACTCCGCCCGTGTAGTTGTCCACCCAGCAGCCCTCCACCACCCCGTTGTCGTCCTGGGAGTTGACCTGCGACGCGCGTGAGGAGGGGTGGACGCGCGAGGATTTGTCTCTCGCTTGGTTGCCAAGATGGCTTGGGGAGTGGGGATTGTCGGCGCAAGGCACTACCACGAGAGTACAAGGTGCCCGTCAATCCTACATCACTGTGTCTGGCATTCATGAGAACTGCCCGAAAGGAAATCTGGTAACCCTCAGTACTATTCACACACGTGTATTGCCCACCACACACACACCACTACACACACCACCACACACGCTACTGCATACACCAACAACAACAACAACCGCCATTCACCACTAAGTGGCGGTGACGTCACCACGACGCTTGTGCCAGGCCATGTGCACCTTGAGGCCACGTGAAGTGTCGAACGCCCGCTGGCAGGAGGTCACGGGGCAGACCCAGGTGCCACGGGTTGACTGACAGACGACTGCCCGATGCACCACCTGTGCCCCCTACTGTGCCAACTTGCTGTGCCTTAGCCACCCGGCGCTCTGCTCGTTGTTTTGAGCGTCGCTCCTCCGCCCTCCGTTGCTGGAGGGCGACTGCCTCCATGACGTGGGGGACACTGCGGACTCACGGCGGCGGAGGCGACGCGAGCCACCGTCACGGGGCTGTCCCGGCCGGACAGCGGGAGGCGGCCGCAGTCCAGCACCGAGAGGGCGGCGTCCAGAACCCCGTACTCGTACTGAGAGACGCACACACACGCACACACACGCACACGCACACACACGCACACGCACACACACGCACACACATGCACACACACACACACACGCGCACGCGTACACACAGAAAGCACAAAAGGTCCCCCAGATAGCCTTCAACAGACGGTCGGGGCGAGTGCTGTTAGCGAGCACCTATTAAGGCCGGCACGGCACACTAGCGGGTGGGTGGCCATCGCCACGCTCGGCCACCTTTGTTTCCCCAGTGCTGATCAAGGGCTGTTTCGACATAGAAGAGATCTGATATGACTCGGCGCTGACGTCAGCCGTAGCTGGGAATCGAACTCAGGTCGCCAGGTCCACGGCGCAAGTGCGCGAACCGTTACGCCACCGCTTCACCCTAAAACGTGCTCCTACACACAAAAGGCAAAGATCTCCCGCATAGCCTGTAACTGTTGGGGCAAGTGCTGCACCTACGGTGGACTTGATCCAGACGTACGAACACTCCGCCACAGCTACCTGGGTTCAAGCCGTGCGTTGCGCGACGCTTCACCTGCCCGAAGTTCCAGACGCGCGACACGATCTGGTCGCGCGTCCCGTGGAAGATCCTGCCGATGTCGTTGAGGACGTACTCCTCTCGCTCCGCCTCGCTCTCCATGTAAACGCCGTCCTCTGAGCGAGCACACACGAGCACACACGAGCACGCACGAGCACACACGACCACGCACGAGCACACACGAGCACACACGACCACACACGACCACACACGAGCACACACGACCACGCACGAGCACGCACGAGCACACACGACCACACACGAGCACGCACGAGCACACACGAGCACACACGACCACACACGAGCACACACGACCGCACACACGAGCACACACGAGCACACACGAGCACACACGACCGCACACACGACCACACACGAGCACGCACGAGCACACACGAGCACGCACGAGCACACACGAGCACACACGAGCACACACGACCACACACGAGCACGCACGAGCACACACGAGCACGCACGAGCACACACGAGCACACACGACCACACACGAGCACACACGACCGCACACACGAGCACGCACGAGCACGCACGAGCACACACGAGCACGCACGAGCACACACGAGCACACACGAGCACACACGACCGCACACACGAGCACACACGAGCACGCACGAGCACGCACGAGCACGCACGAGCACACACGAGCACACACGAGCACGCACGAGCACACACGAGCACACACGACCACACACGAGCACACACGACCGCACACACGAGCACGCACGAGCACGCACGAGCACACACGAGCACGCACGAGCACACACGACCGCACACACGAGCACGCACGAGCACGCACGAGCACACACGAGCACACACGAGCACACACGACCGCACACACGAGCACGCACGAGCACACACGAGCACACACGAGCACACACGAGCACACACGAGCACACACGACCGCACACACGAGCACACACGAGCACGCACGAGCACGCACGAGCACACACGAGCACACACGACCGCACACACGAGCACGCACGACCACACACGAGCACGCACGAGCACACACGAGCACGCACGAGCACACACGAGCACACACGAGCACACACGACCACACACGAGCACGCACGAGCACACACGAGCACGCACGAGCACACACGAGCACACACGACCACACACGAGCACACACGACCGCACACACGAGCACGCACGAGCACGCACGAGCACGCACGAGCACACACGAGCACACACGAGCACACACGACCGCACACACGAGCACACACGAGCACACACGAGCACACACGAGCACACACGAGCACGCACGAGCACGCACGAGCACACACGACCACACACGAGCACACACGACCGCACACACGAGCACGCACGAGCACGCACGAGCACACACGAGCACGCACGAGCACACACGACCGCACACACGAGCACGCACGAGCACGCACGAGCACGCACGAGCACACACGAGCACACACGAGCACACACGACCGCACACACGAGCACGCACGAGCACACACGAGCACACACGAGCACACACGAGCACACACGACCGCACACACGAGCACACACGAGCACGCACGAGCACGCACGAGCACACACGAGCACACACGACCGCACACGACCGCACACACGAGCACGCACGAGCACGCACGAGCACGCACGAGCACGCACGAGCACACACGACCGCGCACGACCACGCACGACCGCGCACGACCACGCACGACCACGCACGACCACGCACGACCACGCACGACCACGCACGACCACGCACGACCACGCACGACCGCGCACGACCGCACACGAGCACACACGAGCACACATGAGCACGCTCACGGTGAGTGAGTCAGTCGGCGGCGGTGGCGGCAAGACCCGGATTTGGCCAAATGGAGGTCAGAAGCAATCGCAGGCGGTCACCGGGAGTCGACTGTGGTGAAGCCAGACCGCAGAGTGTTAATCGCCGTGATGTCTCCTTTGTATTTGTGGACCGGGCCATTGCGTCGTCATACGTTGTGGTCTGGATGTCCACAGCGGAAGGTCAAACCCCCAGGGGATCTTCGGCGTTGGTTCCGTCACAAGGTGGTGTTTCTTAAACGAGTTTCTTTTGAACTCCACGGAGGTGCAGTAAACGGGCTAGAAAACCTGACCTGCCTCGGCACGATGGTGAGGAGAGCCTCCACTGCAGCAGGACGAGGTCACGGGGACTGCCGTGGCAAGGAGAAAACTGAACAAGGTGGATTTTTCGTTGTTGTGTTTAACGAGCCGTTACAATGGCTCTGGCGTTGTGCAACTGTGTCGCAAAAAAAAATTCCACGAGAGGCGAAGTCGCTTGTGTTTCGCGTGCGACGTTCCACGAACTTTTACGGGGCAGCCCAGCCCGGTACGGGATTCACTCACCTGGGCACCAGGGGTTGAAGATGAAGTAGAGGTCGGTGTTGGGGTCGCGGGACGAGCGGTAGAGGCCGCCCGCGCTCAGCGTCGCCACGTGGAAGCGGTACTTGCCCACGATGCACTTGGGCGACGTGTGGACGAGCAGGGCCAGCCGCGCGCCCTGCGAGCCCGTGACCGTCGCCTTCCAGGTGCCGGGCTCCACCTCCTCGCCCGGCTCGGCCAGCGGGATTGGGATGTAGGTGCCACGATCGATCCTCGGGTACTTTCCTGGGGAAGCCAAAGCAGAACGTCGGGTTCAGTGTTTTCTAAAACATCTTGGAGGAAATGGAGCAGCGCAGAGAAAACTCCCACGGCGTGGTGAGGAAAACCTCTAGCCCAGTGGATCAACCGAGTAACTCCCTTGCCTGACCCAACGTGGTTCTGAGAAATAAATGTATTCATTAATGAACATCAACATTTTACCAATTGTCCATTTCGTGAGGCATATCCCTAACTAGCTAACCGCAAGTGAATAAAAACATAAACTCAACGGACGCTCTGCGTGCGTCACGGAATATGTTCGCGCTCGCTGGTTACTCTTGGAAAGCCGCATTGTTTACGATCAATGAGTTTACAAAGGCCTTTTACATCCTTCTAGGTTCCCATATGGATTTAAAATGTCATCGTAGTTATTTTATAGTTGGCAGATTCACACGTGATTTTTCACCGAATGACTCTCAGGCATGATATAATGTCACGCATTTATAAATCACCTCACGTGCCCCCTGGGACATTGCCACGTGGTACCTCCAGGGGGCCCTACCGGTCAACGCCCCTTGACAAGGGCCTAGCCCACAGTCACCGGACCCACAGACAAAGGGCCACACTACGCACGTGGCGTGGGGCGGCGGGGTCGACGTATCGCGGCCGCGAGCGGCCCTCACCGATGTAGAGCTCCAGCTGCAGGCGGTCGGAGCGCGGCTCGAAGGGGCGGCTGAACGTGACGGTGACGGGGAAGGGGAGGCCCCGGCGCAGCACGGGCAGCGGCGTCTCGTAGCGCTCCGTGCGGTGCTCCAGCCGCGTGCGCCCGTCCTGCTCGCCGTGCAGCTCCAGGGCCCACACCCCCAGCAGCGGGACCCCCCCCGCACCTGCGCGGCACGGCTCGAGTCAACTCGGACTTGTCTTTTTACTTATCACCACCAAGGTGGGAGACTCAAGAGGCCAGGACAGTCGCGTTTGCGGAGCGCTGGCGAACAGAGCGGAACAACGCGGACGTCCGGAGACTGGGACATCACACATCTCCCGCTGGCTTTGACGTCCCTCATCCTTCCTCCTCGTTGAAGACACTGGCGGTGGAGCCAGCAACCGCGTCAGAACATCGAAAGGCCGATATGCGTGGGCATCACGAACGCGAAGAGCTCCCATCTCTGTCGGCGGGGTCACGAAATCATCGTGGGAGAACGCGACGGGTTCTGGCGGCCGTTCCATGCACATAGCTGCCAAGCCACACGGTTCACCGCATTCTTGTAAAGGGAAATCGAGTTTTCGGGTCTATTCGGCGTACAGCTGTTTCAATACGGGCAACAAAATTAGTTTTTTGTGTCTATTTGTTTGTGTTTCTCCCTTGTGATGGGACTTTGGAGGATGAACGTTGAGATTTATAAGGGACACGGGGTGACCAATAAGGTCTGAATTGGTCTGCAATAAGGTAGGCAGCACTGATTAGGCGTTGCACAGGTGTGCATGCAGGGGGGGTTGGGGGGGGGGGTCGAACCCGGGGGTCCAGTGGTGCGGGGCCGCCCGCCGGCCACGTCGGACGAGGAGCTCCCCGTGTCCTCGACGGCGGTGAGCACCGTGTCGATCGGGGCGAAGGACCGCGGCGCCGCGGTCTTCCCCTTCCGCGCCCCGGAGCCCTCGGCCTCCGCGTGGAAGTCGCCAAAGTCTTCCCACATGCTGGCTCCTGGACACGACGAGAGGGGGGAGGAGCCGGGAGCGACGTCGCCTCGTCACCGGCGCACGCGGGCGGGTGCCGCTTTGGCCTTGCGCTGCGCAGGGACGGCTGCCGTTGCGTTAGGCCCCCCCCCCTAGGCCACAATACTTTGCGTTCAGACGCTTCGTTACCTTACGGGTGAAGTATTTTCCCATGTCTATGCTACCTTCGTCAATATACACCGACCAACGCGGTAAATGCAGTCAAATAACCCCCGTGAGCCGCGTGGTTTGGAGAGGCCCTCATCCAGCAGTGGATTGACTAACGTACTGTACTCTACATCTTGACGTCACCCACGATCCTCTACAACAATTCTCAAGAAGTGGAATCCACTTTATCGACCCCCCGCAGGGACGAGGAACTGAGTCGATCCCCGACTGGGACTTGAACTCACGGTCTTCACATTACGTAACCACGGCACCACAAACAAACGGGGCCTCTATAAAACAAAGCATTTCACGATTAATGGCAGATGCTATGGCTTAATTATTTTTCTCATGGATTTTATTTTCTTACGGAGCCCCCAAAAACTTCAACTCCTTTGACTCCCTCCCTCGCCTCCACCGCAGACAAGACAGCAGTGGGGTGGGGGGAGTGGGGGGGAGCTCAGCCCTGGACAGCTCCGGCTGAGCCCAGACGTGGGAGACTGCGCCCGAGCGAGAAGTCGGAGGAAGTTATTTAATGCATCCCATGGATATTGTCGTCCGCGCGGCACCAAGTGCCCTGTGGATCATTCAAGGCAGCCGCCGCCAGACTGGCTGAATGTAAAGAAAATGGAACTGCACGACAAACCGAGTCGTCCACCGCCTCGCGTCGATGCACAGCGGTTCGCTCAGGCCAACATCAAACCTCGGGCTTGCTGAATTATGCAAAGAAATGTTGCACGTGCTTCTTACAAAAGAAAAGTAAACATGGCATGGCAACTCAAGTGTCACGGTGACGAGATGTTAACGACCTCGCCTGGCGTACAGATGGACGTGGGTTCGATCGCGACCACGACGACGCCTGCTGCTGTATATTTGGAGTTTGCGGTGTCTCTCTCCCCGTGGTCGCGTGGATTTTTCTCCGGGTCCTCCGGTTTTTTTCCTCCACATTTAGAATCATCGTCACGCGTCAGAGTGTTTGTCTGCTATAAATGTCCACGTGATGATAAGCCACAAATCGAACCCAGGCGCTTCTTGCTGCGAGGCACGAGTCGTCACCTCTGCGCCAACACAGCACCCACACCACATCCCATACAGCACCCACACCACATCCCATACAGCACCCACACCACATCCCATACAGCACCCACACCGCATCCGATACAGCACCCACACCACATCCCATACAGCACCCACACCACATCCCATACAGCATCCACACCACATCCCATACAGCACCCACACCGCATCCCATACAGCACCCACACCACATCCCATACAGCACCCACACCGCATCCCATACAGCACCCACACCACATCCCAGACAGCGCCCACACCACATCCCATACAGCACCCACACCACATCCCATACAGCACCCACACCGCATCCCATACAGCACCCACACCACATCCCATACAGCGCCCACACCACATCCCATACAGCACCCACACCACATCCCATACAGCACCTACACCACATCCCATACAGCACCCACACCACATCCCATACAGCGCCCACACCACATCCCATACAGCACCCACACCACATCCCATACAGCACCCACACCACATCCCATACAGCACCCACACCACATCCCATACAGCATCCACACCACATCCCATACAGCACCCACACCACATCCCATACAGCACCCACACCGCATCCCATACAGCACCCACACCACATCCCATACAGCATCCACACCACATCCCATACAGCATCCCACACCACATCCCATACAGCACCACACCACATCCCATACAGCACCCACACCACATCCCATACAGCACCCACACCACATCCCATACAGCACCCACACCACATCCCATACAGCACCCACACCACATCCCATACAGCACCCACACCACATCCCATACAGCACCCACACCACATCCCATACAGAACCCACACCGCATCCCATACAGCACCCACACCGCATCCCATACAGCACCCACACCACATTCCATACAGCACTCACACCGCATCCCATACAGCACCCACACCACATCCCATACAGCACACACACCACATCCCATACAGCACCCATACCACATCCCATACAGCACCCACACCACGTCCGATACAGCACCCACACCACATCCCATATAGCACCCACACCGCATCCAATACAGCACCCACACCACATCCCATACAGCACCCACACCACGTCCCATATAGCACCCACACCACATCCCATAAAGCACACACACCACATCCCATACAGCACCCACACCACGTCCCATACAGCACCCACACCGCACCCAATACAGAACCTTTAACACGTCTAACTCAGAGACCACGAATCATCCAACACAGCACCCACACCGCATCCAAAATATGTCGACCGATAGCCAAGAGACATCGCATTCCGCACCGAACCCTCGACGCGATGACACGAAGCCGCGACCCGCACGTGGCAGTCGCGACTCAGTGGCTCCACAGACAACGCCAACGGGCGCAGGTGGCGCAAAAAACACGACGAGAATAAATGAAGATTCACTCAACGCCAAGGCGGCGAGTTTGACATTGTAGCCACTTACGAACGACTGCAGCAGCTGCGTGACTCGGAGACACCGGCGGATGCGTGCGTGCTCCGCGTGTGTCTGTCTGTGTGTGTCTGTCTGTGTCTGTCTGCGTGTGTCTGTGTGTCTGCGTGTGTCTGTCTGTCTGCGTTTGTCTGTCTGTCTATGTGTGTGTGTCTGTTTGTGTCTGTCTGCGTGTATCTGTCTGTGTCTGTGTGTCTGCGTGTGTCTGTCTGTCTGCGTGTGTCTGTCTGTCTGTGTGTGTCTGCCTGTGTCTGCGGTGTGTCTCGAGTCTCAAGTGTCTCGGCAACATGTGGTGGTAACTCCACCCCTGCCACGACCCTTCCAATCTCCACACTGGCCTGGGGCGTGCACACTTGCGGGACCCAATGGGACTGGAGCTTAAAATAAGTCGCTCTAAGTTGACGCTTCTCCCCGGAGGAAGGGGGGGGGGCTCAGAGGGCAGAGACCCCGGCCGACGACACCTCGACCTGGGCCTCCACAGGTCAGGGGTTTGGCAGCCCGTGATTGAAGTTCGCGAACCTAGCGGGTTGCTGGTCTCGTGCCCGTCACCAATGACTGCACAAACAAAGACACGACAGCTGATTCTGCGGTCCAGCCCTTCATTGAGTCAAATTCCAGATGATGAGAATTACACAGATCAGTGTGGAAGTGCCGATTGTGTGGGCCACTGGGGCGGTGTTGGGTTCGCTTCAAGGTCCTTGCAACGCAATCCTGCGACTTTCGTCAGCAACAGACACAGAGAAGGTGCAGAGGCTTTGCTCGCGTCGACGCGGGGAAGCGTTGGCCCCGTGGTGCTGTGTCGGGCGGCGAGACCGAGCGCCTCGCGGTCGCACGCTCGCTGTTGTTTTGCTGCATTTCCGAACCTTCGAAATCGATTACGCAATTAGAACTCATGTCGTTTATTTATTGATTAAAGGGGCGGCATGGTGGCTAGGAGATGTTAACTACCTCGCTTGGCATGCAGGAGGTCAGGGCTGACGCCTGCTGCTGTCTATTTCGAGTTTGCGTCTCTCTCCCCGTGGTCGCGTGGATGTTTTTCTCCGGGTTCCTCTCCACGTTTAGAACCAACGTGCGTCTCAAGTGTTGGCTGCTATAAATGTCCAAATAATGAGCCACTTTGTTGAGCTATCATTTGTGGCCAGATCGCTTCTGAAGAACAAGTTCAATACCTCAGTGAGCTTTGTCTGGTAGGATGGGGAGATGGTTTAGGGTTTTATTTGTTTGTGTTTGGGTGACTTGTTTACCTTGCTTGTGCTTTGCACCCCTATCGTGTTTGTGTATTGTTTGATTGTCGTAACGCTCTTACCCAGTGCCCCGACTGGACATCTGAAACACGAGCTTTATAGCTAATCGGATTCCTCCAGTAATAATTAAAGACTCCGACTGACATCGCGAGACGGGCCACCGCGAAGGGAATTTGACTACAAAACTCGTTGCCGCTCGCGTGGAACTCCCGCGGGAAACAAACAGAAAATAATCCCCCACGCACCCCAGGGCACCGTGAATCAGTAACCTCCTTTGTTGCCACTGCCGCTGCCTGCTCCTGCCTCGTATTTTTGGCGCCCGGCGCTCCGCTCGTTGTTGTGAGCGTCGCTCCTCCGCCCTCCGTTGTGATTGGAGGGCGACTGCCTCCAACTCCCCAGTAGCATCCTGAACGAGCCTCCTCTATGGGGGCCGATCTTGACACCGCTGATACCAATCGTCGGCAAGTCCACTCAGCTCCACATCCTCCCGTACCGCATCAGTCCATCTCTTCTCCAGCCCATGCCGTGCCCGTTTAGCCATCTCTATGCGGCCAACCAGATTGGGTATGCTGTGGCTGGGCATGTGGGCTACATGACCCAGCCTACGCAGCCTTGCCTGCCGGAGGAGCTCACTGATTGGAATGTGTTCAGATCTTTTTTTAGGATTTGTGAGCTCCTCACACAATACAGCCTGGTTAACCCCCGGATGGATCGTTGGCAGGCCAGCCTGAATGTTTATAACCGGCGCAGATGTTCCATTAGAGGGGTCCATGTTTTTCGATTTAAAGCTTTCGTGACTGCAGGGATTCATCTTCTTGGTTCTTTCGGTAAAGTCACGTAGAATGGAAATAATAAAATAATAAAAATAAAACATAATAAATTATTCTCACGACGTTTCGGCTACTTGCGTTGTGGCCGAAACGTCGTTACAATTATTGTATTATGTTTTATTATTATTATTTTATTATTTCCATTCTACGTGACTTTACCGAAAGAACCAAGAAGATGGGTCCATGTTTATTTAACAAGCATAGAGAAGGGAGGGAATGACTGTGGCCGAGAAGACCCGAAGCTTCGTGCGGAGCGACAGACCAGGTAGCTTCCACACAGCGTTACGCAGCCGATGAAAAGATATGGCCGCTCTACTGATTCGAATGAGACCTCTGCTGTTAAACTGGAGCCGGTCATAAGCTCACTGCCCAGGTATGGGAAACTCTCCACTCTCTCCACAACTGCTCCATCACCAATGGGGAGCTGAGGGGTGGAGTGTTTGGTGGCACAAAATACCCAGGTAGGTGCTTAATTTTGGTGGGGCTGATGGTAAGACCCCACCTCCAGGTTCTGCAGCAGCGCCTCCAACTCCTCCTCTGAGTGAGCAGCAATCACCAGATAATCTGCATACATAACATAGTTGACCAATAGGGAGCCATCCCTCGACCGCACCCGGACATCGATCAGCCTCCCGTTGAATCTGTACCAGATGTAAATTTCTCCGGTACAGCTATGGAAAGCTTCTCGAACTACGTGGTTAAAGATGATGTTAAATAATGTGGGAGCCAGAGGACATCCCTGTCGCACCCCTAAGTAAACAGGGAATGGCTCCGACTCCTGGCCACGTAGCTTTACCCGGGCCTGTCCACCATCTTGAAGGTCCTTAATGATTGTGAGCAGAATCAGGGACTCGGAAAGCACAAAGAACAACCCAGAGCCCTGGCCTGTTGATGGTATCATCGGCCTTGACCAGCTCAACAAAGCAGAGATGTAGGTCTTGTTGGAATTCCCTACAGCTCTGCTATAGCAGACGAACAGAATATGGCATCTGTGCAGGACCACCCTCCATCTGAAAACCACATTGAGGCTCCGCAAGCCTTTCCTCAGCGTGCCTGGCAAAGGCGATGTTGAATAATCCTTGCCAGGACCTTTCCCAGCACAATGAGAATAAAGATGCCCCTGTGTTGTTAATGTCTGTGCGGTCTCCCATCTTGTCAAACCTGAGGAACCCGTCCTGTGGTCCAGACAGCTGTGATGATATCACGTAGGGCAGTCTGCACACAGATGCCACCCTCCCTCAGCATTTCGCTTGGGAGACCGTCTCTGCCCGGCGCTTTTCCTGTTCTCGCCCGTCGCACTTCCTCCACAGATGGCACCTCAGCCAACCACTCAGAATGGGTGGCGACTTCTGCCAATTTTTGTTGTCCAGGCCACACGCACCACAAACCGCACACTCGGTTGGCCAATCTCCGAACGCAACGCGGCAGAGGGTTGCATAACGAGGGTGACTCTCTCGACGTTTTGGATTGGGCCCCTCCACCCCCTCCACCCCCCCTCCAGCCCCCCCCTCCAGCCCCCCGCCCCCTCCACCCCCCGCCCCCTCCAGCCCCACCAGTCGTGAAACTCGGTGGAGCGTTTCCTGGTTCAACAAATGTAATAACAACAATAATATTAATAAGGGACCTTATTTTTTGCCAGTATCGAAGTATGAAAAATAAGAATAGGCTGTATCCCTTCTGGGAATAAGACAGGAGTTGTGTTAAGATGTTCAAACACCAGAAGCCCCTTGCAAGGCACCGAGCGCTGCATGAAGCACGCACACGGTACTTGTGGTGAACATGCAACACAAGCGCGTGCCTCTGATCGTGTATGATGCGGTGTCTTTGTAACTGAGTGGCCGACACCGGAGACAGCCTTCTTGATGGCCTTGTCTCACCAGTGTCAACCCAGAGAATATCCACAAAATACAAACACGGAACTGTAACTCGCTGTTAACGATTGGAAGGAGGCACAGCCTGTGCCAGTCATTGCCTGCAGGCAGAGCCAAAAACCAGACCGAGTTCTAAATTGTAAACCGGTGGCAGCTGCTGCTGCTGCTGCTGCGGGCGTTTTTCACAAGGTTACAAAAGCGGCATCACCCGCACGAGACTCGCTACACACAGAACCGCGGCGATGGGCGGGGTGCTCTCTGATCAACTCAACATGAGACTCAAACCCGATGGAGTCTCGGATGCAGATGACGTTCCATTGTTCTCCGGGAGGCCACGTGACCCCTGTGTTGTTTCATTCGTAATTTCTCCTGCACGGTATCCATGCCGCAGCCTACGATAGCCACCACTCGCCATTGACGTTAGCCATGGCTGGAAATCAAATGCAGGTGGTCGGGCTCAAAGCGCAGTGCGCCAATCACTAACAAAGAGCCCCCGTATAGCATGAACAGACTTTTGGGGTAAGTATTGTTAGCGATCACCTATCAAAATCAGAATCTTAAATTATCAAGGCCGAGACGGCACACGGGACGATGGGTGACCAGCACCACGCCCGGCCGCCTTTGTGTCCCAAGTGACGATATTCTACGCGTCGCGCGGCCTCATCACGAACAGGCGCGCGCAGAGCCACGCTTCGAGGAGCCCTCTCCGAATGAATCTCGAAGCAGCCCGGAGCCACGTGTCGAGCGTTAGTTCACAACTGCTCGCAGGTGTCGCCCGCAACTTCAAAGAGCGCCGCGGCTGCTGCGGCTGCTGCTGCGGCTGCTTCGTGTTGGTGGTGGTGGAATTCGCCCTCGTGCGCGTGTTTAAGCTTCAAGCCAAGGTCAACGCGCGTCCCTCAACGCTTTCGAGTCTGATATCGCTCTAAGCTCAAAACGAGCATGGGTTCGGCACCCCCCCCCCCGCCGCCCCACATCTCCATTCGCACGCCAACATCATCATCATCATTGTCAGCAGCAGCCGCAGCGTTGGTCAATCCACTGATGGATGAGGTCGCTTCTGAAAAATATCTACACAGCTCAGTGGGCCTCTACCTGGTAATACACAAACTTTAGTTTAATTATAACCGCAAGATCGTACATTTGGATGACAGAAACAATCAAAAATAATGTACGTAGTTATTTT